ATATTCGAAATTGTTTGTATGCTGGAAAGGATAATAACAATAGATTCGCCAAGCATGGCTTCAAATGCTAAATAACAATGTAGAAAGAAGGCGTTAAGATTTTCGTCGCTGTGGCTATCAGCCGTTTAGCTCAGTAGCTAGAGCGTCAGGCCGCGAATGCCGAAGACGTGGGTTCGATTCCCACAGCGGCGACAATCTTTTCGTACTTTTTCTACATGTTTTAATGTTCAATCTTAGGTGCAGAGATTAGCACTATAAAAAACTTTAAAATTTATTTTATTTTACTTAAATATTTTCAGATCGCAGAGTTTTAGTAATAGGGTTCCCTTTTACCCTTTGAGCACGGAATCCTAAAAATACTGCCTAAAGAAAATAAATTAAGAATTAACGAACTTCGGTTGAATATCGTCCAATGGACGTTCAACAATTCCGCATTCTTTAGGTGCCATGAAATGTATCAGTTATGTCAGCTTAACGGTCAAAAGATATCAAGTGGCAAAAAGACAACGTTACCCCAAGAAGTGGGTCAGTGAATTAGTTGAAGAGGGTTGAATGGACGAGGAGTCGATTGGTGGTTGCAGGTCAGTCCACGACCCAGTTTGGTTTTATGCTAATCTACCACGCGCTCCATCAAGCAGTGATGAATATAACTTCGGAGGCGCCCTAAGCCGAAGTCAATATGGACAGCTTATATACGGTTCTTGTACGATTAATTATTATAACAAAATAATTCTATCATTAAAACATCGTCATCTTAAGATTATAATGGCACTAAAGGAGTTAAAGGCATGAAACATTTACGAAGAAGGATTTTAAGAGAATAATTATAGAAAATTATAGAATTAAAAAAATAGATTTTAGATTTTAGCGATCTTAAAATTTTTTTCACCCGCAAATTTTATCGCCCTAGCATCGACACTTGCGGGTGGGCCTATGCTGTATAATAATGCTTAATGCCATAACAAGGCTAATGTTTAGCCACACCAAAAAGTAATGGAAAACTTTTCAGATATGAATCGGATCTTATCTTTTAGTATTCAAATGAGTTTATCCTGTTTATGACGTCACTGCAGGCTTCCCTGGAAGCCTGTTTCGCCCTTAACAGTAAGGCCGCTACTACTGAATAATGTTTGCGAATCTTGATCAACGAAAAACTTATTTGTTTAACTAAATACAAATTTTGAAAACACCTGAACAACCATTCCAGATTTGGGCAAATGGGGCACGGAGGCTTTGAAAGAGTACTGTGCAGAATAATGAATTTGTTTAAAAATTTCGCGACCACAACGACTGGAGGAAATCGCATATTTGCATTTCATATTTTGTACAAACTTATTCCGTTAACAATATGTATTTACACACCCAGCTGTTGCTTCGCTCACGGATATCGGTTACGTTGATTATTCGTGGGTTCAGAGGGCAATCTTCGAAGATACCGTGTCTCCTGGGGGAAGAAAGAGTTTTATTGATTTAAAACGGGCTTTCCCTTCTAACACCCTCTCGGTGGCTACCGTCCATATGCTCAGAAGGTCTACAGTATCTTTTACACGCGTACGCTCAAGTCTGACATCCTGTCTGAATGACAACACTAGCAACTGTTTAACTGCGTTGCTGCAATTCGAGAACACTTCTTATTGCTGTCCTTACCAGGCACATCGAAGTAGACGATCAGAGTTTCATCCCATCCCAATGGATTATGAGCCCCATTTTGTCGCCAGTTATGACAGGCACAGTACCTCAGCCCTTTTCTAGAATTAAACTCTTATAAGCGTGCTTTTCCTGTTTGCAAATTATTGTAGATCACACTCACACCTCAACGGAAATAAAGGGTGTTTTATCCAATAAACTCTTGTTTATTGCAGTGATTAATCTATACGATCAGAGAAATTGAGAGAAACATCAGAAACAGTAAGCGGCGACCACATTTAAATTTTTTATTTCCTACATATTGATTATTTCATCTTATATTCTTATGGACATATTGCTGTTTTGTTTAATAACATTGAAACATCTGTAGAGACGCTAAACAACTACAATTTAAAGATTCCGATTTATATAGTCTCCTTAAAATCCTAAAATCATTGCATGAAAATTCATGCAATGATTTTAGGGTTGAGATAAATATACGTGTTTGTACTACATAAGTTTTTTTTTTATCTGTTATCAATGAATAATCGCGGTATAGTGTCGATATTAAACTAACTCTCAACATCCGCCAAGCCGTCTAGTTACAAAATGCACTGACGCACTAAGACTCCAGTTCGTATAGCCACTTTCGTAATAAGAACAATGACTGAATGAAAATGAGACCTTTTGGAAGCGTGACCTTCGATAATTCCCAGGTGCCGGAGGCGGTTTGTAAGCCGGATGCGCTATGTGAAACCACGCGTGACGTAGGATTTTGGCTTTGTAATAGTTATTTTGTCATTAATCACTTGAAGACACGAAAAATTACGAAAACCAATTTTTCGTGTTTAATTTTGATTTTATTTTCACGATTTTTCTAACACTGCAAGCGTCAATAGTAGATGTTTTACGAGAGGATTTGCATTACTTTACAAACATTGCCTATTGTAGAGAGAGGAATTAAAAATGCAAGTAGATAGGGGGAGCCCATTGCTACACCAGCAATGGGCTCCGCAGTTATCCCATTGTTGCAGAGTTATTTAAGGAACACTTTGAGGAGCCCTTGCACCGTTATATCCAATTTATAACAGGTATTAACGATATGTACTTAAATGAAAACTTTACGATATTATCATCTAATATAGTAAATACATTTCTAAAAATACCTTAACTCGATAAATTCTGAAAACAAAATTTATTAAGAAATTAGAGGAATGTAACTCTTAAGATTTTCATGATATCTTTGTTATTCGCAATCTTAATAACGCTTGAGCCACACAGTATAAAAAAAATGACCTAAAAAATAAATATTTAAATTTGGTGAATCATGCCACTACCTTTCACGAGTAAATATTTCTTCCAAAAAGCACGAGGTAGAAGATATTGTAGTCAATGCAATCAAAAGATATAATAGGTTTAATTTTGATACTTTCTAATAAACTGATCTAAATTTAGCGGTACTTCCCGTTGGCCTATAATCCTGAAATGTGTCGAGAAGCAAGGTTTATCACTAATAAAAAATATATGAAATAAAAGTCCAAAAGTTTGCTTGTAATTCTATCCTTCCCTATCATATGTTCAAAAAAATAAATGTATCTAAGTAATTAATACATGAAGCAAATTCCTATTAACTGTTCACTGCGAGCCTCTCGGTATTATATAAGATGCATTTCAGAGAATGTGCCCAAGTATAGCATACCTTAAATCCTCAAATACAATCAAATCGGACGACTAGATTGGCATAGAACCTTTTGTTCTTGCAATCACCGCATTAAAATAAAGAGATGCATTCTTCAAAACATATAGCAACATAGAACAGCCTGCTTGCATCCGTCTTTCCATTCGATAATATCATCGAATGTATCGAAGTATGAGCATTTTTGAGCTAGATAAGTGAATAATTCTCTTCTAATTCTACAAACGACGATGGCTTTATTGCCATTTGTCATCAAGTGGGATAGTAGTCAAGGACTTAAGAGCCACAAATTAAAAATTAAAAAATCTGCATAGCTTATATAATCAACTTTTTAATGCACCCTCGAAGCGAGAGACCTACTCTTACTTGCTTCTTGAAATATTGTTCTGTTGGAATATTGGACAGACGCAATTTATTGAAAGTTTTAGTTTACGCTTGACAGACATTTGTCGATTTGCATATTTCTTCCCTTTCATCGATGTTTTTTCTATAAATTAATCTGCAGAGTATAACAATGTCGGTCATACTTATCTTTGGGACCAACGCCAAATCGTTAAAACGAAAACGCCTGTGCGGCGCCAACCAAAGAACAACGTAAGTCATATTCTTATTGTTATTATTTTTCTGCAGGCGTTCAGGAAGTGCTTGAGAACGTTTTACAATATTTTTGTATTTCTTCAAAGAACAAATGTTTTAATTATAGTAAGCAAAGTATCTGACTCCTTCTCCTGGAAAGTTATCTTTTAGCTATTACTATTACATTCTGTGACAGAAAATTAATGTAGGAAAAAAATTACATACTCTGTGAAGTTTTTGTATTATAACACCAAATAATGACGACATAACAGTTTTTGTTTTGATCTCTTAACAAAAATACTATGGATGACAGACTATATAACTAGACACAATGTTAAAAATACGTCTTAAAAACATTGGTGTGCATACTTAATGTCCAAAGACAACTACGAAATTTTATTTTCCTCTCATTACAGAAAACTGTCCTTAACACAAATGGGAATTTTTAGAACCAGTATCTACAGCTTCTTTCAACCAGTCTGCTAAAAGAGGGTTGGTGAAATTCGAACTAGGTGATGATTGATCCGAATGTAAGTATTTTTTTCTTAATTGACGATCCAGTACGTTTTTATACGATTTATCGTTATAGATTTGGTAATACTTTTTACAAGTATACTTAATACAAAAAAGTTTGTAAATTTTAAAGGTCGAAAGTTAATTTTCTTTGCAAGCAGTACGTTTCAAACTACAGTTGGCAGATCGCGGTCATTCGAGGTCATTGACATTCCTATTCTTATTTGAAAGGCAGTGGTAAGTAAGAGTAAGAGTAATCTACTCTGCAACTTCTGCTGTTGATCCGGAATAAAGGGAGTTCAAAGGAGGTGACCATCAGTGAACAAATGAAGCTAAACACCGTGCCGAGAATAATCTATTTGTTGTGTCATTTATGAATAAATATTTTATTAAAAACCGTTTATTACTTTTCAGACATTATAAAAATCGAGACTTATGCCGCCTTAATATCAATTTGAATGAAATGAACAGTGTAGCCAACGCCTTAAATTAACATATAGTCGTTCCGAGTGCGGCAATCAGTTGGCTTCCCGACGAAGATCGGTACAGAATCGTTTGTTGAGCGTATATTGAAAAACTAAAAAGCGCCATGAACATAAAATCGACAATTATCGTGCTCGCGACAGCTTCTTTAGTCTGTGGTGAGTTTTAACTCCGTTTAATATTTCTCTTTCTTATTGCATAAAAATTTCAACTTTTCAAACGATGCATACAGCATACCCCAAACTGGTGTGTAATGTTTGTGGCAAAATTATCTAAACATAGCCTAGCTAAATCTACTAAATAGCTGTAGAGTTATACGTTATATTTTAAAAATTGTAATCATTTGAATACAACGCGACGTATTATAAACAATAAAATTTTAATGTTGCAGTGTCGTAAAACCCTTGGCAAAACTTCAATAAAAGAAACGCGACTTGTGAATTATTTTTGATTTATTTTATGTAAGTAGGTACAGCGTTGGTTTCTATTCAGTTGTTAATCAGAGATTTTTAATTATGTTTAAATTATACAATACATAAAGGACTATCTTAGATTTTTAACCTTTTTTCTATAATGTTCAGCATCAAAAAATGATTTCTAAGACAAATTTAACTAATTACAATATAACTTAATTACTTCCAGCGTCCGATGGTTAAGGAATTAATGGCAAAGGTGATTATACATTCATAATAAAACATTTGTGATAAAGTATATCTATCTGAAATGGTTTTATTATTGTATCGAGATCATTAGCTTATAAATGAGCATATACACGACGTTATTATGCCAGCACAAAAAACGATACATAGGTAATAATTATCACTGTGCCAAAGAATAATATAAATGCAAAAAAATATTTCATTTAACTATTTCGTTTTGAAGGTAAAGCGGGGTGATTATGCGCAAAAACAGTATTAAAAGGAATTCTAAATTCCTTTTAATACTGTTTACAGAAATTAATTAATTATTAAAAAAAAGGTAAAACATTTTCATAAAATAAAAAATTACGAAAACTTCTCAATCATCTAACAACTATTCAATGTAATGTCGATGTACCTACCTTCTTATTTTGGATATCTTTCTATTTGGATATTTTTCTTGATTGGTGCCAAGTGTTAATTAAAGAATAAAACCCGTTTATACAAATGCATTTGTACTGCGATCGGCAACTTGTATACGAAATGCAAATATAAGTATTTATGAATATTCATTTATACGCTAATCAAAAATAAGGTACTTAATAACAAACATATCCCATTAATAGGAATTTATCTTAATTGGGTCGATTAAAAATCAATAAATTAAGGAGCTTAGGTCTGAACACGCACTATAAAATGTTTGTAAAGTTCAAGAAACCTTTGAACTAAGGATCTTGTTTATAATTCTAGTTATACATGTTTTGACCGATACGAAAACAAGTCTTACAAAGTTCGTTATATTTAAATTAGACTAAATATAATAAACATTTTTATGTATCCAGTACCCATAGTACAAGCTTTGCTTAATTCGGGACTAATAACGTGAGTAAAAATGTCCCAAGATATTTATTTATTTTTTAATCCTTTTATATTTTTATTTTACTATTGTCATAAGGATAATTTGTTTTTTCGTTGTCACAGTGCAAAGTTTTATTGCGGTGGCTGGCGTGGTGGTAAACTTCGATTTTCTAAGATTTCTGCTCGTGGGTCTCTAGACTATTTTCAGACGAGCAAAAACGAATTTGGATCACTATATTTATCTCCACTCTTGGGAGATGTTTGATAAGATTTCAAACGCGGTATGTATACAAAAGCCTAGGGCCTAGCCCTCAGCGCATAGTCCACCATGCGGCCCCACTGCGGATTGGCGGACTTCACATATTTTCGAAATATTTTTTTTTATTATTTCGAAAATATGCAGGTTTCCTCACGATGTTTTCCTTCACCGCTGAGCACGTGATAATTCAGCAATTGAAATTAACAATTTCATTGGTGCTGGCACCGGGAATCGAACTCAGGTTGCTCGAGTATATTGAATTAAACGTGATTTATAATGATTGAATTAAACGTGAATAGCCGTGATAGCTCTTAGGTTAGATTAACTCTCGGTAGATTGAGCTATCACGGCTGTTCTACATTCTATGGTATTTGTACACGGTATGTGTACAAAGACCATAGATAAAACCTGGATTTATCTTTATACCCAGGAATCACAACAACAATTCAAGCAATAGAAAGAATCTAGTGCATGACTCTAAACAAAGCTATGGTGATATTGTCAGCTATTGGTTTCAGTTTTTGGGGATGTTATAGTAGTCATCGAAATTGACTACTAGATGAAACAATAAACTCGGCATATTACTCTTTTAATTCGGTTACGTGAAGACATCAAAGAATTAGGTTCTGGATTACTAAGAAATAAAGTGTTGCTTCATCAATAATGCTCGCGTTCACACCTGTTATAAACCCACGGTTGAAGTTCGTGATTCTGATTTCATCTTATTACTCCATTTGGCACCTTCAGAAAAAACCTCTTTAGTGCCCTTTAAGGATTGGAAATCTCGATCGGCATAGAAACTTTGGGAAACAGATAAAAGAAATACGTAGAACTAGATATTTTCGTTCAGATTTTATTTTCTTGACTAGGCCACAAAATTTTCAACCCACCCTCGCAATAAGATTTTGGTATGGGCCTAAGATACTGCAACTGGATGCTTATTTCTGTTTTGTTCCAATGATATATCGTTATAGTAAACAAACATAATATAAATATATCCATATAAATGGTGTCAAATATGTCAAAACAAACAACCTCGACAAGTATCCACCAAATGGAATCCCTCTGTAAGTCTAGTAGCTAACCTTCTACATTCCAGACCGAAGCCTCCCCTCTCGCAGACCTAGTCGCCATTTGAATTACTAGTTCGCAGAAAAGATTATCGGAATAATTTCGATCCACATCGGTTGATTCAGTTACTTGATTCTTTTATCTGTTTTTTCGCAAGAATCGACAATGTCCATTTTGGTCCTGATAGAGCCTGGCGCGGTCATTTTCGAACGTAGGTCTTGGCAGACTTTCAACTTTCATCCGTAATGTCTGTGGATGACATGGTCGAACTGTGGTAGGGCCATGCAACAGTTTAAACTGTTGCACGAATGGGCAGGTCCATCCGTACCACGACTTCACAGAAGACCGGCGTGAAGTGGAAGTGTTATATAAACTTCTGCCTTTAGTTTGGTGAGTGAGGTAGCCGGAGCCCACTTTACTATAATGTGGCAACGCATCTGCAACCCTACGGGTGTTGAAAATGTCAATGGGCGTCGTTTATAATTTAACATTAGGTGAACCACTAGCTCGCTTACCACCTTCTCACATAAAAAAGCTTTCGGCAAGTCCGGAATAAGGCACTCTTCGATTTTCCAGGCCTGTAAAGTGCGAGCTCTTGATGGAAAGTCCTAGTTACCAGACTGTGTCTGTAATCCTAGTTACGGAGTATTAGAAGTGCTAAGCAACTTGAGATCACATGTCTAATTAATTCCCCAGGATGACGATAGGCTCAACATTCTATCGACAGTTTCATCCTTTTGGACGTACCTCAGTTCTTTTCTTAATGCGTTTACACTGTCACTGAAACGCAACCATCTATGGACGGCCGTGGTATCCAAAAAAGGTTCATGTAGATTCTTGTAGAACTTTCCGTGGAGTTCTTTATCCTTTCATCTCCGATCAAAGACGCTGTGTACTGCCGTGTCCTGTCATTAATTAGATTACTGTTATCAAATAACTTGAAGTAAATTAGTAAGTATTATTTATTACATACATTATTAAAATAACATATTCAAATTGAATGTTGTGCTCGGTTGTTATTGAAATGCAAGTTTAGTAATATGTATTGGTCTGTAATAATTTAGTCATGTTATAATTTGTATTTTGTAACCGCGCCAAATAAATAAACGAAGATTTCACGCATCCGCTAAAAACCTCCATTACTCACTTATTTTGTTACATTCCTCAAATTCCAAAATTTTCAAATGTCTGATGATAGGTCTTAAACTTATTCCACCTGTAAGATTCACCCGTATATTTCTTCAAGGGTCACACTCGATTTGACCGCTTTGAACGGTCTCTGATGTTTTGTTAAAAAAGATTCTTAAAAGTTTTTCGACTACCATGGTCGGCAGCTCGTTCAATAAAAACAATAAAATATACAAAAACGGTCAAAGCAAAATGTTAACGTATTTCAAAACAGGACAATAGAATATATTCTTTATTTTTAGTCTGGCTACAATTATCTGTAGAAAAGGTACAAGCAATAAAACTTATTCATTATAACATGTTCGAAGAAATCTTGTAGACAGTTAAATGTAAATTTTGTTATTTATTTGTTCCAGGTATACAGTACGATGGTCTTCGAGGTAAGTCAATTACTTAAATATAACTTTACAGAGTCCATGGTCAAAGGACAGACCATGTAAAATGATCAAAACCACGATAGTTTATTTAATAAAATATGAACTTTTTTATTAAGAAACCTTTAGATACGTTTATTTAGAAACTTAGAAACAAACGTATCAATTGGTTTCGCTACAAAAAAGTTTATAGATTATGAAATAAACTTGAGACGAATGAAAACTTAGTACCCTAGATAAAATAACTGTTTATATTTGAGTCATTATAAGAACAGATAATTGTAGCAAGAAGATTTTGAAAATTATCATGATTTCAGCATTTGAAATGTTTATTTAGTAAAATAGTTTTTAGAAAGAAATCAAATACTTAATAACAGACTCGTAACTTTCAGTGAAATTCGGTTGGTCTGACGCACTGGTCGACAAGGAATATTTCTTCAGTATTCCTCGCACAGCGAGCGATGCTGAAGCCCAAGGTTGGAGACGGACGGAACGACCTCCCGGGCCTCTTCCTGAGCTCAGGATGTACTGCTCTACCGGACGGAACGTGTGTCCGCTCTACGACACAGCGGGCTTTATCGCTGGAATGCAAATTGCTGTTAGTAACCTGAAATAGTGAGACTATACTGCATTCGCCAAGACTTTTCTACTTCTCACCGAACTTTGAACCACTTTATTTATTGTCTTTCTATTTCAATGTTTATATATCATACCTTACCATATATAACATTTAACACTAGACCATATCCAGAACACGATCTAGTGTAAAACACTGAAGCGGCTATGCCGACTATTTAAATAGGAACTCGGTAAAAGTCTAATAAGACATTTACTTCCGATAAACAACAATGGTCTAAATGCGGTGCTAACACGGTGCTCATTGCGTTTATGGTGCTTTAGAAATTGAAAAATGCTCGATAGACAATTTGACGAGCCTCTAGTGTATTGCTATTACACGTTTAATTTTGGAGATCGTGCGTTAGACCGACACATTAACTCCTCCCTCCCCATTCCATCATCCGACAACTAGACGCTCTGCGGGGCTCCATCTGCTGTCCAAATTCCACGAATCGAACCAAAAGATTTTGGCCCTCGTTCATTTTATGTAAGCGAAATAGTGCTATAATCTGTTGGAGTCTAGATTTCCTTCCATTTGTAACGAGGGACTTAAGTGAATGGGCTTTTACTAAATTTGTGCGGTTATCAACATCGTCTTTTGCCATCAGATGGGATTGCAATCAAGCACTGAGCAGTTTTAACACAGTTAAAATAAGAATACAATTAAAACATTATTTACGTCTGCGGCAAACAATAACGAGTATTTGCAGTTTACCCCCCTTATCAGAATATTTATTATGTTTTTAAAGAAAGTCAAGTCGTGCTGAATAAGGCGTAAATGATACACCGATCGTAATAACATTGAACTACTTAATTTCAATAACGTTACGAGTTAATGAAACATAAAACTAACGTATTCAGAGAGTTGGTTTTATCGTTAACCATGAGGAAAGTAAGTAATATTTCATGTCAAAGGCAATTTTCTCTGCTGCACAATCTGTGGAAAATTATAATGTCGTTATTGAATTACAAAGTCTTCCTTGTGGTCACGTACGATCAATTTAATCCTGTCGTCATACTGCACCGACGACGTTTATCTAATTTATTTGAATTGTACTTGCGCGAGGGTCGAGGACCGAATGACTTATGTCTAGAAATTTCTGGAAAAATTTTGAAGTTGATGATTATGTGTGGGAATATCGCGTTGTAAAACTTTTTTAATGCCCAATTTATTTTCAGAGACGGTGAGTTTAAAAAGTAATTTAATAGAGAATAAAATTTGTTAAACATACGTGCTTAAGTTGCGGAAAATATTATTTCCAGATACCTGTAGAAGGCTTCGAATATCCGCCTATTGTAAATCCAGAGAAAAAATTGGTCAAGTGGACTGCACGAGCTTCTGACGGAGAACCCGAAAAGGAGTTTTGGACGGCAACGCAATTCTTCGTATCCGAAGGTACATAGCAACTACAATTTTATATACGAACATTTCGAACACTGTTTGTGAATTTTGCGTTCATGATCATGGGACATACTGACTTACATCGCGGGTTCAATTTAAACTCTCATGCGATATAATTTTTAACAAAAAAAAAACCGACTTGAAACTGGAAACTAAAAAACATTGTTAATACCTATAACATTTGAGGATTGCCCTCGACTTCTCTCGGATGCCATCATCAGATCCGGGTTTTATTTTCATGGTACCACCCTTGCGATATCTCCTTTCCAACAAAAAAAGAATCATCAAAATCTGTTCATAAACGACGAAGTTATCCGCGAACACACATAAAAAACATATACGGTCGAATTGAGAAACCTCTTTCTTTTTTGAAGTCGGTTAAAATTGACTATCATCGTCATGCAAGTTTAACTGGTAGGGCCACACAAAACCTTCCAAAGCTGCATGAATGGATAAGCTCACCTGAGGAAGTTCCAGAGCCTCCTAGAACCACTTCTTCTGTCCTGTATATTTCGTCTGGTGAGCGAGGTAACTGGTGCCTAATGTTTTTAAAAATTGGTTAGTATTTAAAACCTCCTACTGTTCTAGATTCTGTTCTGTTCCTTAGGCGGCAGCGATCACTTAAAATCAGATGAACCGCCTGCTTGCTTGCCAATATTGCACATACAAAATAATTTGAACTTCGTTTCAGAATCTTTGAAGGCGGGTGCTGGACCGACAATAGAAAATGGCGCGACCCTGCAAGATGGTGGCGTGTGGGTGCCAGGGCCGGACGGCCGCCTCATGAGGGTTCCGAGTACGGAGGGCGAGTTGAACACCACATCCTGGAAGAAACAAAACTGCATCCCGAACATGGGCAAGTGGGAACAATTTTCATTAAACGGATATGTGGGTCGAATACAAATGTTGTGATAAGGGTACATTTATGATATCATCCCTACATAAGTATCGGTCGAGTGCAGGGTTTGTCAAACTTTGGCTCCACGAATCCCTGTTAAAGTTTCAAGATCTCTAAATTGGCAAACTCTTGGAGTTACCTTCTTAATTCGACCGGAGTACGAATCTAGCTTAGCTGCAATTTTAAAGAAGAACGTCTTTATGTACCCTTTCACTGAGCGTACTTGGACATAGTCTGCCACGCGATCCCACCGCGGATTGGCAGACTTTACATAACCTCGAAATATTTTTTGTTGTTGTTTCATCATGATGTTTTCATTTACCACTAAGCACAAGTCGGCACTTAAAATTTCGTCTTAAAATGTGCCGGAGCCAAGAATTGAACTCAGGTCGATCGAGTACATTGAATTAAAATCGCGCGCCCGAACATTGAGCTATCACACTTTGAATATGTAACACCTCATTTTTTACATTTTCCAGGCACCCACTACCATTACAATATGACACCGGACCTAAAGTGCGAGGATCTATTGCCTTGGTTCGCGCTGACGACCCAAGCCTACCTAGTCGGCTCCGGTTTCCAGGTCATTGGGAAGATTCCAAAACAGGTGCCTGATTGGTTCGAAGACGTTCCCAGGGGCAGCGCAAGGGTGAGAACACAGACGATTATCATAGAAATATGCCGTAGACCTTTTTATTTTACTTTTGATGGATAATGGAGGTAAAGTTTCATCGGAATATAAAATCCAGGAGAAAGATCAAAGAAAAATTATTTTCATTCTTCATGTCTCTTTCAATTACTTCACACTCACGCTTTGCTGAAGCTCTATTGACAGTGAAAATGCAGTAACAATAAAAACTGTTTCTTTGACATATTTATAAACTTCACAAACGTTGACCAGGGCAATGCTATGCATTTTCAGAATGCATTGAAGTTGCTTCCAAAAATGTTTACATACAAAACTTTTCAAACAGGTTTCTATGCATTTCTACCAATTTTGAATAAGATGTAGCAAAAAAGAATTGATGGGATGGAAAAAAAATGGTCTAGATTTTGACATAAAAAGCCAAAAAAAATTTCGTAATTTAAACAAATATCAGAAAAGACCTTACTCTTTACATAATTGACGTATGAGAGTTTATTTAATTCCATAATTTTGTCATTTTGAATAATTGTTACATTTTAAATTGTTCGCAGATGACGATCCCGCTAGCACCAAAATGCTTGTATGACAACGCAGATAAATACGGTGTCGTTTCCATACACATCTACTTTATAAACGAGCCCTGGACTATTAAATGCGTGTAAGTTTACAAATAACGTAACCATAACGTAAAAAGTTCAACATGGGTTAGCTATGACAACAGGATGTAAAACAATAGTGTGTCCAGTGACCAAGGACCATGTTCCGACCATTCAGAATTAAACGCGAAAAAATATTTTTAGATTTTAATGCGGATCTAAGTCTGGCCATCATGACTTTCGGATCAACCCTTGTCTCAATACCTATACCTATTGTTTTTGGTTTATTCGACTACATAACGAAATCACCGATAATTTCTTAGGGACGGTGACTCCATCAAGAAGGCAGGCGTGGTCGACAGGCTGAAGTTGAATGGCGCGAAATACGCGTACAAAATCACGGATGGACTCAAGAACATTTTCGGCTAAATTTCCGAACGAGAATAACCGCTACTTCGGCCATCCTAAGCACCAATTGTCGCAACCATTTCGGCGTTTTACTTATCTGCGACATTTGTGTCAGATGTAAATAATTTATGATTTTATTTTTTTTACTATATCGATTTTTTGATTGTTTTAATCCATGTACACGTGCGGTGCTTGTCCATTAAGTTTTTAGATATAATAATTAATAAAGTTACCTCGACTTTACTTTCTTTTTATTTCTTTGACTTGTACTAGTCTCGTACACGACTGACCTCGCTCGATTTTAGGAGCAATACGATTTATTATAATATTTTTACATTTTAAAAAAATAAATCAATTTCTTAGTGTTAGAAAATTTTGAGTGTGTATTCGTCCGAATAATTTATATTTACTGAAAATTCGTTGCAAACCTAAAAATGTGATGCGATACCAATCAAAGATACTGGAAAACATGTTAAAAATCTACTAATCTACAGACTTATAATGAATAAAGAAGATGAATACGAATCAGCAGAATTCATAATAATTAATAATAAATCCAGTTATACTGATATTGCTATCTAGAAGGCCTTCACCCGAAGAGGGAACTGGATTGCACGGATTGGACTTTATTACACTTAATATCATTCATACGAATATACCTACCAATGGAATATTAAAGGCTTTTTTGTTTTTTATTTATTTATAATATTTCATACCTGTACTGATCCAACATGGAATTTTTGTTGTTACCGTCCTTACTGTGTTCACTTTAGTGGACGATAAGGACCATCTCTCATCCATGAAGCGAATGGGCCATTTTACGACAGGTATATCTTATTTGGGATATCTAAGGCCTATTCTTAAATAACCGTACCGAAAAATATACATGGTAAACCATTTCGCGAACGACAACCCACCGACACCCTACGTTGTACGATTATGGCACCAGGCAGATACACATACAAATATTGAGCTAGTTATGTATATGGAGTAGTATTGTAGCTAGTTTTCGTGATATTATAAGAATTTCTACCATTCGGTGATCACACATAAAATGATGATCGAAATTAAATTACTTACAAAATAAATAATCGGTCAATATTTAAATATTATGTAACTTGAAAGAAAAAAATAAAAAGATCTGACGAACCGATTACTTATTCGCTATCTTATCGATTTTTTTTATAATTTACTAGTGTTACTAAGTTTGATTTAACGATAAAATAGATATTTCATCGTTATAAATAGCTACAAAATTCATTGAAGTTAATTTATGCCGTACTTACTGGAAGAGAACCAACAATGAAACAGATATTACTATTTTTGATGGTTCTTTGCGGTACCTATGGTAAGTGAAAAAAGTTTTATTTGATGTAAATTAATATGGTGATCCAACTTCTATCCTATATGGAAGCTTACCTTAACATCGAACTATAGTTTGAAATCATCGTTTCGACTTTCCCTCTTATGTCTTGTCGATGCTTTTAAGACGGTAATGCCTTAAGACTAACAATCAGATTGTCTCACTGTGATACGTAATGTACACATTTTTTCAAAGGCAATGTTCTAAACCAATTTTTTTTTTCTTGAAAGGGAAAATAATCGATCTCTTCTTTTGATTATTTATAATGATTAGGTATTAATCCTGCCCGCAGGGCCAAGCATGCAATGGAATTTAAAAAACGCTTGGGCTTCAATCAAACTTGATTGTATTTTGCAAAAAGCAAAAGCCCTTAAAAATTATAGCTAAAAACTTATTTAAAAATATCCGCGATGCTGGAATCAAGTATTCTAAAGACTTCTAAGTAGAGCATATCATCGTACAGAGCCGAAAAAGATTGCATAAAAGGCGAAAAATACAGTTAGTTCTTAAAGTATAAAGTTACAAATATTTTTTTGTCACGATAATTTTAAGTAGATACTACAATGATCTTTAATAATACAGAATATAGATGACGCATGTCCATACCGCGCGGCGTTTTAATATTGTTCCGCTTTACATTATAATGACGTAATCACGTAAGTGAACGTGATAGATGATATAGAACGTATGATACGGAACATGATAGCAGTCTATAGAGTTGCAATCTAATAGTTTCGGTACGCTATTGTCATATCTACCTAGTATTTGTATATAATATCATTGAAGTACTATATACCTAGTTTATATGCCGTCATCATAAATATTGCGATCATGGCTTCTTAATGCCAATAGAAATATGGAGATAAAAATAAAACGATCAAAATCATTTTGCCTAAATGTTAATTGGTGTGCGAGTATATACTTAGTATTTTAAGTAAAATATCTAAATTACATGTTTGTAAATATATCTCTGTTTATTGCAGGACAATGGGAGAGTGGTCTAAGAGGTAAGAATTTGACAACTATTTTTACTTCTGGCGGACAATATCTCTAATATTTATGGATACTGCTGCTTTAGTTTAAAAACGGCCAGTATGTTTAACCACAAAACCATCTCTTTCAGTGTTTTTTGCGAAAATGATAATGTGATAGAAAATTAGATTTTTCTAAGAGTTTCTCTCTATATGTTTCTTTGTGATTTGATAAAAATTGTTGCCAAAGGAATCAGATTTTCTGATTGCAATCGATTAATACATCTAATCAAGATTGATAAAATGTTGTTATTTAATATTGTTTTGATAAAATTAATGATTCGTGTGCCTATTCAAACGTAAAGTAAACATTCATAATAAGTAATTAAATGTTATATTAATTACAATTATCACTATCTTTTAATCTAAGACTTTTACTTTTAAGGACGATAACGATTAATACAAAAATTACAATATATTAGTATTGCCACAAAGAAGTTGATGGAAATTCTATTACCTTTCTGTCTAAATTTTCTATGGAGTACCATCATTCATTCCGGTGAACAATGCGCCCTGAACATGCTATAATCTCACAGTGAAGTTCAGCGTTGGGCTACGCCCTGGCACGGACTTCTTCTTCCCGATCCCGCGCACGCTGGAGGCGGCGGAATCCGAAGGCTGGAGTGCGGTGGCTCGGCCCACGGGACCACTGCCCAGCCTCACCATGTACTGCCCCGACGACAGGGTTGTGTGCGCGCTGTTCGACGACGACGGCAATGTTGCCGGCTTGCAAATCTCCGTAAGTGTCGTACCTGTCGGGGGTCCCGCTAGCAACACTTTACGCACGGAGAAACCCACACAACGCGTACACAAGGTTCACACGCGGTCCAGGGCGGCCCTCACCGCCCCCAGCCACCTATTAATACAGTCAACGATCATCGGGACCACGGTACATACCAAACATCGATTGCCCGCGGGTGACATATCTTCCGATAACATGAGCATAGTATGAGCACATGCGCGGCCCTAGCCTGAAGGGCGAGCTCGTGTGTTCTAATAGCCCAAGAGTTCTACCTTCGATGAAGCTTTAATAGTCTACAGACTCAAAGCAAAAGCATCAGGTAAAGTAGTCTATAAGTACGACGGTAACAGCAGTGATATCTTTGTCAGTCTTTATTTATCAATTACACAATGAAAGGAAATTAAACACAATTAGCCCAGTGCCTACTGCCAGCTTTCGAAGATTGAAACTTTTTCTGTGGTAGAGCCAATCAGCCAGCTTCTCTTGTTGGGTCTGTTCATCTGGAGAAATACTAAGAATTAATTAATATAGTGACGATCAACAGCAGCTACCGCTACAAGAATAGGTCAGATTGACGGGAGAAGCACCACAGCTTTACGAAAAATCAGCATAAAGTAAAAGTATTTATTATTTTAAGTCACTTATGTACCTCGTGGTCCAATGGTTGACAAGGTGACTGCAACGTCTTTGGTGTCGTGTGTCCATTAGTGAGCCCAGCTGCCATTTCTGCTCTTTGAATTAAAAAAATCACGGCCTCACAGAGGTCCAGTGTGAAGCGTATCTATTAATTCTTTAGCGTTTCATTTGGTTCACTTCTAAAAGGTTGGTAATGGGTAAAGTAAAACTTAAAGGCTGACATATAAAATAAATTCTTATAGATGTCCAAGGACGATATTTCTGGTTCCGCGCTGGACTGGATTACACAAGGGTTCACCGAATGGACCGCGACCACGGCAGCTGGAGAGACTAAAGAATTCTGGTCTATCCAACAATACTTCGTGTCAGACGGTTAGATTAATATATATTTATCTTGACTCTTTCCCTCGACAAAAGTATTCATAAAGTTTATTATAAATTGTCTGCACACTGCACGTGATTGATTTTGCTGACGAATAAGTGTAGTACGTGTAGGAAATGAAATCAGAAAATAGTTTTTATAAATTAATTGTTGGTTCATCATCTTAACCACAATCAACCTACTGTAATTCAGTAGGACACGATGAATTAATACGCAATAAATGTGGGTGTTTTTACTGGTATGTTATTGGTACTTCGATATTCTTGAAGTAGTTGTAAAGTTTAGGTTATTTATAGTATTATATATTCCAGTATCTAACATTATATAAAACATAACTATTATAAAAATCTATAATATCAACTTACCTTAAATAGTTTTGTAGCATGACATGAAACATAATCAATTATTAAACTTACTTTTATAATAGAAACACATATAGAATTAAACGTTAAATTAACTATTATACACACTTATGGCTGAATTTTTAAAATAAAAACCGGCGAAGTGTGAGTCGAACTCGCGCACGAAGAGTTCTGTACCATTATGTATAAAAACGGCAAAAAATGTCATATCTGTTGTATGGGAGCCCCACTTAAATATTTTTTGTTTTTTAGACTTTTTTTGTTATATAGTAGCAACAGAAATACATCATTTGTGAAAATGTCAACTGTCTAACTATCACGGTTCATAAGATACAGTCTTGAGTGTAGAGTCGGGGTCTTAGCAATAGGGTCCCGTTTTACCCTTCGGATACGGAACCCTCAAAAGATATCATCTGGAAGGTAAAATGTTATAGTTTCAAAACAACGTTCATTGGTGATCACAGCGACCCTGAACATGAGCAAGGAGGATCGCATCCGTGCTTTCGAGCGGTCCTTGATGCGCGAAGGAGCCGTTTGGGTCTCTGGCTTCAACGGCGAGTTGATGAAGATCTCTAACAAGGCTGATGACATCGCTGACAGCGTGTTCACACGCCAAGCATGCATCCCTTGGATGGGTGAGTGCATGTTATAGATCTTTATTGGTAATCACAAATAATGTACAAGTAATTTAAAATACAATTATATTGATCAGATTTTAGACAAGGTCTGGGGTTCAGCTTTCTTACACACATTGTGCACAACACTGATATTATAACCCAACGTGTGGTTTTTTAGGAAGCATCGAGTGGGTATTCAGCTCACGACCTTATCCAAGGAACTGCGTTTAAGGAGCCTTTTTAAATTACTTTTGTTTCTAAAGATTGCAATCTTATATTTTACTAGATAATAGCCGTCTTCGTCAGCATTGCTTATTATATTAACAATGTATTTTCTCTTTTTATTGACTTTAACACAAATTTTTTGCGCCTGCGTTTAATTTACATGCTTTTTCAGTTATAATGAGATACTTTCTTCTTCTTAGGAAAATCACCTAAATTGTCAAATGCACAAATATTGTACTAGAGCGTAAATAAAAATATTTACAATGCGATTCAAATAAGAATCGGACTCACGTAGCACCATCTTGAGATGTCATAGCTGTCAATCCGGACCAATTCTTATTTCTTCCTCCTCAGGCCGTCACTACTACTACAACATGACGTCGGAGACCACCTGCACGGCAGACACCCTACTACCTTGGTTCCCGATTGTGCACTCCGATGAGCTCATCGCCATGGGCCTGATCATGCACGGCCAGAATTCGGCTAAGGACGGCGGAAGGGACTGGTACGAGAGGCCAAGCAAAATTGCCGTTCAGGTAAGGTTAAATTTTAACCTGATCGTTTGACCTAATTGCGAATGCAGTTAGTGATGTGAACTAGTGATAGTGAATTAGTGAGTTAGTGAACCGAAACTGTGACCACGCGACAGTTTGCTGTTGCACGAATAGGCAGGTCCGTTCGGGTTAATACCACGACCTCACAGAAGACCGGCGTAAAGTGGAAGTATAATACTTTCGGTCCGGGTTAGTACGACTTCACAGAAGACCGGCGTAAAGTAGAATTGTTACACTTCTGCGTTTCGTCTAGTGAGGTAGCCGGAGCATACATTATTAAAAGGTGGCAACAAATCTGCAACTCTTTTTGCAAATGTCCGTGGGCGGCGGTTATCACTTAACATCAAGTGAACCGCCAGCTCGTTTGCCACTTTCTCACCAAAAAACCCCTACACATTAACGAAGACATATTTGAAGTTTTATTAAAGCACCTTGTTATATTCGAAAATGTCACACGTGAAATGTTTTCACGTTTGAAAATGTCCACGGATCCCGTATTTCCAATGCATTTAATATGAATGCATTATAAAAAACGGAAGATTATCTCGAAGCATGTATGATATACGACAAAACTTTCACTGAATCATCCAAATGCTATTTCCAAATCGGTTAGTGCCATTTTGCATTGTTTAACGTGGACGATTACTTACGTAATTATATGAAAAAATCCTTTTAGATTTTTTCGATAACTTATTTAAGTAATCAGATTAAAACCCATCTATTACAAACACGATGAAATAATGCAACTTTTGTCATTTTTCGTCATGGCTTGACGCTGCATGGTTTTAATGTCGGTTGCGTTTTGTTTCAGGCTATCGTCCCCGACGGCCCTGAATGCCTTTATAACATGGCTTCCACTCCCGGCATTGTCACCATGCACATATACTACGTCGAAAAACCGTGGTTCATCGGTTGCTTGACGAACTAACCGAGTAAACAACGTTTCAATATAACTGCGTTATATTAAATTTGTAGTATTCATTTACCCTAGCATCCCTGAAAGAAATGCTGCGAAGTATTAGAATCAATTTAGAGTCCCAACGGTTTCAAGTTTTTTTTTTTCACTTCTACCATTCTATTTAGTATTTAAAATGCTCTAATTTATATCTTTCAAACGTCGTCTCAACGGACATATCTAATAGACCTAGTATTCGCGGCATGGTGCCAAGAACGCTGGCTGCATTTCATCGCTGAATAATTATTCTTAACATTTGAGCGAGAAGAGGGAAAAATTAAATTATTATTTTCGGCCTAGGCAAAGTACGTACATAATCACTACGTTTTACTACATAAGGCGTAGCGCAGTACATATAGATTTGGTTACTGGGTATATAATTTTGACATAAGTATTATGGAGCTAAAAGAGCTCAAATACCTATCGCTATTAAACAAATCTATCTGTAGATAGAATATTGAAACCGGCCGTAAGATGATCAAGTAGATCATCTTACGGCCGGTCTCCATATTAATAATAGTAGTGAAGAGGGACGACCCGAATGGCGTTGTGGGTAGTGTACCTGCCTCCTGCGCCAGAGGGTGTGGGTTCGATCCCCACTACTGGAAAAATATTGTGTGATGAACATGGTGTTTTTCTAGTGTCTGGGTGTTTCTCTATGTATAATATGTATTAATTTACAAAAGAAAAATATGTTTATGTATGTTTATCAATTTTCTAGTACCCATAGTACAAGCTTTGCTTAGTTTGGGACTAGAAAATGTTGTGTACAAATGTGTCCTAAAATAAATATATATATATATTTAGATAGTTGGCACTAGAGCTCCGGGGCGGTTCTCACCGCCCCCAGCCACCGATTAGCTAAAAACACAGTCGACGGCCATCGGGGTCTCGGTCCGCACTGCAACTTCGATGGCCCTTAGATGACATGTCGTAGTAAAACGCACGCATGAGCACATGCGCGTCCCTACCCACAGCGGAGGGCCCAAACCCGTGGGTTCTGGCTATCCCACCGGCTTCTCCGTCAGATGAAGCTTTAATAGTCTCGGGACTGAAAGACAAAAAACATAAACATGTAACGTTTCTTTTATAGGATGGTGTCTAGATAATGATGGGAAGATTTAATAAAAGATTTATTTGCAGTTAAGATGTATTTATCTCTCCAATTTAAAGTTACAATCCCTGGACTAGCTCGGATACAATATATTTAAAATATAGTAATAATAATAATGAGTTGGGCGCCTTGCTGTTAGGAACAGACTGTAGAAATAATCCCAATTAAGTATCTCAGGGAGTTGTGAGTACATAGGACCTACACATTACTTTGTGCAACCATAAAAGGTTAAATAATTAAATTAATTTGAGATTATGAAAGTTATGCAATTCAATTCAAAAACAAAGTCCAATCAGGTAGTTATTTTAAATCTTTGTCACCGCAGACACCAGCCCTGTGTGCACAGGTCAGCGTTGAGTTCAGAACCAGTAGAGAAAATCAGGCCAAGTGTAGTGTGTACAGCCCACACTGTTGGGGGGGTATGTAGGAGACCTCCTGCCAACAAACACTACATTGTAGAACTAACAAAGGCAGGGATTTGAATCCACCCACAATTATAAGATGTAAAACACTTACCAACTGGAGGTAAAAAACAATATTTAATTGAGCAGCAGCTCAGACCAGCTTGCCAGCCACCTATGCCTTCAGCATCCACCTGTGATATTTGAAAAACCATACTTAGAAACACGAGACAATAAATTCTCAACCTACCTTCATGTGAATTTCTAAATACATTCTCAATGCAAGTCTTTTACAATTTTAGTAGGAAACCAGTGAAAATAACAAAGGATCTTACCACGAGGGACAAGAAATCCAGCACAGAGTTTCCCAGACAGCAATCACAAATAATACGACCAGGAATGTGTTCTGATTTCAACCTCTAGCCATGCACTGTAAAAAGCGAATTGATAAGAAAACGAAATACGTAAACAAAACAACCACTGGCATGAACGAAACCAAGCAATTACTTACCGGTCGAAGATAATAGATCCACAAAAACTAATTTATCCAATGTCAATTCGAACCGGCGGCAATCTCAAATGACAAGTACGACCAAATGAAGTTAAGGACGCGTTTACGAATTCACGCGCTTCAATTTTAGGTACAGAGGCGTACTACTACACGTGCACGGCTCACGCACACAGCGACAAGCGCGAAGCAGCGAAACTTTATGTAACTGACGCAACTTGATACTTTTATTTAATTTGAAGTCATTTATTTTTTAAGCTTACGTTAAATTTGTTTTCAACAAGTTTTTTTAAACTGAATATTTTTTTATATATTTAGGTATAATTTATTAAATTTCATTTAAAAGCTCGTAGCTGTTGATAATTTGCGTTTTAATTAATTATATATATAATTTAATTTTATGTTTTAATTAATTTTTATGAAGTAAACGAAGCTTGTTTTTATACATGTTTGATTATGCGTGCGGTAGGTAGATAGCTTGATAGGTAGGTAATGGTAGGGTACGTAGGAAGGTAGCTATGTAGGCAGATAATTAGGTAAAACCCGCTAACGAATTGAGTAAAATACTTTGTATGGTATTCTGAATGCATTTTGCTAATTCAATAATATTCATGCTAAATGTTAAAAAAAATAATTTTCTGTAAATGAATTGGAAATAGCATGGCGTACGAAGCCGGGCTAGTATCTAGAAACTAAAAATGAAAAATAAAACGAAGGAAACAAACTAGTAAAAATTAAAAAAACATTTTTATAAAAAAAAACCTGTCGCACTCGGCTCAGCTGGGGTAAAGCTACAGCATAGCATTTTTTATCAACTTATGCGATTATAATTATTTAATTATGCAGTATTTTTTTTCTTTGATATTTATATTTATGTTAATAAATAATAATATTTTAATAATATAATAATTAATTTATATTATTTACAAAAATGATAAGAACTACTAAGTCAGTCACTAAGCTCTGGATAGTTAAATTACAATATACTAACATTTTTTAAACTTGTGATATCTTTCGAATGGAATGTCCGAATTTAATCATTCAAAAAGTCTTAAATATAAAGTAATTTATTTTTATAAGAATTAATACCAAGATACAAATAAAGAGCCTTTTCTAGCGGCGGCATTTCAGTCAAAATTTTAAAGTAAAAGAATACTTATTGTGGCATAATTATAATAGTTAGACATATACTGTCGCAACACTTTTTATAAATAATGATGTGTTCTGCAAATTCGTAGTACATTATTTTATACAATTATCAATAGTTTTAGCAGCGCACGCGATGCAAACAATATTTTAGGTAATTTTTGTACACTTTGGTTTACATTATCAAGTTTTAGTAAGGATTCCTAGTTTTTTGAAAATTTTATATATCCTATGTCATCCGGGGATAATGTAGCTTCGAGACAGTGAAAGAAATTTTCAAATCTGTTCAGTGGTTTAGGAGCCTATTCAATGCATAAAACAATCAAATCTTTCCTCTTGCGTGCTAGGCGGAGTGGGTGGTGTTAGGTTTTATTTTCGTTACGGAATTTATTGATTCGTTCGCCGCGCTCAAAGCCCGCGATAAAAGCTGTGCAATAGCTTAAAAAAATATTGTTTCATTTTTTAATTTGACTCTTCCATGCTCTTCGCAGAACTGTCGCTATGTCGATCCTGGGTGGAGCAAGCCCGCGAGGCCAATTTATACCTCCGACACGAGGTTCTGGCTCCGCCTTTTGATGTTCACTCTAGGGATAGGGAAGACCACACGGAGTCGGGGTGCTCTGTGTCGGATCTTTGTGATTTTTCTTTATAGTTCTCTATCATTTAATTATTTTTGTTATCTATATCGAAGTAGTAGCCTGCTAAAATTTTATCGTTTTAGGCTTTGGCATCTGAAACAACAATTGAGTTATAAGAGGTATAAATGTTGTATGTGATAACTGTGCCATAAAAATAAGTCTTTGATAATTTAAGTTGAGACCCACTACATTTTTACATAACTATTTTTTTTTTCGTGTTTTGCCTATTTTAAAGACGGTCTTACTTATTTTAAATTAAGTATTATTTTAGGCAGAATCCATGATCATAAAAGTTGATCAGTGCGAAACACGACAAAACAATAAACGATAAATGGGGTCATAAACGTGAAACAAAAAGTTTGCCACATAGCTGTCGTTCGAAACTTTTGAAGTACATGTTTATTACACCTATTCATTGAAACATACAAAAAAATGACCTTTTAGACATGCCTAATCTTACAATTTGCAAAGTGTGCAAATTTGTTTTGTATTACTTGTATTTTTAATTATCCATACAACTTTTCTACATGTGGTGTACTTTTGGCCAACATTTGGCTGCATGGAAATAAGAATTTATAATAAAATACCAGATAGGTTCACAGGCCTGCCGGAGTATTTAAATTTAAACGAAAATTCTAAAATCTGTACACTGTAAAATTAGACATTTAAAATATTTAATCATGTCTAAGTAATGTAGAATGTTTATATTAAAAATTCATTACTTTGACTTGTGATTTACTTTGACTTATATTTATACTCTATTGACTCATAATTATAATCTAAATTTCAATTTTTTTTTATATTAACATGTTTCACAAATATTTATACACAGAATTGATGTAGAATACGTAGTTCCATATTTTAAATAACTTTTTTACTGTATTCTTACACCTTCATGCCAATACATCAATTTCAAAGGTAAGGTCTCAAAAAAACTAACAAAACAAGCCCAAACTCGACACACGTAGCTCATCTCGTCTGTTAGTTGCAGTAGCAGTTCTCGAAGTACACCTTCAGGTCACTCCATCTAGTCAGAAGGCAAGATCTCACCATACCTAACAAAACAAGCCCAAACTCGACACACATAGCTCATCTCGTCTGTTAGTTCCAGTAGCAGTTCTCGAAGTACACCTTCAGGTCACTCCATCTAGTCAGAAGGCAAGGTCTCACCATACCTAATAAAACAAGCCCAAATTCGACACACATAGCTCATCTCGTCTGTTAGTTCCAGTAGCAGTTCTCAAAGTACACCTTCAGGTCACTCCATCTAGTCAGAAGGCAAGGTCTCACCATACCTAACAAAACAAGCCCAAACTCGACACACATAGCTCATCTCGTCTGTTAGTTCCAGTAGCAGTTCTCAAAGTACACCTTCAGGTCACTCCATCAAGTCAGAAGGCAAGGTCTCACCATACCTAACAAAACACGCCCAAACTCGACACACATAGCTCATCTCGTCTGTTAGTTCCAGTAGCAGTTCTCGAAGTACACCTTCAGGTCACTCCATCAAGTCCGTAACGAAATATGAATTTTTAACCCCTACTAATTTCTAGTAAAAATATGACAAAGTGTGAATTATAGTTTACTTTTGTCGTTCGTAGTCCGAAGTCCGAACATGATGTGTAAAGTATCAACTTTGTTACGACAAATATTTTGTATTCGTACAGCGATCTTTTTCCTCACGAGCTGCTGTTTATAAGCGACATAGTGACCACTCATGACGGCAGCCGAGCGCCGACTAATATTTCTTTAAATATTTTTGTGGAATAAATCAAAAAAGTGACCAGTAAAATAACCTTTATGTCAATCAGTTAAGATTCACGCGTAAGATATAAATGTGAAAGAAATAGATTTTAATCTTTATTTTTTTCTGAAACTAATTTCAACAATTTTGATACGTAATGTAGCTACCTTTTTGAGTTGAACATGTGTGTTTACATAAAATATTTTTAAATAAAAAAAATATGTTATTAAATAAGAGAAAAATGTTCCTAAACCCAACAGGATATCGTCCATTTTGAGTGAAGTGGTCACGAAAATTCTCATTTACAATATTATAAACCAAAATTTTCGATTAAAAACTATCTACCATTTGAAGATGAAGGAGGGATCTATATGTGATAATTATTACTTACATTATATTCGTTTCGTTTTGCCGCAAAATGTACCTGAAAACGCCCTATTTTTCCAGATTCCGCGAGATTTCGCAAACACGCCCTTAACTTTTACATTCGTCCTTTCGAACAGGCAAAGGTTCATATGACATGCAGCCTAGTCTTTAGAAAAACGACAATTTAGACAAAGTGATGAAATCACACGTTACAAACATCAGTTAATACAAGATACAAGATACAAGGCACTAGAGACATCTCGCATGAGCGACTACAAAGTATCTAGGATCTATCATATCATCTGAGGATTTTCTAATTTCGCGTGAAGCGCCGCTTTGTTAGATGGGCAAAAACAAATTTGGCTCACAATTTCTCGCAACAGACTAGAGATTTGGGACCACGGATAAAGCCTGGATTCATCGTTATAACGCAGAATCTACTCAAAAATCAAAGCAGTGGAAAAAAATTCTTCCGGTTTGACACCTTCGGACATTCACATATTTGCAAATCTACTAAAACAACTCATTGGAACATAATTTTCATTATTTTTAAATCACATTTTTAAAACCTTGAATAAATATTTTGCAAAAGCAAGAAATGCTGTGGATTTTTTTTTATGTGAAAAGTTGCCAAACGAGCAGACGGTTCATCTGATGGTAAGTGAATACCGCCGCCTATGGACATCTGCTACACCCGAGGGTTACAGAGGCGTTGACAACCTTTTGAAAATTGGGCTCTGGCTACCACCTCACTCATCAGACGAAATGTGAAAGTATTTGTCATACTTCCACTTTACGCTGGTCTTCGGTGAGGTCGTGGTACTAACCCGGACGGACCTGCCCATTCGTGCAACAGCCGAGGCTGCTGCGTGGCCCTTCCACCGTAGAACCACCGGATGGAGCGAGATTCAGATTATCTATGGGGAACAAAAACATTTTATTTTTATTTCTTTGGAGATAAAACTCTCTCACAGGTTATGGTCGATTTTGGATATTTGGATATTACCTATAGAATAAGATAAAAAAAGTCAAATAACAGCCTACATACTTCCACTGCTTTATGCAGGCGTTCTCTGTACATCTACTCTACACAATCACGCGATTCCACTGCGGATTGGCATATATCTTCGAAATAGTTTTTTACTATTTCGAAAACGTGAAGGTTTCCACATGACATTTTTCTTCACCGCTAACCACGTTATAAGCCAGCTTAAAATAGCAATTAACAATTTTATTTATTAATTAACACCCCGACACTGAGCTATCAGGGATAAGATAAATAAACTTCTTTATCGAATGATGTTTTTACCTGCAAATCGCCGTCAATGTCATCGGTGATGTAAATATTTATATTCTTGTTGATAAGCAACTGTAATTATTAATTTAACTTGCACTCGTCCCGACTTCGCACGGGTAGCACAGCTAATACTTTTAGCGCTTACATTGTTTATTCGCTACCCACAAATTTATCTGTAGCAACCTTTTCCAACTTCTTCAACAATCGTCATAGTATTCCAGTCGATTTGCACAAAACCTTCCTGAATTGTCAAAAATCCGTTCAGTAGAATTATGATTATCTTATACATATTATCAATTTTTGTCAAAAAGCCGTATAAAAAGCCGTTCAGTAACATTATGATTATATATAATTGCTACTTTATATGTAATCAATGATAATCAATTTCTACTGAAGAACTCTTGACTAAAATCACCCAGCAGCATAGCAAGGTATCAGCGCTACAAAACCACACTATGTGGGCTTAACCATATGGATGCATACTGTGGTAAAGCTACGCAGCAAGTCTTTGCTGTTGCACGAATGGGCAGGTCCGTCTAGGGAAATACCACGACCTCAATGAAGATCAGCGGAAAGTTTCATCTTTTGAGTGAGGTAACCAGGGCCTGCTTTATTAAAAATTGCAATTATGTCATTAACCCTACCGGTATTGCACATTTTCGTGGGCGGCGGTTATCACTTAACATCACGTGAACCGCCATTCGCTTGCCATCTCCTTACATAAAAAAATACATAAAGTAACAAAAACCATCAAAATTAAAATCGCTACTTTGATTCTCCTATCGTAAACTATTAATCAATTAGGTTTGGTTACTAATCAGCTGATCAAATAAGTAATCAAATCATTATATTTTATAGCATTACAGATTAGCAATAAAATTACTAAATAAGACAGTGACTGTCAAATTAAAGTAACATAAAGCATAATCACCTGATAAAAAAAAACAAACAAAAAAGTGGTAAGTTAATAAAAAAGATTGATAAACAGGTATTAGTTTTTATTAACTAACTGCTGCAGGTACTCTATCAGAACGTTTCTTCAGCTTTTGCTGGCGTCGTTTGAGGTGGCGTTGAATTCGACCAGTGCCCTCCTTCTTCAACTCTTCATATTGTCTCACCAAGGTCTCAACTCGCAGTTCCGCTAAAAGTATAAATTGGTTTACATAAAGCATAAGTGGATAAAACAGAAAAGTTGAGATATAAAGCAAACGGACCAACCATTTGCTTTATATCTCAACTTTTGTACACGTTTTTTCTTATGTCACTTTTCACCCAAGCATACTTATCAACTGTGACAAATGTTACAAAGCATAAGTCCGCAAAGATTTGAACCATAAACCATATCTTCATGTGACCACACCGCCATTAATAATGTTGTGAATTATATATTGTAAAATATTGTTCAGTAATTGGTAATTGATATTCATTAAAATGATTAAAACTTTAAAATAAATTATAGAACTGGAAAAAGTTCATTATAACTTTCCGAACCGTTACAACCTGGGAACCTTCAGGAAGAGAGCATACTCTTTCTTAAAAGGCCAGAAACGCATTTGTGAGCCCTCGGATGTTGCAGGTGTTCATGGGCAGGGGTAATCACTTACCATCAGTTGAGCCTCCTGTTAGTAATATATATACTTACATTTATTCTTAAAGTATGGCTGTTTGCCTTCTCTGAAGACTTTTTCTACTTCCTCTTTCTGTTTCTCTGATTTTTGTTGCTCTACCCTTGCTTTTCTACTAGCTTTATGCTGTTCATTTAGCCTTTGTAACAGACGTTTCAATTTCAAGACTCTTTGCGGGTCTGTTGTCTCCTTAAGCTCTGCCCTTATAGCTTTTATGTCTTGAATTCGAATGTCCGAAAGGAAATTATAATTTTCGGCAAACTGTTTTTTATCAAATTCACCGCATAATGGATCAAACCTAAAATTTATACAAATTTAACAATGTAACCTTATTACATATATATGATACATGTTGTTACAACTACTCGCACCCTTGACATCTTGATTGTCAATGACTTGTCTCGATAGCTTTGAATGTCATTCAATTAGTTAATTCAAAAAGTTCTTAATCCAGAACAAAGTGAAAAAGAAAAAGTGTGAACCAAAAGGTGGTAGGAAAACTGAGAAGAGGTAAAAGAGTGCAAGTGAAGGACTCGTGTGACAGCAAAAGAGCTGTTGCACCTCTAAGTTTGTAATATATATATTAAGATATGAAGCAAAAACCTTGTACCTCTTTTTACGAATATTGCACGAATGCAGAGAAATGAAATTTCCCCACACTTATAGTTTATATAAAAGGTAATGTTATAAGCAGCATATTTTTTTATAGCTTAATTTTGCATAAAAAACATTAAGTCAATAAAGAAAACATTACACACACTACCATGTATTTGACATGCACAAGCGTATACAGTGTTTCGTTACAACCGCGACAATAAATAAACACACGTCTAATGCTACTTGCCAATAATCATAAAAAAATATAAACGTTAAAAAAATCCATAATTAAAAAAAATATTTTTCCAACAAACTAATTAAATAAAAAAGAAACAATATTTGTAACATGGAACGTAATTTTTTTTATCAAATCTAAATGCTTCCAAAGGATAATACTTAATAATTATATGAATAGTTAGGCACATATCGCTATTGCTTATAAATAGTTGTAAGTGAACAAAAACGTAACTTAGGTTTACTCACTACCTTGGATCACGACACTCTTTCTTCTTTACTGTAGCTACATCCTTCAGCATACGTACTGGCCGCTTGGAGCTCATCTCCCTCGGCCTATTCTTATTTTCACGTTTAAAAACTTTTGGTGTATTCCGGACATGATCCTTCTTTCCGAAAACCACTTCTTTATAAAGTTTTGCACCAATGCGTTCCTTCAACTTTTGGAGATCTTCGAAAGACAAGGATGAAAGTTCATTTCTAATAGACGTCTGGAATATAAAAGTTAGAACAAAACAATATACGTTAGACTGAAAAATGCACTTAGGTAAGTTAACGAAAAGAGAAACCGTACCCTTTCAGAGTCATTTTCTTCCAGAGAATTGTCATAATTTTCTTCGCTGTCAGTCATGACAGTGGATACAATTTCAAATACGTAATGTAGAAGTTTATTAGATAGTTTTTTCCATATACTTTTTTTTCACTTTGCCTCAATAATTTATGAAAGATACAGTAGACACATTAAAATAGAAATAATTGTCGCAAGTCGCAACCGCGACCGACATTCAATTGACATTTCAATTGACATTGACAATTGACGTAAGACTATTCTAATGTTACAATGTTGAATTTTATACTCAATAACCCAAAAAAGAAAGAAAAGAAGATCGTTTAGACATAGATTTTATCCCCGCCCTCTAAGTGTTGGCGTGCCCCAGGGATTGGTATTAATTGCCCTAGGACCCCTCAGGTCAAATTGATTATGCGGCGACGACACCGCTCTATACGCGAGCCGTTACAACAAAACCTAGGCCAATGGTTCAGAGAGGTTAAAGAACAACCCGACGGAATTACGTAGGGTGATCATGTTTACTTGGTCTACCACCGAAAGAAACGATTTCTTCTCGTCAAATTACTCGGCTCATTGAAAACGATTAAATAAGTACATGTAACCCTAGATAAAGATTTAACATTTAAGCAGTATTGACTACATTCACACTGTAGTCAATAAGGCTAAATTCGTTGTCTCACTTGACACGGAAGCATCTTGTAATATGAAACAAAGTTATTTTATATAAAACATGTACACGTCCCATTATGAAATAATATGCGAGTGTCTGTTTGACACTTACTCCCGCAAATTAATTACAAGCACTTCAAGTAATCCAAAACTGATTTTGTATATGCGGAACGCTTAATTGAACCGCAACCTAAAAACATCAACACTGTCCACCTTCTTGAAAGAAGCGATGAAAATATGCTTTCAAAGAATCAATGGCAATTCAAGTTTTTTGGTAAAGCTTTCGGAATCCATCCCGCATCCCTGCGAACCGTGCATCCGAGATTACGATGTCCTATGATTGTAATAGCCAATTCGGACGATGCATTAACACGCATGATAATATATTTTATTTTCCGCCATCGCTCAAACGTCCACCGATGTCTGACTCAGCCTAGCGTGGCACGCAACACATATCAAGTGCGTAAAGTGTACACTAAGACACTAACTTTGGTACATAAAGAGCGAATGGTGACCATTCGCTCTTTATGTACCAAACTTTCACCTACGACACGACTTAAGCAGTTCAAAAACGGCCAGGCACACAAGGACATCGTGTTCGTGTGTATGCTGCGAGTCGGGGACGTCTCACTGGAACGAGTAAACGTATGTATTGCGTACTGCAGTAGGCGCGATGAGACCTCGGAGTAGGTTAACCCTTTCAGGCCTTCGTCACCTAGTCCATGAGGTGATGCGTCCCGAGCAACGGCGGGAGACTTAAAATATTTATCATGCGCATTAATGTATCGTCTGGATGTTCACTTACATTCATAGATTGGCGTAATCTCGAATGTACGGTTTGATGGGGTGCGAGATATATTAAGAAAGATTTAACCAAGGGTCTTGAATGAGTATTTATAATTGTCCTTGCCCTTATTCGTATTCTACTTTCAACATAAATCCTTTGTATGGATTTTACTGACGCTGACTTAACATCTGTCATTACTTCATAGTATCAAAATGATTTAAGTTTGTTGACTTAACCAAAATAAACAAGTAAAAGAATAAAAAATTACAATAAATGGATTTTGATGAAACCGTAACAGTCTGTAAAGTGTACACTCCAAGTGGACTTTGTTATTTGCTAATTAATTGGTTGGTAAATTCTTTCGAATTGTACCTGTACACAAAAAATAAACTTTGGGAAGGAAAATTCTCACCAGACAGACTTGAAAGCTTCAGTAAAAACCTCCAATTAAGTGAAGATGCCTATTTTTCAAGAATTAAGCAATGCTTGTCAGAGCAGAGATCCAACTATAATTATGAATTTAAAAATGGATTTTTTTACTGGAAAAGAAAATTTGAACTCTCAGTAATTATTGAAGGCTTTTTGCCGTTGGACTTAAACACAACACCTTCTGATACGGATCCACATTTCATAGAAACGTTGATAAATATAAATAGACATCTTAAAGAAAGACTCAATAGACTACAATCCAAATTAACAACAGTCAAAATTGATTATGAAGATCACTTAACGGATACCGAAGATTTTATAAAATTAAAAGAGAAAATGGAAAATTATTTGTGCCAAAAATTTTTAAACTTGATTTGCTTAAAAAGGTCTAAAATAAAAATATTAGATTCCGATATAACTATGAGACACAAAAATACAACAAATATATTAAGTGAACAAGAAGATTCCTCTGAAGTTGAATGAAGCTGACTACGTGACCTGACAATTTGTAAAACTTTGATGTTTACAATCTTAATTAAGTAAACCAAAACTGATATTTTAAACTTTCTGAATAGATAAATGATATACAAATAACTTATTAGTCTTTGCATTCATAACCAAGTCGCTGCATTAAGATAAGGTATTTCATTAGTACTTTTTAACTAAAAAAGTTTAAGTAAAAAAATTTCACAAAAATGCATACCATAAGGATTCAGTTATGACCAGAATTGAACTAATGAAGCGTACGAGTATAACCTGAAACTTTAAATTATAAATGTTTTGTTGATAAATGAACAGAAACTTTTGACGCTGCGGGATTCGAACCTGTCGTCTAGTTTCTCGAACAAGTGTCATCTAGCGTGTATTCTTTACGTCATACAACACCTTACAGTATATTGAACAATGAACTTTTATAATAATTTCGCCATTGCTCCTTAAATTTTTAGAAGCATTTTTATTTTTAGTGCTACGTAGTGTCTTCAGTAAAGATGAAAAAAACTTTAAATTATAATTTTTTGGAGATTAACAAAATCTTTCGGCACAGCGGGATTCGTGTAAAGGATACACTAGATGACGCCTAGAATTGTTATAATGCATTAAAAAGAACGTAGATGGGGGTCAAGATTTTATCTATAAAAAAATGTAATTTAAAGTTTAATCTTTAGTGCAGAGACTGATCCTAAAATTGTATGACCAAAAGTTAAAAGTAAAAACGTCGACTTCATTTGCTGCCTAAATAAATTAGTAAAATATGAATAAGCACACTGCAAAGATCGAAAACAAACGTTATGAATCTGCCAGAAATAAAGTGCTACGGTATTATGCTTAAAACTTTTCTTAATCGTTATTATTTAAAACTTCTTCTTTCGTTATTATGATAGGCTTACATATCGTATAATTATCTGTCTCGGTTTATATCCGACTTTTCCAAAAAATTCGGCGCTTTGAAATTTAAGACTTATGCTACCGTAACGATAATTTTAACATATTCTATTTTATGGACACTTCTATAAATTTGGATAGTACTCCTTATTTATAACTAACGCTCGGTAAAACACTGATCAAGTGATCATCGTAGAATTCAACTAATCAGCTGTCGAATGGCTTTTCAAATGTTATTTAAATTTTTCTTAAAATATATAACAAATCTAAATTTTGGTTTCACTTTTAGAATTAAATAACGTTTTATTTGTCATTGAAAAAAAATTACATTATTTTTTAGCATTATTTTAGCAATAAGCATGATTTTGCCAAAACTATAGCAGCAGCACATTTGGACACATTTTATATTAGTTTTGTTGGCAGCACTGGTCACCCCATGTTTTCGGCAGGCCTGCCAACTTAGGGGTCTCCCCCCTTTATGGGGTAAACAAATGCGTTAGGAATGTTTTAGGGGCGTTATATTTTTTGAGTTATTTTGGGGATTATATAAGAATACAAAATATTCTTATATTTTTCCTGATAAAGAAATATAAGGTATAAAATTAAGGGCCTCGAGTCACGCAACCTAGCCAATCATATCTATATTTTGACCTAGCGGCTTACCCAAAACTAGTACGGTTTCTCATTCCTAGAAATGTGAAGTTCAAGTATGCAGAGAAGAAATAAGGAAACCTGTCTCTGTGTATTAAAAAATGTCCGTTAAACGCATTCACAGTGTGTAAACGGACAGTATCGGAATACTTGGCGTCGAAATCTCGAGCAATGTCCAGTTCCGCGGTCAATTGGAAAGTAAGGCCAAATTGGCCTCAAAGAAGCTCGGTGTGCTCAGCAAGGCGAGACAGTACTTCACGTCGGCTCAACGCCTAAACCTTTATAAGGCGCAAATTCGGCCCCACATGGAGTACTGCTCTTACCTCTGGGCGGGAGCCCCCTGTTACCATCTTCTTCCATTTGACCGCATCCAACGTAGGGCAGCTAGGATTATCGACGATCAAGGTCTTTCCGATCAGCTTGATCCTTTGGCTATGAGTAGAGATGTTGGGTCACTCTGCATCTTCTACCGCATCTATCATGGGGAGTGTTCCGAGGAATTGTTTGGATTGACCCCAGCGGCTGAATTTCACCATCGGACATCGCGCCAAAACCAAAAATTTCATCCACATCACCTCGATGTCCAGCGTTCCACAACAGCGCGATTTTCAAGGCATTTCCTGCCTCGCACAACCACTCTGTGGAACCAGCTGCCGCCGGCGGTCTTTCCGAACCGTTACGACCTGGGAACCTTCAAGAAGAGAGCGTACTCATTCCTAAAAGGCCGGCAATGCATTTGTAAGCCCTCGGGTGTTGCAGATGTCCATGGGCGGCGGTGATCACTTACCATCAGGTGAGCCTCCTGCTCGTTTGCTGTTTTTTTTCCCATAAAAAAAAAATTCAGTTGCAAAAGTTTTAAAGAACGCGCCTTAGTACTTAAATTTTTTTATCTTTCATTATGAATCTGATTTTTAGGATTACGGAATAAAAAAATATTGACCGTCTACAGAAATCATAAGAGGCAATTTTTTTATAAAATAAAAATCCCTACGACTTGTGTTTGTTTAAACACTTTTTATGAGACCAACATTTTCGTTGCAATATCCCTGTATTTACAGAATTCAATTAGAAGTTGAGACAAAAACCTGTGCGCTATGTTTTGTTTATTTTTATTAGTCATTTTATTAGGGGGTTTTAGGTGTTTTTGGCTTAAGCGTTATGGTCAAATATCTTCGAGAGTTGGTAGCACCTGGTTTTCAGCAGGGTAGCCAACTTAGTAGTTTTCCCCCAAATTTAGGGTGTAAACAAACGCGTTGGGATTTCTCTAGGGGTGTTTATATTTTTAGGGATTTTTTGACTTCTTATATTTTTTCCTCAGTTTTATTTCTTATAAAATTTTATTTCTTTCTTAAAAAATAAAGGTCACATTTATTTGTTGACCTAGCGACATTTAGTAAGGTTTTCAACGGACTTCAAAAAGGGAGAAGGTTCTCAATTAGACTGTATTTTTTATGGTTGTTACCTCCAAACTTTCGACTGAGTGAACCGATTTTGATGAATCTGTTTTTTATTTGAAAGCTGGCGCTTTCCATGTGCTACCATATTAATTTCATTGGTATTGGATCTTGTGCTACGGAGATACATAGATAACTCCTGAAAATCAATTGTAAAATGAATACAGTGCGAGATATTTCAAGTGGGTTTTGTTTTGCGTTAATAATTCATTACTGTTTCCGTCAAAACGCATTCGATAGCGATAGCGTAGGATAAATTTTAAGCCCGATTTACACTGGTCAAGTGTACAGAAGAAAGTACATTAAGTCCAGTAGTGTAAACCGTCGGACAGTGGCGAGTCAATTTGGCTTGCAAGCTACCAGACCCAAATAGAATCGCTTTCATTTTCTGGTGCTTAATCCCCACAGGACACTTGACTCGTCACTTGCCATTGTGTAAACAGTCAAATTAGTACAGTAATGAAATTTGAACGTATTACTCATCCATTTTTGTCGTTTGAAATGCCAATGTACTTACTGTAGTGTATACAGTGTCCGGTGCATGCCGCTAGTCAAACATATTGGTTGACTAAAGAAATCATAAGAGACAATTTTTTTATAAAATTAAAATTCCTACAATTTTTGTTTGAACACTTTTTACAAGACCAATGACGATTTAATTCACTGTATTTTTCCATTCATGTGGAAATTAAGGCAAAAACCTTTGCGCTACTTGTTAGTTATAATTTTTTTAATAATATTATTGGGGGTTTTAGGTTTTACTTAAAATTTAGGGATAAATATTTTTGAGAGTTGGTAACGTTGGTTTTCAGTGTTGTTATGACTTTTTCTCATGTTATCTGTCAATATAACGTAAAGCAAATCAATATATTTTTATTCATTGCAAACTCACGCGAAATACAAATGTAATGTAATTAATAGATATAATCAACGATTTATGAAATCATAACTACTATATTTAGAAAAACAAAATGAGTTTTTCTTTGGTCAGCAATACGACGATTACGAAGTTTGTCATCGAGGGCAAAGTGATTTACGCAAAAATTAATTGGGAACAAAATGAGAATAATGTATTCCAAATAAAAATATTCGATAATGGGAATAGTTGGTCTGGTTCCTTTTCTAAACAGTTTGCAGAAGAGTGTAGAACAGATATTGAAGAAAATGTAGAAGAATATTATGAAAATGTCAAGATGTGCTTATCAAATATTTGTGATAAGTATGTGTACGAACTTACGTACAAGCCGGAGGACACGGATGTTGCAACCTTTAAATGGAAAAAGAACTTTGAAGGAACTACCACAAAACTAATTCATGGCTCAGTGGATCTTTATAGAGATGCTGTTACAGAAAGCAAAGATACAATAACTGATTTTCTAATAAATGAAATAATGATGCAAAAAAAAAGAAATGAAGAATCACATAATTATATTGAACAATTAAAATCAGAAATAGAAAACTTAAAAGCAGAGTTGGCAAAATTAATAGACATGAAAAATTCTCTAGAAGATAATTTATATGGAAAATTTGTATCACTGCTGAATACTAAAAAGCGTAGGATACAGGTTCTGGAAGATCATTTGCATAAATGTGAAAGCAACTGACTGCTTCCTACTAACTAAATATTAATATAAATTATCAAATTTCATCTATTTAAAATAAAAGGCATGAATAAATGATCAATAATTTATTGTTTTTCTTGAAAAAGTAAACAAGCATTTTTATTTAAACTAATAGCTCCGTCCGAACAATGTTATAAATTTTGGCTTGTTTTTGCATGAAGGATGTATACATTGATCTGTGTCAGTAATCTCCTTCGGTTGCTTGAATGGTATGCACAGTGACTTAGCACCCATTGCCGGTCCCTTGACCTCTGCAGTGGGATCATCATCTGTCTTTGCACTGTCTCCTTTAATGCGATCTTCACATGGTATGTCACCACAAAATGGTGCAAGCAGTATGTGCTTCTGGTCCAATGCAGCAACAAAATCTTCCCATTTGGTGACAAATGATAACCTTGCATCTCTTTCTTTTGTTGCCCTGAAAAATAAAATTATGAGTATAAATGTAATCAACAATCTATTTGCATTACAATTGTTAATGCCAGCAAGATAATCTACTTTACTTATAATTATGAATGGATTAAAAAAAATACCTATATATGGAATAAACATAAAAAGCCAAGCTATCAAATTTTATTTTTGTACTATGGAGATATAATTAGCCTTTATTAACAACTTGTGTGTACCTGTTTTTCAAACATCATCTATTTATTTTTACAAAATAGAATGTAACTTATATGCTTTAATCACACTTACAAATTAAATTTAAATTGTTTTGTTTATTGTGTAAGGAGGAAAAAGCACACTAACGAACACTTGTATATTAGTGCACAGTGTATGGCCATATTGATGACTCGACGGCGCAGTAGCCAAGGTATTGGCTTCGGCGCCGGAGGTTGTGAGTTCCCAAACGAGGCAACTATTTTGTAACCCACAGATAATTGTTTCGGATGGGGGTGTTCATCCACATGAAATTTATGTATTCAAAACATCCTTGCAACACAGAATAATTTTATTCTACAGTAAGGGGGCTGTTATTGAAGAGAAGACTGCAATAGATTTTTCTAGGTCGAAGTGGTCATTGGGATTTCTATCCAGCCCCTTCCACACAAAATACATAAAATAGCATATTGAAAAGCTTACCTTTCAAACATATCATTGTGGGTCTTCTCGAGTAAAACGGTGAGTTCTGCTGCCACAGCCTCCCTTTTGATTGTAAGCTTGTCGCCCGTAAGTCGCCGAACAGCCACCACTTCGCCCTTGGCCATATCTTTCGGACCGAGCTCGACGCGTATTGGGACACCCTACGGTGCAATGGTTCCATTTTAATCATAGAGTAAATTAAAGGCCTAGAGTTACGCCCAGTGCGTCAAATATAACGTCTCTAACAACACATCAATTAAATATTTGTGAACTAAACTGACTAATGTGTGAATGCAAATTATACAGTAAACATAAATATCATTAATATAAAAAAACACTGTTTTCCTTTAATAGACTGTTCTGAACATAGTAAAAAACAATGCAAGTATATTCAACGCTTGTTCGCAATTTGCACATAATTGCGAACCATTATATATATTAAATTTAATCGTGTGTCAAAGCACTAAAAAATAAATTTAACAAACAATCAATTTAAATAATAATAGGGGGTGACACAAGAAAATATTTCTTTACAAGATAACATAATTTATAAAAGGATATATATTAGATAAAATAAATAAATCATCAGTCCAGGATCGCACCTTTAGTTCCCAGTGATTGAACTTCCATCCGGGGGAATAGTTGTCCCTGTAATCTCCTTCAGCCCTTATACCGGACCTCACAAGGTCGTCAACGAGCTGCTTGCAAGAGTCTATCAAGTTCTTCCGCTCCTCGGGCGTGCTGGAGGCGGTGATGCCACACGGAACAACTATTGCCTGTATTTCGGCAATTCGCGGTGGCAACACTAAGCCTCTGTCATCACCGTGCACCAATATCATTACTCCTGTTGACAGACATTGACCAAATTATTATATGGAGTAGTACCAAATCATCTTTGTTACTATAAACTAGTAATTCCAAATATTGGACAAAAAATTGAATAAGCTGTGTAGCGTGTCCAATACAGATAATATGGTTATTGGTTTAAAGGGCCAAAGATCATTCTAGAAGGAAAAACAGACAAGTCAGAAGGACAAGAATAGGTGTCTTGCATGAATCAGAGTTAAAATTCTTCATAATTTGTAATCCAATAAGTATTTACGGAAATGTACCAAGGATTATCGTCATCATCATTTCAGCCCGTTTGAGTAAACTGCTGAACATAGCCCTCTCACAGGAGTGCCATGAACACGATCCTGAGCAACCTGCATCCTTCGACATCGCGCATATTTGCAAAGATCGTCACTCCATCTAGTGGGATCGTCCCACTGCGATGGCCAGTACGAGGCTGCCACACAAGAACCTTTCCTCCCTAACAGTCTTTTTTTATTTTTTATGTGAAAAAGTGGCAAACGAGCTGGCGGTTCACCCAGTGTTAAGTAATAACCCGGAGAGTAACAAATGCGTTGCCAACTTTAAATAAAGTGGGCCCCGGCTACCTCACTAACCGACGAAACGCAGAAGTGTAACACTTACCTTTGTGCCTTTTTGCCTTTGTGGTTGTAAAAAAAAAAAGTAAAGTAACAGCCTATACATGTCCCACTACAGGGCAAAGGCCTCCTCTATATAGAGGGTATCAGGGCATAGTCCACCACGCGGCCCCACTGCGGATTGGTGGACTTCACATATTTTCGAAATATATTTTTTTTGTTATTATTTCGAAAATATGCAGGTTTCCTCACGATGTTTTCCTTCACCGCGGAGCACGTGATAAGTCAGCACTTAAAGTTAAAAACTTCATTGGTGCCGGCACCGGGGATCGAACTCAGGTTGCTCGAGTATATTGAATTAAAGGCGAGCGCCCGGACACTGAGCTATCACGGCTCTATTCACGGCTTTGTGGTTGTAACTTTAAATAATATAAATTAATATACTGATACCTATAGTCCTGGTGGTGATTCCCCACGAGTTCTGGTACACGTATTTCTTCTCCTGCGTGTCCGGATCGTCGTAAACGATTTCGAACATCTTCGAGAAGTTCTGCCCCAGGTGGTGACTGGTGGCTCCCTGTACACCCAATTAATTTAAATTAATTAATTCTGATGATTAAGATTATTTTAAACGGGATCTAGTGCCTTGCATGTCTATCTCACTAGTAAGGCGGTTAAAATAGTTTTAAATGGGGTATAGTATCTTCCAAGTCTATCTTACTAGTAACTACTGAAAGAATGATTTTCAACGGCATCTAGTGCCTTGCATGTCTATCTCACTAGTAAGGAGGTTAAAATAGTTTTAAATGGGGTACAGTATCTTCCAAGTCTATCTTATTAGTAACTACTGAAAGACTGGGAGCGTCTAAGTTTCCTCTTGTGTTGCGGTTAAATTGGGCTCTAGTATATTCTAGTAACTACTGAAAAGGCTGATAGCGTTTACGAGTTCTTCTAGTGATGCAAGTGTATAGCTACGTGTCTTCTTAGCGCTTCACTTAAGTAAATGAGTTTATTCCCTCAACGGCTGAATGGATACGGATGAAATTCAAAATTGGCGCTTAATAGGTATTATACGCCTTATTAGAAGATCCCGTTGAAATTAAACATTTTAATTAGAAAAGTTAGTTAGTCAACACATTTTGGAATAATAAAAGTCATTTGAATCTTGAAGAAAACTATTACTTCCATTATCTAATAATGTGAAAAACATAGAATTTTCTCTACAAACAAAAAAACACATTTATCTTTAACACTATCTGTGTTGTTATCACTATAATAACAAACACTAAAAAACAATAAAAGAATATTTAAGTGTGACTTCCATACAACTGACACGTTGTTTTTTTGCTGTTTTTATACGTACGGAGTTCGACACGCGCTTGGGCGGATTTTTGGTAGTAAAAATGTATGTATTTGTTTAGAGAACAGCTCGTGTAACATACGTAAACTAGATTAAATGCGTGTTTAACTCATTCATTCGTGTAGGCCAGCAAGTACTGAGATTTAACTGATGATGAATTCGCAAGAGTTGCAATGTGGACTATCTGCCACGAAATTATTTGTGTTTCGTTTTAATGAAATATATATTTATCAGATTAAGGTAAATTGAACGCTACTACAAGCGAATTATGATATTTTTTCCTGTAATGCTATTTTTATGGTGTTAAAATAAATAAATAAATAAAAATGAACACTGCCGTACCTGAATGCCGCGCCCGCTGGCCGGCACGTATGCCTCCACGGTGGTAGTGTAATCGGCTCCCGCGAACTTCTCCTTCTCCGTCTTGCGGCCCTTTATCACGGGTATGGCCAGCAGCTCTTCGTACACCCGCGCGTAGAGGTCTAAAGCATGGAGGATAGAGGTAAGAAGAATGATCAAAAACTGTTTGTCGAAAGGCGTTAAATTGCAGCATGTTAATCTGTTCAATTGTAGCATGTGTGTGAAACTGTTAAATTGTGGCATGTGAATCTGTTAAATCGTAGCATGTAAATCTGTTCAATTGTAGCATGTGAATCTGTTAAATTGTAGCATGAGAATCTGTTAAATTGTAGCATGTGTGTGAATCTGTTAAATTGTGGCATGTGAATCTGTTAAATCGTAGCATGTTAATCTGTTAAATTGTGGCATGTGAATCTGTTAAATCGTAGCATGTTAATCTGTTCAATTGTAGCATGTGAATCTGTTAAATTGTAGCATGTGAATCTGTTAAATTGCAGCATGTTAATCTGTTCAATTTTAAGTTAATCTGTAATCACATGCTACCATAGCGCCATCAATTTAACGCCTGGCAGTGGTGTTGAATTAACTGCTTAATAGCAGTGATGGTGAATCAATAGTTGCCATCGGTTACTATTTACTAAAATTCATCTCAAAAAGATAAACAACCCTCTGGCTACTTTAGCGCCGTTCTGGAGGGATTTGGAACTATTATTCACTATTAACAGCTGGCTGGATTGATATGGGGTAACAGCTACTTACAGCTGTTCCCCCATATTAGACAGTGCTATACTTTATACTCTACAAAGTCTAAAGGTAGGGGTTGTATCACTAAGCTATAAATTGTTATTTTGAAATGAAGATCGAAGAATAAAAAATAGATAGTGACCTGAAAAACCTATGCATTAAAAATGGCCAACCTAATATTTGCAGGACCTCTTCGCCGGCTTCCTCCGCGGTGCGGAATGCGGTGTGCCCCTCCTGCCACAGGAACTCGCGCGTGCGCAGGAACGGCTGGGGCTGCTTAAACTCCCATCTCTGCCGAGGATTTGTATGCAATAAAATCGACCAAGAAAACATCTAGACCGAAACTTGGGGCGATTTGGAGTGTCCTTACATACTGCAGACTCATTCTGCGTAGCTCAACATGAAAATTAATAACGTAAAAACTGAATGGAGCCCGGACCAACAATGACACTCAAACTTCAACACCTCAGTCTGTCCAGTGAACGCTGTAAAGTGTTCGAAACGTCGGGAAATAAAACTAAAAATAAACGCGATAAATCCGTAAACATAATTTGATAAAAAAATTATGTATAACCAACGTAGATCAGAAGATAAGTAAGATAAAGTGACTATGGGCTGGCCATATAACTCTAGAATAGGGGCTAATGCACGAATGTGGCTTCTAATAGGATCTGTGGGGGAGGGCTATATTCGGATGTAGCCACTAGCAGGATCTGTGGGGAGGGTGGCCTGGAGTGGGATGGAATGCTGCAAATATGCGGGAAGTCGATGGTTGCAGGTTGCAACGGTCTTCGCAATCTGCGGGGGAGGACTATGTACTATATTTGCATGTGTATGGAAGGGCGAAAGGCCGACTCACCACGACGTTGTTCCACTGGTTGAGCCGGTAGGGCAGGTCGCGGTGGCTCTGTATCCAGCGCGCGTAGGCCGGGTACATGGCGGTCTCCGAGGTGGGCCGCACGGCGATGTGCTCGGCCAGCTCGGAGCCGCCCGAGTGCGTCACCCACGCCACCTCGGGCGCGAAGTCCGCGATGTGCGTCTTCTCGCGCTCCAGCGCCGCCTGAGCGGGGCACGGACTTTGACGGAGTCGCCGGATACGGGTTCGATTCCCACACGCAACGCGTAGTTTGGACGAGTCGCCGGGTTCGATTCCCACACGGGACGCGAAGCTTAGATGACTCGCTGGGTTCGATTCCCACACGGGACGCGTAGTTTGGACGAGTCGCCGGGTTCGATGCCCACACGGGACGCGTAGTTTGGACGAGTCGCCAGGTTCGATGCCCACACGGGACGCGAAGCTTAGATGACTCGCTGGGTTCGATTCCCACACGGGACGCGTAGTTTGGACGAGTCGCCGGGTTCGATGCCTACACGGGACGCGAAGTTTGGACGAGTCGCCGGGTTCGATTCCCACACGGGACGCGTAGTTTGGACGAGTCGCCGGGTTCGATGCCCACGCGGGACGCGAAGGTTGGACGAGTCGATTCCCCGGGTTTCGATTCGGGTTCCACACGGGACGCGTAGTTTGGACGAGTCGCCGGGTTCGATGCCCACACGGGACGCGGGGAGTGGACGCGTCGCCAGGTTCGTTTCGCACACGGGACGCGGGACGCGAGTCGCCGGGTTTTACACGGGACGAGTTTGGACGAGTCGCCGGGTTCGATTCCCACACGGGACGCGTAGTTTGGACGAGTCGCCGGGTTCGATGCCCACACGGGACGCGAAGTTTGGACGAGTCGCCGGGTTCGATTCCCACACGGGACGCGTAGTTTGGACGAGTCGCCGGGTTCGATGCCCACACGGGACGCGAAGTTTGGACGAGTCGCCGGGTTCGATTCCCACACGGGACGCGTAGTTTGGACGAGTCGCCGGGTTCGATGCCCACACGGGACGCGAAGCTTAGATGACTCGCTGGGTTCGATTCCCGCACGGGACGCGAAGTTCAGACGACTCGCTCCTTACAGGCTCCGGCACCGCGGGCAGCGGGTTCGATTCCCAAACTGCTAAATCGACTCGAAGGTTTACTATAACTTTTCCTTGTGACGGGTTAGATACCCACACGGGACAATTATTAACTCGACTCGAAGATTTACTGGTAACTGTTCCTTTTTATTAACCAGTCTTATTGATTCTCTGATCTGTGTGCAACAAATACTTGGGAGAATCCCGTGTTGGGATCGAACTCACGGGCCACCGAAGCCAATGGCTCGGCAACTTTTTTTGCGCGGGAAAAATGGCTCTTACATGGCGGCTTAATACATTGAGTGCGGTCGTTAACAAAGCAAATTTAAGAGAGAACTGCGTTAGGGCCACGCGACTGTCTCCGCTGTGGCACGAACGGGCAGGTCCGTCCGGGTAAGTACCACGAACTCACAGAAGACCGGCGTGAAGTGCAAGTGTTTAAAGTCCCACTTTATTTAAAGGTGGCGACGCAGCTTCAATCCTACGGGTGTTGCAAATCTCAATGGGCGGCGGTTATCGCTCAACATCGGGTGAACCGCCTGCTCGTTTGCCACCTTGCCACATGAAAAAAAACCACACCACGGAGCCATTGAAGAGTAATACACCAAGCGCGGTCGTATTTAGGCCTTCTTCTTGTTCTTTTCCATCCAACCGATACCGAATTGGCTTTCATTAGGTCTTCAAAGACCTATTTGACGACCAAATTGGCGTAGCGAGTAGCTAACCTCCCTCTTGCGCTATAAGGTATGGGTTCGATCCCCATTAATGAAAAATATTGTGTAATGAACATGATATTTTTCCAGTGTCTGTGTGTTTACATATGTATAAATTGTATTTATTTACAAAAGAAAAGTATTTTTTTATGTTAAAAGTTGCCAAACGAGCAGACGGTTTACCTGATGGTAAGTAAATACCGCCGCCCATAGACATCTGCTACACCTGACGGTTACAGATGCGTTGGCAACCTTTTGAGAATTGGGCTCCGCACTCACCAGACGAAACGCGAAAGTATTATACTTCCACTTTACGCCGTTCTTCTGCGAGGACGTGGTACCTACCCGGACGGGCCTGCCCATTCGTGCAACAGCCGAGGCTGATGTGTGGCCCTACCACCGTGAAATCTAGTTCTAGTACCCATAGTAAAGAGTTGCTTAGTTTGGGATTATAGAACATTGCGTAAAAAGAGATGTGTCCAAAATTTACATGTAAAATGTGTCCGAAATTTAAAATTTAAAATTAACTTCATGTTAACGACGTAAAGTTAAGAGACGCCTCGCTCACTTTGGACACGAATATCGGGAAGTAACCGTCCTTGACGCCGAGCGTCCTCAGCTGCGGGCTGAGGAAGCTCCTGATCAGGTCCCATATGCTGTACGACCACGGGCGAAGGATGTAGCAGCCGGAGATGTCGTAGTAGTCGATCATCTCGGCTGTAAAAAGAAATAAGGTGTATTACACAGTACAGTAGCTAATCAATGTATTATCAAACAAAGTAGGAGTCGGACTATCTATAAGAAACGGCAAAAAAACCATGTCTGTTGTGTGGGAGCCCCACTTATTTTTTTTTTATGTTTGTAGTATTTACTGTTATAGCGGCAACAGAAATAAATCATCTGTGAAAATTCCAACTGTCTAACTATCACAGTTCATGAGATACAGCCTGGGGACAGACGGTCGGAGACAGGCAGACAGCGAAGTCTTAGTAATAGGGTCCCGATTTTACCCTTCCGAGACGGAACCCTAAAAAGACATAAACACTTACACTTTGTGATGACCTGAGAGTACCACTCGGGCAAGTCGGTTTCCTTGCTCGCTTCCAGACCGAGCCTCGTTATCTTCTTCACTCCTGACGCAGCATCCTCTTTGGCGGGCTTTGGCGACTGCGATGGAAGAGGTGCGTACATTAGATAAAAAAGTTAAGTAACAACCTAATAAATGTGTGTAACACAGTTGTGCAAAAGTCTCCTCTCTCCTTTTTATTTTCATTTTGTTTATTATTTCGAAAATATGCAGGTTTCCTCACGATGTTTTCCTCCACCTTTGAGCACGTGATAAAATTAAAAGATTAAATTGAACAGACGATAATTCATACAAAACTCATTGCCATACAATTGGATTTCACACGAACAGATTTTGATTCTGTATAATATTGTTAGGCATATATAACTTTCACCTGACTTCGGAAGGTGGGTAATATTTTTTCCATATGCAATTCTTTGGTACGATATCATTCTAAGCCCCTCGACGGATTACTTTACCACACATTTGCCATTATTATTTTTAATGCCGTTTCTGTTTTGGTATTTTTTTGGTTTCATTTAACAATTTGACGAACCGATTCGCCTAATGGGTAGTGACCCTGCCTCTTGCGCAAGGGGGTCTTTGGGTTCGATCCCCACTATTAGAAAAATATTGTGTGCTGAATATAGTGTTTTCCCAGCGTCTGCGTGTTTATATACAAAAGAAAAGTATTTTAAGTTTGTTTATCAGCTGTCTAGTACAAGCGTTGATTGGGTGTATATCATTTGGAAATTAAAGTTATCTCTAATGAAATAAAATAAAGTACAAGCGTTGCTTGGTTTGGGCTAAAATGTGTCCTGAAAAAAAGCAAGGAAAATTCTCAACAAGCGTGATGGTTGAGAATTGAAATGAAATTACCGGTTCCTTCTGTTTGGGCTCCTTCTTGGGCTCCTTGGGCTTGTCCTTCTTGTCCTTGCGCGGTGCGGGGGCGGGGGCGGCGAACGGCGTACCAGTCTCCGCCTGGTACCGGGCCTTCAGCTCCAGAAGCTTCTTCACCTCCGCGTCGATCACGCCCTGAACACGATCAATGGGAATGCAATCGACCTTTGGATGGAATTTTATTTGGGGACAAAAAATAATTATTTGTGCAAATGTGCGGGAAGTCGATGGATGCATGATCGTGCTCGTGGCCGTCTGTGGGGGAGGCCTATGTTCAGCAGTGGACTTAAACAGGCTGAAATGATTATGACAATGATGATGATGAGACGGCGGAAATCGAAGTGATGTTAATTGTTAAGACGGCGATTGAATTGGACAAACCATCTAAATCTCTATGAGAATCAGAAGTGTTGGACACAGCTAACTCACTCACCGCTTTATCTCATTGCGCAATAGAGACGGTGTATAAGACGAGGTGTTACTGTGGTAGGGCCACGCAACATCTTCGGCTGTTGCAAGAATGGGCAGGTCCGTCCGGGTAAGTACCGCGACTGCACGGGAGACCGGGGTGAAGTGGAAGTGTTAAACTTCCGCGTTTCGTCTGGTGAGTGAGGTAGCCGGGGTACACTTCGCGGCAACGCATCTGCAACCCTACGGGTGTTGCAAATGTCGATTGTTGGCGGTTATCACTTAACATCGGGTGAACCGCCAGCTCACTTGCCACCTTCTCACATAAAAAATATCTCAATAACATGTTACGTGATTCACCTTATCAGCTTTACTCGACTTGAGCTCTCTGACTCGGTCGCCCTGCTTAGTGATGTCAGACGCGAGAGCGGTTGCCTTGTCCATTTGTACGTCTGGCGCAGCCTTGCTTTCCACCTAGAAGAAAATGAACAGCATTAATTCTTCGGAACATAAGTAAAACTACGATATTATCAATATTAAATCTCTAGAACTATAGAAATTTTAAAACAGTAATGCGACATCATATAATTAAGCCCTGTTATTTTTTTGTTTAGTTTAGATATAATTCTTGATTCCATCTCATATGTGTATTTGTATTAATTTTTAATTTGTATAATTTTCGACGAATAAGTATATAATTTCGTGTCCGAGTTTCGATACAGGCTTGCCTAGTGAGGAAACTAATGGAAATCATATTTATACTGAAAGGGTCAAAATACTTTGCATTTGTGTTATTTTCAATTGTCACAACAACTGTATTTAATTATTTTGCTGTAATAAAAACATTTTTCATTTTCATCTCTCGTTCGAGTTATCGACGTATGGCGATAATTGAAATTGTCCGTCTGCTGTAAAGGTGATAACAATAGATGCGCACAGCACGATGATGCGCACAGCAGGTGATAACAATAGATGCGCACAGCACGATAGATGCGAAAAAAATGTACATAAAATAAGTTGAGATATTCGTCGGTGTGGCGAAAATTTTACAAATAAAAATTATATACTTTAATATTAAATCTGACTAAATCACATATAATAAACCTAGTCAACGCGGCATAATGCCAAAAACGCTAGCTGTATTTCGTAGTTGAACAGTTACGCTTAACGTTTCTCGAGTAAAGAAGAAGTCCTCTTTTCACCGGCCACGGCCATGTATATATGACGTGAAGGTACATCTGACGCATTTTATGTCAAATCACTTTGCAACCTGGCTTGAATGGTGACTTATCACGTGCAACGTCGCCTCCCGTAACTACCTCGCTACGCCTGGCAGTCTACTACCGTCTACTACATTATACCGCGGCCAACGAGATCTACAGCTCGTCTACGTCATAGGGGAGTACAGAGTTTGGAGGCGTAGATAAAAGAATCTCCAGATTCACGACCACGACCCAATATAATTTCATAAACGTCCGTGCTATTATCGGCACAGCCTGCCAATTCGCGCAACAGTCGAAGCGGTTGCGTGGCCCCACCACAATTAACGGTATATCGCATCTTTATCTGACCAAATCAACGAACAGTAATTCCCGTTATATAATTTTAAGTATTAGTATTTCGTAAGTTGTTGGGACATGTATAAGTTACGATGGGGTTGGCGTATCTTTATATATGAAAGATAGATATCTTTTATAGATGAAAACCCCCATAAAAATAAAGGTAATAAAAAATTCTTTATCTGACCTTCGTTTCGCCCTTTTTGGAGTCCTTGTTCGCAGCGCTCGGAGTCCAGTCCGCGCCGGTGATGGATTTGTACTGGGCCTTCAGGTTCAAGAGTTTCTTCACCTGTGGGGAGAACCGATAATCGATAATCGGCCCGTTTCAATATTCTATCTACAGATAGATTAAGCATTATGGAGCTAATGTCAAATACAAGATAAGTAACCAAATCTATCTGTAGACAGAATATTGAAACGGTCCGAAGGTCGACGGCACTAATATACTCCTACGGATCGACAATAGTATCAATGGTGACTGGAAATGGCACGCCCCAGATAAGGTTGTTTTCTTCAATGAACTCAACGTTAATTTGCGACCAGGGCTTATATCTTTCGTCGTTGAAACCAGTGTTCTATTTTACGACAGGCAAGAGTATTTCAGTTAAGCCTTACTCATATAACAAATGCAATGGTTTATAAGACCGCGTGTTTCCAACCATAGCGATAAGAATTAAAAACTACGATGAGATTAGAGATCGTGGACTATAATGGATTTCAAGTCACAAGGATGTGTGTTGTCAACCGGCCAACAGGCCAAGTGCGAGACGAACTCGCGCACCAAGGGTTCCGTACCTACCCTTACTAATATTATAAAGGCGAAAGTTTGTATGTATGGATGGATGTTTGTTACTCTTTCACACAAAAACTACTGAATGGATATTAATGAAACTTCACAATAATTTATATATATATATATTTTTATGTATATCTGTCTTTCTGTCTGAATGTTACGCCTTCAGCCTAATTTGGTATTTGTTGTTATAGCGGCAACAGAAATACATCATCTGTGAAAATTTCAACTGTCTAACTATCACGGTTCATGAGATATAGTCTGGTGACTGGTGGAGTCTTAGTGATAGCGTCCCGGGAGATCCCGGAGTTTACCCTTTGTGTAAGAACCCCACATAACCCTGTCATGTACGGAACGATACCAAAAAAAAAAAAAAAAAAAAAAAAAAAAAAGGACGACAATAGACACCGTGACCCTCTCACCTCGACGTCGACGACGGACTTGTCGGCTTTCGCGCCTTTGAGCTGTCGCACCTTGTCGCCCTGGGCGGCGATGGCCAGCGAGAGGGCGTCCACCTCCGCGTTGTCGGCCGGTTGAGGAGCTGGCGCGGGACTCTGCGGTGTCGGCTTCCAGTCCTGTAATTTTTTTATGTCAAGGGTTGTCAAACGACCAGGCGATTCTGATATCAAATGAATACCGCCCACTTCTACAACACCCGATGGCTTGCTGACGCGTTGACAACCTTGGAGCTCAGCTCACCGGATGAAAAGCGAAAATTTAATACTTCCACTTCGCGCCGGAAGCTGTTGCGTTGTACCACAGTAAAGTCGGTGTTGGTATTATGATTTGTGTGGAAGGAGTTGGGTCGGACGTCCCAACGACCACTGCGACCTATAAGATCTATTGTAGTATTTCCATCGAGCTAGGTAAGCTAACGAAGTTGAGAAACTCCCAACTAACAACCCTATCGAAGTTGACGGTTGATGAGGGCTAAGAGTCAGGGCTTCTTTGTTGCCAACTTGGGCCCTCCCCGATACAAACTCCTAATAGATAAAAACCTAACCACGATTATAGCCAGCCAGTCGGTATTGTACGCAAATATTACATGGTTTATTAATCCTGTCCCCTGTCCTTATATTTCTTAGAGGAAACTTCATACAAGAAAAAATTTGCAGAAATATGAACATGCCTTGGCTATTTTATGTTATTCTGGCTAGTGAGGAATATATTAAAGGAATTGTACAACCGAATAATGAATAGTTACTTATGTAAGATGTTTTAATGTAGTCAAATAATTGTTAAAATAAAAATACAAATTTATTTTATAAAAATATCTTTTTGTAATAACTTCAGTATTATCAAAATTAGCAATAATTTAAGAGTTAGAAAACTGCTTGTGCCGTGATAGCTCAGTGTCCGGGCGCTCGCCTTTAATTCAATACTCGAGCAATCTGAGTTCGATCCCCGAAAATTCGTTCGAACCAATGAAATTGTAAATTTTAAATGCCGAATTATCAGTGTTCAGCGATGAAGGAAAACATCGTGAGGAAACCTGCATATTTTCGAAATAATAACAAAAATAATATTTCGAAGATATGTCGAAGTCCGCCAATCCGCAGTGGGGCCGCGTGGTGGACTTCGCCCTGATACCCTCTGTACAGAGGAGGCGAATGCTTTTCACAATAAACGATTGCCAGTTGACAAATCTTTAAAAATTTCTACTATTAAGGGCTCACCTTTCCGGTAGCAGCTTTGTATTTAGACTTTAGATCTAGTAAGGTCTTGACTGCTTCGTCGATCTTCGCCTTGTCCGCTTTGCTGGACTTGAGGGAACGGACGAGGTCGCCCTGCTTCGTGATCTCCTGGTCGAGGGTAGACGCGTCACCAGTCTGACTTGGGGCTGACACCGAACTAGGTTTCCACTCCTGCGACGAGATAATTAACTTACATTTTAACTGTGGCAGGGCCACGCAGCAGCCTCGGCTGTTGCACGAATGGGCAGGCTCGTCCTGGAAGTACCACGACCTGACAGAAGATCTGCGTAATGTGGACGTATAATACTTTCGCGTTTCGTCTGATGAGTGAGGTAGTAGGAGCCCAATTTTCAAAAAAGGTTGTCAACGCATCTGCAAACCCTGGGGTGTAACAGATGTCCATGGGCGGCATTAAAATAATAATAATACCAAAGAGATACAAATTGTACCATTTACAATAGTAAATAGTCTCACAACGGCAATTTTCGCACACTTATCTGTCTCAACAGCTATATAAGAATGCATACGTCGGGTACGAGAATTTTATATTGCTTTCCTTTTCTTTCTCTCTAAATCACCATCTCTCTCTCTCTCTCTCTCTCTCTCTCCCTCAGCTTTGTAAAAATCTGGTCATTTGGAAAGACATTGCCAAAACGTCTCAGGATTACAGGTGTGCAACGTTGAGTTTTAAATTATCGTTAATGTGCAACCGAAGTTTCTGGATATAGATGAAGGCAGATTTTTTAAATGTCTTCTATATAAACTTTTCATAAAAGTACTTTCGCCTACAAATCCTATCAAAAGCTTTGACTCACCTGTCCAGTGGCCGCCTTGTACTTGGCTTTGAGGTCCAGTAAGACCTTGACGGCCTCGTCCACTTTGGCCTTGTCCGCTTTGGACGCCTTGAGCGATCGCACCAGGTCGCCTTGCTTCGCGACCTCCTGGTCCAGGGTTGAGGCGTCACCGGCCGGCGGCTTGGCTGGTGCTGGCGCCGCACCCGGCTTCCAATCCTGCCAACACGATAAGAACTAAGTTCTTCGTGCTCTTGTTTTACGAGATAACTGGATTTATGATGATGGTGATGATGATGGAATTCAATCGACCTCGATGTCGGAACAAATCTGAAAAAAACTTATAAATAAAAAAAGAACGAATTGTGAATCTAAACCATTGTCAAATCGACCTGAAACTGACACACAAAAAAATTAATTAGACTCATTCCAGCCGTTTAGGGTGAGTTCAGTGACATACACACGTACAGAAGAATTATATAATTATATAAAGATGTAAAGTTATAGCTATGTTAAGAAATTTGCTTAATCAAATTATTTGATTAAGGTCTACCTGTCCGGTGGTCGCCTTGTACTTGGCTTTGAGGTCCAATAAGACCTTGACCGCCTCGTCCACTTTGGCCTTGTCCGCTTTGGTGGTCTTCAGCGATCGCACCAGGTCACCCTGCTTCGTGATCGCCTGGTCGAGGGTCGAGGCGTCACCGGCTGGCAACGTGGCCACAGCGGGAGCCGCACCTGGCTTCCAATCCTGAACACCGAATACGTAGTTTTAATGACAGTTCGAACGTTTTTTGTCTCTTTAGTAATTTTAGCGCGGTTTTCTAAATACATCAGTTCTAGATAATAAAGAAACAAATGAACCAGTCAAAGAAACCATAAATGTTATTTTGAAAAACATTAGTTTTATTCATTCATTCATTTTTGACACTGGTCATATTTGGGTTAGCCAATAGCTTGATGTAATTTTGATACATACCATGCTCTCTTAACATAAAAATACGCGAGATTTATTTCAATAATATTACCCTTAAATCGGTGATACTTTATGCGCGTCTTTTATAAAAGAAAGCTGATACAGTTTAGGAACGAAACATAAATTAAACAAGGTTAGCTGAAAGAGAACTCATATATTGAATTGAGCTTACTTTTTGGACATTATTTTCATTTTCATTATTTTTTTGTATCTTGTGTTTTGTGTACAATAAATATACAGCGTGTCGTTACCATCGCGACAATAAATGAACACACGCCTAACGCTACTTGCCAATAATCATAAAAAAATATTAACGTTAAACAAAATCCATAATTAAAAAAAATATTTTTCAAACAAACTAATTAAGTAAAAAAGATACAAAATTTGTAACATCCTATACAACTCGCGCCACAGGGTCGCATTACAAGCTTCTCCGTCTAACAGTATGTTTTGTCTCTTTTAAATTCATTCAACCCATTCATGCTATGCATATGCTATGTGACCTTTACAAATGAACTTTATGTTACAGTTTCATACGTAAGGGTGTTCTAAAATTCTTTGTTTTGGAAAATTTTATAACTCTGTAAATATTGATGTTTAAAGAATGTAAATGTTTAATACAATTTTAAAAAGTTATCCCCTATATGTGTGTTCATTTATTGTCGCGATTGTAAAGACACGCTGTATTTTTTTTTTATTTAATTATATAAATAATTTTGTCGGAATAATCACCTGTCCCGTGGCCTCCTTGTATTTGGCTTTCAAATCCAGCAGGACCTTCACTGCTTGGTCCACCTTCGCTTTGTCCGCCTTTGCGGCCTTCAGGGAGCGCACCAGCTCACCCTGCTTAGCGACTTCCTCGTTCAATTTGGCCGCGTCCCCTGCCGCCTCAGCGGTTGGCGCAGCTTGCTTCGCCTGTGTCGTCTGCACAGATTTTGGCTGTAAACAAAATCAATTGTTAATTATAGAACAAGTCAAGCTCTTAACTATTTCAAAAAGCAACCAAATTTGTAAAAAAAAAACATTTTTAAATAGAAAGTCATCGGCATTATCCTCCTGCCCTTATCTCAACCTAGGTGGGGTCGGCACTTCATGTGAACCATGTTGTAAGTCGTTTTTGGATAGGTTTTTTATGACCGGCCGCCTGCATGACGTCAACCCTCCTTGAGAACAAACACCCAGATTCGGAACAATTATCCGTGGAACACACAAATACACACAACTCCCTTAAACAAGTTCACTTTAGTTTCAATTTGTAAAACTATTCTGAACTCATAGAAGTAAACGACTATTAAATATTTACATATTTGAGATCGCTTTAATAATACAAATACAGGTAGGTCCGGCAGTCAAATGTCTCGATTTAATTACAAAGAAATAACGAAAAAAGTTGTAACAACTATTTAAACAAATATCCCTGTCAATATTTTCTTTTAAGTTGTTAATGAAGCAAGTGGCGATGACTCCCTGGCGTAGTTGTCAAGGTATTGGCTTCGGCGTCGAGGGTCGTGGGTTCGATTCCCACACGGGACAACTATTTGTGTGACCCACAGATATTTGTTTCGAATCTGGGTGTTTGTCCGCGTGAAATTTATGTTTGTAAAACGTCCTTACAACACAGGATAATGTTATCCTAAAGTAAGGGCAATGTTTCTTTAAAAAAAAGCAAGTGGAAATTTAAAGCAAAAAGTAAACTGAAAGCATAAAGAAGAACGAAATAAATAAGATTCTAAGTCCATTTTAATCACGATACGTACCAAAAAAGGCTGAAAAAATATATTTGCCAAAAACAAAACACACGAATGTTAATAATGGTATAGTTTAGCACTGCTTGGAAAAGAAAAATAATCTTAAAAAAAAAAGAAAAGCTGAGGTACTATAAAATACTTTACATTATAGACATTGCACGTGTTTATTCACTGATACAGGTGTTATTGACATTATAACAATACATTAAATTTGGATTGGGTTAAGAATTTTTACGTACATACAAAACACGTTGCGAGTTCACAGCTGTTTTCTTTTTAGTGTTTCAAATATTCAGATCATTCGTTATCGTACGTGGAGGCAGACGGTTCGAACCTTTCACTGTTTATGGGTGAATATCAGACGACGACCGGATGGTCGGAATCGCGTTACACTGACGCATTTATAACGAGATGACAAGCAAGACTTAAAGTAAGGCCGTCGATGTAGTAATCGACGCGGAAATTCAATATATAATTACGTAGTATTACAAATCCAACGTTTACAAAACAATTTACTCTCATCGTATAGTTCTAGCAAATATATTTCTCTTTATCAGAATATTGAGATGTGGAGCTGGAATATAATAGATGTATTTGATAGCCCCGTAATTTGCCATTTCAAGTTAAAAACAACCAGCAAAGAAAGTATTAAGTTTGACTCCAAGCTCTGACGGTCGTACTCAGATTGAAATTGGCGCTTAATTGTTGTTAATTTTATTTAAGTGTCAGCCGCAATGTATCCTTAAAAATATGCGCTTAAAATCGAATATTGGAAATGAAAAAAAATTATGCAAATTTATGCAGATTTACGTCTCTGAATACACCCATAGTGTGTGTGTACGGTACTAGATCGGCCGGCTCGTTAAACTTTGTCAAAAGAGATCGACAGCTTATTTCAGTTAAAAAAATTTCGGGAAAAATATGCTTGAAAGTATCGGTTAACGAAAATGTATTAAAGAAAACACTTAATAAACGAAGATTAAACCAATTACGTAAATACAACATTAATCATTTACAAATTATCATTTTACAAAAACAATATCAATTTGATGACTCCGTGGCGCCGTTGCCAAGGTATCGGCTTCGGCGTCGGGGGTCGTGGGTTCGATTCCCACACGGGACAACTATTTTTGCGACCCACAGATAGTTGTTTCGAATCTGGGTGTTTGTCCTCGTGCAATTTATGTTTGTAAAACATCCTTACAACACAGGATAATGTTATCCTAAAGTGGGGGCAATGTTTTTAAAAAAAAAATAAGAAGAAAGAAAAAATAAGAAGAAAGAATTTAGTATTATACCATAAACACCAGTTATTTGATGCCGACTTAAAGTAAACTCAAAAACGAATACCGCATTAAATTAAACGTAAGCATTTTATATTTTATAAATGTAAACATAATTTCTATTTCAAAGTGTGTGTGCTGGCCATAACAGAAAACATAGAGCCGTAATCCAAAGCGTTTAGCAATTCTTAAACTTCCATTCGTAAATACTTAAGGTTTTTTTGCAAATGCTTCATTTAAACATACGTATTTGGCGCCAGATGACTGACAATTTAAAACTCGATGAAAAGATGAAAGGTCTCCATCAGCACTCAAGAAAGAAATCAAGAACTTTGGGTCTCATGTGAATTTCTGCATATATTTTTTATATCTGAGTTGAGATTGGACTTGTGCTTTGATATTGCAAAAACGATTTTTTGTAATTTTTAATGTTCTATATTTTTTTCGAAATAATTACCTCATAGAAGCTGTCGTAAATTAATAAAACATAAATGTCAAATGTCAATCTGTCAAATGTTAAAAAACGAGCGACTAACCTAACCCAAAATACCCAAAAAAGGAAGGAAGAAACCAAAATACAATTATAATTATATTTATTACCGTCAGTTCTTAATAATATAAATGGAGCTGTAATAACATCATAAATGGTATGTAATAAAATATGATAATGTAAACTTAAAAATATTTAATCGAATAAAGTTCATCAAAAAGAAACTGTATGTTATTGTAAAATGTTTATTTTATAAGTTAAGCAGGTATAACCTTTGCGATCTATAAGTTTTTTTTTTTGCGAATGTTATTGTTTGAAACTCTAATATTAAACTTACAATGTTGTTATTATACAGTAAAGTATTAAGTTTAATCATGAAATGAAACCATAAAGGCTAATATTCCGCATAGTACGTCTCGTTTTTCAAGCTAGAAAAAAAATTTAATCGATAGAGAAATGTTAATAATTAAATATTATATAAGTTATAATCAATGAAAACCACTAGATTATGAGGAAAAAATTAACAAAGTTTTTAAATTTCAACTGAAATCCGTCATTACTGTGCGTCCATTATCATTATAGACTATTATTTTAAGTTAAAAACTTACGTTTTCACTTTTTACATTGTAAGAAGACACAAATACACAGATATATCACAAAAACACAAGTTTCTACTTCATGAACATGTATTATTAACAATTTCTAATATTTAAAATTTGTGACTTAGGGTACACTTATATGTCTCGAATATTAGGTTCTAAATGAGTCACAGATCCGACACAGAGCGATCCGACTCGGATAGGTTAGAAGGTTTCGTTGTTAGGTTTTTTTTTATGACCACCCAGAAAACTTTAGTGTAACAGTACTTTTAGTATTTTTAAGACTCTTTTTTAATAATGCGAAGGTTATAATTTGGAAAAGTGTGTGAATTCTTAAATTTATACATGTTGTCAAAAACAAAATGGCGGATTTATTTAGTGAAAATAACAAGTTTGAAAGATTTTTTTTTTTATTAAAAGTAAGTGTTTGCCTTGGTTTTCACGTATGTAATATTTAATTATTAACATTTCTCTATTGATTAAAATTTTTTTCTAGCTTGAAAAACGAGATATACTGTTCGGAATTTTTACCACCATAAATAATACGATAAAGTAATTGCTATCCCGAAATCACAAATTACTCATAATATAGTGGTAAATATTACCAACAGGGAACAATGTCAAAAGAGAAATATTTTTCATCATACAAAAGTCCTAATATTGTGATAATCACACACACATCTTCTGAAAATGAGCCTGCATTTAAAAAGGCAAAAATTTATAATAAAGTAAGAGAGAGATTTAAGGAAAATGCACAAAATTGTCAAGAAAATTTAGATAGCATGTTTCAAGCAAACAATATATCAGGTTCTACAGATGTTGCCCAACTGGTATGTCTACATGACAATATTACACCTTCAACAATTTCTGAATCCAAAGGAGATCATAAGCAGGAAGAAATACCCAGGGAAGTAAGTTTTCTATTCTATTTAGTATTCAATATAAAAATTGGAAAGAAAAAAACATGATTAATATGTACATTTATACTTTTAATACAGCGTGTCGTTACCATCGCGACAATAAATGAACACACATATAGGGGATAACTTTTTAAAGTTGTATTAAACATTTAAATTATTTAAACATCAATATTTACAGTTATTAAATTTTCCAAAACACAATTTTAGAACACCCTTACCTATAAAAGCGTAACGTAAAGTTCATTAAGAATGAATTTAAAAGAAACAAAACATACTGTTAGAAGGAGAGGCTTGTAATGCGACGCTGTGACGCGAGTTGTATAGGATGTTACAAATTTTGTTTCTTTTTTAATTAATTTGGCTGAAACATATATTTTTTAATTATGGATTTTGTTTAACGTTAATATTTTTTTATGATTATTGGCAAGTAGCGTTAGACGTGTGTTCATTTATTGTCGCGATGGTAATGACACGCTGTATAAATGTATATTTTTATATAGTAATTTATTGTTCCTCTATTTCATAGTTTTGTCATATATAGTACATCATTTTCATGCCACATTACTATACTACATTTGAACATAATTTAGAACTTTGAAAACTACATATATATTAGATTTTTTATAATTATAGAAAGTGAGTTAAAATATAAATACCTACACGCAGTTTCAATATTCTATTTAACAGAAAGATCAGAGTTTAGTTAAATTTAGAAAGAAAATCAATGAAAATTTTAAATTGACGTTAAGAATGCCTGATGTCTTAACAAGAAACAAAATTTGTAACATGGAAAATGTTTCAAAAGACAGTAATTCAAATAAATCTGAAGCTATATTAAAAGAATACAGTAGTTTACCTGTTAGCATTGATAAAAACAGCAAAAAGTGTACAAATATGACCGGAGTTACTAGTAGATTTAAAGAGCCCTCAAATAAATCTAGAGCATGGTTGAAGAAACATATTGCTGATACAATAAATAAAAATAAACTCAGTGAAAAATCCATATCAAAGATAATTAATGAAATGAGAAGTAAAAATGAAGAAATTAATTCAATACATGTAAAGACTGAAAATAATTTAATTTCACTAAAACCTGAAATTAAAAGTGTCCACCACCATGTGGCTGATATACATAACAAAAATGAAAATTCTATGAGTTCAACCCGTAGTCCAACACCAAATGAAATAAAACGAAACAATACATTAATAAACAATAATGAAAGTCAGAAAAATTTGGACAATATTAAAAAATCCTGTTCAAGAAGTGAAACCTATGTTTGCACAGAAATTAATAAAAATATAAAAGAAAACTTTCATAATAACCTGACATCCAGTCCAAATAAGTCAGACTTTCTTTTAAAGACAATGGCTCAAAATCATAAACACAATAAAAAGAAACCAAAAAAGCCCAAAACAATAAAGATAGTGATAAATGTTACATACAATAACTTACATGAGACAATAAATAAGAAGGAAATAAAAGATTCTGAACTTGATAAGAATACAGACCTTAGCTTTCTTGATGATTTTGATATAGATGATGTGGTGGAAAGCTTGTTTTCATGTAAAAATGCAAAAGAAAATACACTAGGACAACAAAATCTAAAGGAAACAATAAAAAATGAAAATGACACAAACAGTTCTTCTAAAAAAATGAAAATCTCAAACAGACTTCCTAGTAAATTAAAAATTAAGCAAAAAGCTAATAATAATTTTAAATTTACCAAACCTGTAAAAAAAGAAAATAAAAGCGAAATAAAAAAAATTGAACATGAAGAATATCATCTTTCAAGGTAAGATTTATTATTATTGATTATAGTATATTACTAAAATGCCAATAATTTAAATAATTTATGGAATATTGATATAATTATAACCATATAATAAATCTTCTTCCAGCGATTTAAAATCTGTACAACATATAGTCACATATAGTAATGATTTAGATGGCAAATTATTGAAAAAAACAGATGTCGGAAATCTTGAAACTGAACAAAGTATTAATGAAGAAGTGGGAAATATTATGCAAACGAAAACCAATAGTAAAACAGAAACAAAAATTAAATCAGAAGTGATTAATGACCTGGATAACATGCATCTGGGCAGTAAATTTACAGTTTATGATAATGCAATAAATTCTAAAGAAATATCCAAAGATAGTAAGAGTGACACTATTAATAATGTTAAAGATAAGGGTGCAGTAAATGAAAAGTTTATAAGAAAAGTCAGACAGAAAATTTTAAGTGATGAGAACACAAAATCCGAGCAACTTTTTGCTCAACACCTAGAAGCAAAGATGTTTCATGTTTTAAAGGAGAAATATTCAGTAAAAGCTGTAACACATTATGGAAAGTTTTCCAAGATATTAAAATGTGAAAATTCTGTAACAGGAAAATTTTATGCTGCTAAGATATTAAAGTTAGTCACAAATCATACAAAATACCTTAATATGTAATAAGTATGAATTTAATGCTATTTTTCTTTTAGCAGGGAAAGCAACCTTGTTTCAAAGGCAAAAAATAAAGAGAAAATTTTGAAAGAATTACAGAAAGATATTCCATTGGAAAATTTATCCTGTACTTTTTTAATAAGTTCTTTCGAATTAGACACTCACTGGTGTTATATGACACATTACTATCCCATTAGCTTGCAACAGATTCTACAAGAAAAAAGAATACATTTCCACATAGATCAGATACGTAACTTGAGCATGCAGTTGGTACAAGCTGTTGTTATACTGAGGAACAAAAATATTGTCCATTGAGGTTAATATACAAGAGGTGTTGCAGCAATTATTACTTAAGTTCTAGTTTTAATTAATGTTGCGTTGTTATTTTCTTTTAGACATTAGACCAGGCCACATTCTTTTAAATAGTGGAATCGAAAAATTAAAACTGTGCGGATTTGATGAAGCATATTATTACTCTTCTTCAAATAATTTGTCACCATACACTGGGACCGTTAATTATCGTTCACCGGAAATAATTTTGGGATATTCTGATGGCTTCAGTATTGACGTTTGGTCTACAGGCCTTGTCATGCACGAAATGGTAACAAGTTGTATGTTTTTTACGGGGGTAACAAACAATGAAATTTTGTACGAACAAATATGCACTTGTGGAAACTTTCCATATAACATGATAATGCACTCCAGATTCAAAAGAAACCATTTCAATGGAACTACCTTCATCAGAACCGGTTTATGCGATAAGGTAAAAGCTTTTATTTTGATGTTTAAGTATATGATTTCATATCCTTTTTAGGAATAATGGTGTGGATTAACATTTTTGACTGTGAACTTAGAACATTATGTTTAAGTAAAAAGTTACATCATTATGTTTGTGTTATAAAAAGTAGACTAAAGAATTTTGTAAGCCAAACCATTTTTTTACACACAGTCACAGGTTTAGATACAATTTTTTTCCTTGGGAATCGTTGATAACACTCATATCAATTCTATAATATGGAAATAAAAGGGACATTAAATCTTTAGTTTTTGATGCATACAAGAAACATTGGGGTGGAACCAATAAAAATGAAAATATTAAACTGCAGGCATTTTGTTCACTACTGAATAAAATGTTTGTTTTGAACCCAAAACATAGATTACCAATTGAGTATGTGTATGCAAACTCTTTTTTTCTGCAAAATGATTATATGAAAAATACACCTTTTTACTAACAATATCCATAAACATTTATAACTATTTTGTATGAATACAGTAAAGTATTAATTCAGTAAAATATTATAATTTGTTAAGTTTTGCAAATAGCATTTATTTAAGTTTGTAAGTTTTGTTTTTGTTGTATATCCAATAAAAGTTAGGTGTTTTAATCCCTCTTTTCTTATTTTTTTAAACACAAAAAAATATTCTTAATATACAGTACATATAGAGATATACGGTAGAGACACGCAGCAGCTTCTGTTGCATGCATGCTCACAGAAGACCGGAGTGAAGTGAAAGTGTTATACTTTCGCCTTTCGTCTGTTGAGTGAACGGGACCCACTTTTTAAAGGTTGGCAACGCATTTGCCAACCGTCAATAGTTGTACATCGCCTTAGGCGGCGGTAATCACTTAACATAAACTGAGGTGCCTGATGGGTTGCCAACTTTTTACATAAAAATAATATGATTGCTTCGTAAGTCAGCTAATTTTTGGTTAAATAAAAACACTTTTGAATAACAACGGCGCATTTAATTTCCTTTTTTATGATATGCTTCTTGTTTCTTCCTTAAATAGGTATTTAAAGAATAAACTGTAATCATAAGAAGTTAGTATTATAACTATAAGAGCTCTTAAAAGAAATGCTCTTTCTGCTCTCCTTTTTTTATTTTATTCTAATAATGATCGTTTCGATCTTATTATACTAATCCTTTTACGCAGATCATAATCTGCTATACTTTGCATTGTAGTAAAAAGATTTAGACTAGGTATTTAGTTACTACATAATAATTTTCTAAATCTTTTGGTTTTACTTGTCAATCTGTCCGTTTGTCACCAGGCTGTATCTCATGAACTGTGATAGTTGAAATTTTCAGAGATGATGTATTTCTGTTGCCACTACAATTACTAAAACTCAGAATAAAATAAAAATATTTACGTGGGGCTCCTATACAACAGACTTGAATTTTTTTGGCGTTTTGATAGATATAAGATCGCAATAATTTTGCAATACTTGCTACGTGGCGGTACTACTGCGACCATAAATTAAAACACAAAAAGAAGATAACTATCTAAAATTGTAGTAAACATTTACTTTCTTTAAACATTCATATTTACCAAGTTATTAAATTTTCCAAAACAAATAATTTTACATACCGTATATATAAAACGTATGAATTGTCACAAAGCATATGAATTGTTTGAATGAATTTAAAAAATATAAAACATACTGTTACATGGAGAGATTTGTAATGCGACGATGTGGCAACAAATGAAAAAGTCTCTGAATGTATGAATCAGTCAGTTGTGCCGCACACGGAAGAGCACTGTTACGCTGGACTTAAAGGGCTAGCGCTCAGCATTACGTCACGGGTCTCACCTGGTCGGGAAATTCCTTTCTGTGGCCGTCGGACACGAAGAAGAGCAATATCACGCTGGACTTAAAGGGCTAGCGCTCAGCATTACGTCACGGGTCTCACCTGGTCGGGAAATTCCTTTCTGTGGCCGTCGGACACGAAGAAGAGCAATATCACGCTGGACTTAAAGGGCTACCGCTCAGCATTACGTCACGGGTCTCACCTGGCCGGGAAATTCCTTTCTGTGGCCGTCGGACACGAAGAAGAGCAACATCACGCTGGACTTAAAGGGCTAGCGCTCAGCATTACGTCAGGGGTCTCACCTGGCCGGGAAATTCCTTTCTGTGTCCGTCGGACACGAAGAAGAGCAACATCACTCTGGACTTAAAGGGCTAGCGCTCAGCATTACGTCACGGGTCTCACCTGGCCGGGAAATTCCTTTCTGTGGCCGTCGGACACGAAGAAGAGCAATATCACGCTGGACTTAAAGGGCTAGCGCTCAGCATTACGTCACGGGTCTCACCTGGCCGGGAAATTCCTTTCTGTGGCCGTCGGACACGAAGAAGAGCAATATCACGCTGGACTTAAAGGGCTAGCGCTCAGCATTACGTCACGGGTCTCACCTGGTCGGGAAATTCCTTTCTGTGGCCGTCGGACACGAAGAAGAGCAATATCACGCTGGACTTAAAGGGCTAGCGCTCAGCATTACGTCACGGGTCTCACCTGGCCGGGAAATTCCTTTCTGTGGCCGTCGGACACGAAGAAGAGCAATATCACTAAAGGGCTGGACTTAAAGGGCTAGCGCTCAGCATTACGTCACGGGTCTCACCTGGCCGGGCATTTCCTTGCTGTGGCCGTCGGGCACGTGGAAGAGCACGAGCGGCGTAGCGCGGCCGGTGTGGGCCGAGGGCGCCGCTGCGGCCACGTCAGCGCGGAAGAAGCCGCGCCGCTGCAGCTGCAACAAGTCGCCGGCGCGCACCCGCTCCAGCGCCGGCTCGCCCAACATCAGCCGCTCCCACTGAACGACAGAAATGGAACCAGAAATGGAGCCTTAGATACTGAACCCATGAAATTCATAATGACTCTAGGTCATTATGAATTTCATGGGTCTGTCATGTCTCGATAACAATTTAATACTATTAATTGGGTAGTGAACTCCTGTCCCAACGGTAGTTACCGAACCTTGACCCGATGCTAACGTTAAATTATTGTAAATTTTTGTAGATAATTTAACAGAAACTTACAGCACAGCGGGATGCGAACCTGCGTTTTCTGGTTTCTGATGCTAACAATTCGAAAATCATTTTAAGATGAAAAGATGACAGGAGAATCTTTTGACCCCCTGTCATAATGTTAAAATGATAATTTTGATTAATATAAAAAGTTTTTTTTTCAAGTTTTCCGAAGTTCACTTTTTGTGCTTTTATAATCTTTTTGCAGCCGTTAGTAGCCATGGCAGTCTGTGCTAATGACCTGTAAGATAAGAATGTTGGAAGACATGGTCTATTTCTAAATCTCTCTTACCCTCGTTTGATGGCCAATGTACTTTTTAAAGTCCTCGTCCTTTCCGAGCACTGGCTTCGATATGATGTGGTCGAAGAACACGCAATAGGTCTCCACGGTGGGGGACTGTGGGGTGTCCGCCAACCAGGTCAGCTTCAAGGTCTTCTTGTAATCCTTGTTTTCCAGATTCGGAGTGGCGTCGACGCTGGCTACAGAGCCATCAGGTGCCCTAATAATTATCAAAAAACAAAAAGTATATTTCATAAATTGCCCACATGGCTGTTTACTAAGTTTTCAATAGAACATATCAACTTATTCTGCCTTGTTATTTTCACATCTTAATATATAAAAATTTCGTGTCACGATGTATGTTAGCGATAAACTTGGAAACTACTGAACCACCTTTTAACAAATTTTGTAAGCATTCGTAATTTGGTCCAACTTGGTCGATAGGGTAGTTTTTATCTCAATATTTGTTATTGCAAATATTGAGATCGATATTTGTTTATTAGATGACAAAGAGCTATCTATGAGTCCCATAGGATTCTAACAGATGGCGGTGTATGATAAATTTATCGGCTGGATTGAGTAAGTATCCGATAGATGGCGCTATGCTAAAAGTAGAAACGTATGGACCAGGTAGAATTGGCGCAGACGAAGTTGCGCGGGCCAGCTAGTATTATACAGGGTGGTTTTTCTATGTGTATCCATTTTTTTTAATTAAATTCTTGACAGATAATGTTATATAAAAATGGTAAATATTTAAGATCACCCGAAAGTAATAAATTAGATTAATTTGAACTTATCTCAAAAAGTGCGTGATTTATAAGCAACTCATTTTACGCGCGATCATTCATAACTAACATGCACACAAGTTCGTGCACAGTAAAATTTAGGCATTTATGAATGACTACCGCATTGTCAACATTTTTAGAGAATAGAATGCATTTTTTTGGAAAAAAAAACTTTGTATTTTATTTCAATAAACGATTATACTAACGAGTCTGAACCTCCTGTGTAAATTTGGGCACTTCTCAAAAAATCTTCTTTTAAAGTTATTTGCACGACAATAAAGTAGCTATTCATTGTATATTAGCACTGACTTGTGAATTTTATCGATCATCACGTTTCCGTAGTTGATGAATGTTGCGTTCTCCCCCTCCTTGAGGGCGGCGGCGTCCACTTGGTCGACGAGCAGCCGCGGGGAGACCCACACTATCTTGGTGCCGACGTCCGGATTCTTAGGGTGCAGCGCCACCTCGAGGGTGCTGTCCGAAGTCACACCCCTCAGGTTCACCGGCACCGGGTTCGGTTCCAGGGCGGTGTAACGCGGCGCTATAGGGTCTATGACCTGAGAAATAAAAACGAGTCACATCTATTCGCTTCACCGTGGCCGGTTTGAATTATTAATTACCTATACCTTTATTAATTTTAATGTAACACTATTGTAAGAGATGGTCAAATGGTTATGGTTATGGTTCCGATAGACAAGCTACTGCCATCTATATAAAGATGGAACTCTATCAGGTAAATCGATTGTTCGTTGGCTCTCGAGTAGTGCGAAAACTCTGCTGGTTCGCTAATCTAACTGTAATGGGCGTATTTTTTGTCGTAACATTTTTTTAAAATGTTTTTATTCAAATTTTCCTTATACTATAGTATAACCAAAGCAAAAGACGTGTATGTGTATCTGAGTTATGAATAAAAATAAATAAATATTAATATATCAGAGATCCTTCTGTATTTAAGTCTCGGTCGCCTAGTCTGTTTTAAGAAGCTGTCCGGTATGGAGTTTTCTTACGACTGGTTTCAATATTCTTTCTACAGATAGATTTGGTTACAGGTATTACGGAGCTAATGTTAAATACTACTATTGCTATTAACCAAATCTATGTGGATAGAATATTGAAATTGGCCTTTATTCAGTTTATTACCCCTCTAAGAAAAGCTGGGATACTTTCTTATCAGTTAGTAGAAAAATAGTGGGTGGTCCAGCGCACCTTCTTGTTGATGGCCCAGATCTTGTCCCACTCCATGAAGACCACGGAGCGGCTGGAGCCCTGCGCGCGGATGAACTGGCGCAGCGCCTCCACGGTCATCCCGCGCCTCAGCACCCCACGCACGGTGGGCATTCGCGGGTCGTCCCTTCGTTAGAATTATTTGTTTTAAAACTTCATTCTATTCTTTTTTTTATTTTAATATGAGAAAGTGGTAAAAGAGCTGGCGGTTCACGTGATGTTAAGTGATAACCGCCGCCAATTGACCTTTGCAATAACGTTAAGTTTGCGTTGCCACCTTTTAATAAAATGGAAGACCTTCTAAGCAGAAGTATAGCACTTCCACTTAACGCAGGTCTTCTGCGAGGTCGCGGTACTTATCCAGACGGAACCGCCCATTCGTAAAACAGGGGAGACTGTTGCGTGGCGCCACAACAGTAGATTCAGATAATAGTTATTTTTATTAGAATGTGTTATTTTTTAATAGATTAAGAGTGGGAGTAACTAGGAATTGTCACTATTTCGCTTATGCATGGAAGCACAAATCCCCTGTGCAGAGTTAAAACTATTTCTCACCATCCGTCAACCAGTCCTTCCTCGACGAACCAGGTGAGTTTACGCTTGGACAACACTGTGTTAGTCATGCTCAATCTGAAAAATAAAAAAAATCGTACATATCGCTGTCTATTGGTATTTTGTATACGTTTCATTTAAAACCTAATATTTCAACCACTACTTAAGGGTCAATTTGCCCAGTTGTAAACATCTACGATACGGATCAAGGGTTTCGTTACATTCGGATCAGACGAGTATTATATGACTGTATGATTTATATTCGTAAAACGCATCCTCGAAACAAGATAATGTTATTTTACACTAGCTGCTGCCCGCAACTACGTCTGCACCTGCCTAGAATAGGCTGAAGACGTAACATTCAGACAGAAAGACAGATATACATAAAAATATGTATATAAATTATAGCCTATGTGTTATTCTGATGTATAAGCTATATTACGACGACCCGAATGGCGTAGTCGGTAGTGTACCTGCCTTCTGCGCCAGAGGGTGTGGGTTCGATCCCCACTACTGGAAAAATATTGTGTGATGATTGCATAGTGTTTTTCTAGTGTCTGGGTGTTTATATATGTATAATGTGTATTTATTTACAAAAGAAAAGTATGTTTAAGTATGTCTATCAGTTTTCTAGTACCCATAGTACAAGCATTGCTTAGTTTGGGACTAGAGAATGTTGTGTAAAAAGAACGTGTCCTAAAATTTATTTATTTATTATTTATTTATTGTACAGTTTCATTAGAATCCATTCAGTAGTATTTGCGTGAAAGTATAACAAACATCCATCCATAAATACAAACTTTCGCGTTTATAAAATTAGTAAGGATAAGTGAGGATAGGAAGGAAGTAAGGATTAGAAGTGAAGTTTAAAAAAGAGAAGAAATACTGAAAAAAACTACTAGCTATTTCCATAGATAGTGCTAAAAATAAATAAACATTGTAACAAACCTGCTGTATTCCCATATGTACGGCTTCCTCAGGCCCAGGGCGTCAATGAACCAATAGAATTGAGGGTCCCGGTCGTGGTACTCCATGGTGCGCAGCACATGAGTTACGCCTTCGACGGAGTCCACTATTGGACAAGCGAAGTCGTAGGTAGGGTAAACTCTGAGAAAGAAATATAGGTGCATTAAAATAAAGAGATTATACAAAATATCAATTTACATATACTTAATCACACTGAATATGCATTTAATTAGATAATTAACTATATATTCAGTATTTAGATAAATATATATATGTATATAAATTACGTGTCATGTGGTTTGTCCGCGATGGACTCCAAAACTACTTAACCGATTTTAATCAAATTTGCACACCGTGTGCAGTTTGATCCAACTTGAAAGATAGGACAGCTCACATCCCAATTTATAGTCGCAGTTTTATGTTATTGCAAATTATTCGTTTATTAGATGACAAAAGTTATCTGTGAATTCCATAAGATTTTAACAGATGGCGGTGTAAGGTAAATTTATCGGCTGGATTGAGTAAATATCCAATAGATGGCGCTATGTAAAAAGTCGAAACGTATGGACCCGGTAGATTTAGCGCAGACGAAGTTGCGCGGGCCAGTTACATTATTTTCTCACACTACTGGTATTTTTTTATGGCAACCGATTGGACGGAGGTAATGGATTAAATGTTACAGATTTTAGATTTGTTAATCTAATTTGAAACTTCTGTTGCTTTTAATATAATTCATAAATATCGGAAAAAGTTCCTTAAATTGATTTTATTTAAAGTAAATAAAAATATTCTATCTATAGCACTAAATTAACCAATTAAAAATCAAACAACAAACAATTACATGGTATCAATTAAACCACCATTTGTAAAAAAAATTGGTAAAACTAGTCTTTTTTCCCTCAGGTGTTAATCCAGTTAAAAAATCTTAGCTTTGTTTTTAATAATACAAATTAAATGTATTCAACCTACTTATATTGCGTGCCTGTTCGCGGATGGGTTTCCGGCTTGCACCGGTAGATGGTGGGATCACGTAAACAACCATTTGTTGACTGCATATCAATCTTGGCCCGCACGCAACATTGGATACCCACAGAGCTAGCTTTCTTCATTTCTTCCCATAGTGTCAGATTCTTCTCAACAGCTGTATTAATAAAGCATTTATATTAATAAATTATTTAATTAATACAATGATTTATTTAATAATATAATAACAATTTTTTCGGACACATTTTTAGGGTTCTGTAACCAAAGTGTAAAACGGGACCTTATTACTAATACTCCGCTGTCCCTCCAATGGATACTTAAAAAACTGATAGACAAGATGCCCAAATTAACACAGGAGGTTCAGACTCGATAGTATAATCGTTTATTGAAATAAAAACGAACTATTTTTTTCAAAAAAATCCCCATTCCATTGGAAATTTAAATTATTTATAGTGCTAATCTTTGCACTTAAGATTGAAGTGCGAAAAGATTGTCGCCGCTGTGGGAATCGAACCCACGTCTCTAGCCACTGAGCTAAACGGCTGATTGCCACACCGACGAAAATCTTAACGCATTTTTCTACATTGTTTTCTTAGCATTTGAAGCAATGAAATTGCTTTGTTTTGAGATTGTCGCCGCTGTGGGAAATCGATTCCCACAGCGGCGACAATCTTTTCGCACTTTTTCTACATATTTTAATCCCCATTCCATTGCCTAAAAACTGGAACTGTTTGACAATGTGGTAGTCATTCATAAATACCTAAATTTTACTGTTCACACACACAAATGAACTTGAATAAAATTGTTAAGCTTACAATTATTCCTATTCTTGCTCTCAACCTTCTGCTCTCTCTCATTTTTCATCTGCTCAGCTGGAGTGTCATCAACAAAGGCCTTGCCCTCTTTAATAAGCTTTTCACAATAATCCATCATCATGTCAAAGTACTGGGATGTGTGGGTGAACATATCTGGTTTAATTTCTAGCATTTCGACATCCTCTAAAATCACCTAAAATAAAGACATGTAATCACTTTAAAAATTTATACAGCCTGACTATAAAAATATTATGCCTCCATGAGCAGGTTTGCTTGCCCCCCAATCAAGTTTTTATTTTTCTTGTTTAGGGCATATATTTATACTGAATCTTAAAAAAGCATGAAGAGAAAGTTAATTATATAACATAACATTATAATGGTATGTCACATTGTTGTTTTAAAATATATAAAATCTTTTAAGCATAGCTAGAAACAATACCTTTTCAAATTCAGCATTTTCTTTAGCAGGATTAGTGTCATCAAATCTCATAACTAGTTTTCCTTCAAAAGCTTGCTGGTAGTATTGATTTAACAAAGCTGCTTTAGCATGACCAATGTGGAGATATCTGAAATGAATGTTCAGGGTTAACACTGACTACCCAGACCACCTAGAATTTTAATTTATCTTTTGTACAGATTTCAAATATGTATTTTTTGTAAAGCATATAACCCAAAAAGTTTAATGAAATGAAAAGAAAGAAACAAAATTTTGGATTTCTTTAAGTCCCTATAAACATACCCGGAAGCTTCAGGCGGGAAACGCACGACAACCTTGCCCATCTCAGCATGAGGTAATTCTATATACTTGCCCTCAGCTGGGCGACCAGATCCAGCCTCCTTGTTTGTTGATGGAGATCTCCTGAAAATAGTTGCAATACTAAAAGTTGATAAAAAGTAAAACATTAATAACTTAAAGGTAAAGGTCTTGAGAACTAGACAATTTGAGGGGTTACTGGCACATAAGGAATGAGAGATACATGACTAATGTGAATGATAATATTACACTTAATCCATGCTAATAATTATCTGATGATATTGGTTAATGCTAAAGAGCATATTGCACCTCTTATGAGATCTTAATTTCGACTTCTGTACTGTCAAGGATAACACACAAGATAAATACTGTAACTATGGCTTTACATTATGTAAAAAATTATATGTTTAATAAAAAAAAAATTGAGGTACATGCCGCTAAATTTTTGAATTTAAGAAAATTGCAAAATGTATTTCATAAACATAGCTAAGCATCTGTGTATTTACAATAAACAATTAGCAATACAAGAAAAGATTATGCTATTAACATGTAATATTAATAAGTTATACAACTAAAACTTCTTAGCCTATAGCTAAGTCAGAAGACAATAATTATTCTTTTTAATTTAGTTAGTCTTTTTAAGAATAAAATGAACAAAATTACTGTCTTTACTGAAATAATATTTTAGAAATCATATACAAATATGTGCTACAATTAATAGACCTACCCAAGTCTTTAATTTTAAATATCTTTCAGTGTAATATTTTTTTTGTTTTTCTTACAATAAATTAATTCATTAAATGTGTAAAGTTTCCTTGTTAAGTTTCTTTAAATATTTTCTTTCTTTTCTTCCTTGGGATGCTTATGACGTGTAAGTGTAATTATCTATAGATGAAGTCAATCACTTCACAAACAATATTTTTAAGTAATAATAATTCTTTTTTACAAACCTTGAAGAAGCCTTACAGATATTATCCAAAATACCGTCTGGTATTTCTTTGAGTGTTTTTAAAACTGGTTCTTGGGCTTGAATTAGTTTCATCCATCGTTGGATATTTGTAAGAGGAGATTTTGCAGATACCTCTTTAAATTTGCTGGAAACTATTTAAGCAGATGAGTTACATATTACATTACACAAAAAACATAAAGAATGTACTTAATATCAATGTTTTATTCCACTGCATACCATATAAAACACTGAACACAGCTAAATCAGAAACTGACATAGTTTCTCCAACAAGGTAAGTCAAGGGCCCTAAAATTTTATCCAGATATTCTACTGATTGCAAAATGTCTTCGTTTAGTACAAGACTAAATGAAAGCCAATGGTTCATTGTAACTTTTTGAAGTGGTCCAGCGCTCTTATTAAACTCGTTCTCAAGAATCCTTATCAAATCATTGCTAGTCCCATATGGAACCGCTTTAGAGGTATTGGGAAGTATAACTTTGGATTCATTGCCCCAAATAATTTCTAAGTTCTTTCCGGACGATCTATAAAGCTCGGCAGCCAGCAGACCTCCTGAAAATTTAAAATAAACCTCTATTTTAAGCAACATAATTGCGAAAGACAAATTTATGAATTATTGGCTATTTAATTTATTTACCTAGTGGAGGGTTACTCTTATTACAAGATATCTTCATATTGTCTTAAATTAAGAAAGCTATTTAATAAATACTTTCGTGTTTAATTTAAAACTTCCCAACTCGCCGTAAACCGAACCGAACACGATGATGAGAACTGTCAAATTGACAGAATGACATTACAGCCTCCAGCACGTTTACAGTTTAGAAACCCAAAAAATTCTGTTAAATAAAAACATAACATAATATTTAAATAGTCATTAACTTTTCATGCGTAGCTGTATATTGTGATATGTTTTCGTGGATATTACCAACCTTGAAGTATATGACATTGTAGATTGGTATTTGGTTTAAAACCTTTGCTTTTAGAGCTTGTTTCTTTGGAATAGGTATTGACTTTGGCATTTTTAATGGATTTTTTATGTAATTGTAAATTGTAGATAAAAGTCCTTCATTCAAAGATAAATTTTGATTTGCTTATGGAGATTGCTGGGCTTAATTTTATATGAAACCATTGTTTTCCCCCATCAATAATTCGCCGTTAGTATTTCTTGTGATTAAATCACAATTTTGTCCATATTAGTTGACTTAGGTCGCTCATATCGATGGTATTCGAAGCCAAGGATCGAACCTCCATCTACAGGGCCCTTGGATCGTGTCTTCAGCGTCAGGTTCGCAGAGATGCAGCAGAAGGGGTGGTCATCGTGTCGGCATCGTTCATCAACAAAGTTGTTTATCTTGGGTAGCGATGGTCGTGTCAACTTACGTAGGTGGATTAAATCGACCCGATGTTTGAAGTCGTCGAATCGAGGTGACTTTCTTATAAGTCCATCTGGGTCGGTTCGAATTCGAGTCGCCTCAAGATCTGGCTCGCCCTTCAACCTCACTTTGGCGTAGCGGCAATTCGCTACTACTAACGATTTGTAAGTCCATGTTGAGCAAGCTAGTGAGATGTTTAATGAACGAGTTAGAGTGAGAAAGAAACGTAAGGATTCACGCCATTCGGTTAAACAGCATCATTGAATTGTTGAATCTGTTTATTTAACAATATATATTAAATAGCCTATGCAGTATATATCTATCGTCATACATCTATGGTATATCTACCATGGATGATGTATTTGGCGTAGAGGTCTTGTTACCAGGCCATAAAATCTTTATTAAAAAAAAGCTAATGTATGAATAATGTAATTACGGAGGGTATGGGTAGAATAAGGAGGACCATCTCAGTGTATTAAAAAGTGTCCGTTGAAAGGGAGCAAATTAAGGTGGCGCTATAGTAGCATGTGGAAGAATTTTAAATAGAGCGCCACAAATTATTAGAGTAGGATACTAAATTAAAAAAGGAAAGAAACATTTCCGTTTTGTTACAGCGCAATTTTTTTAATTTTATACAGCCTGAAATATATAGACACATATATTTCAGGAATACCTGTAATATATAGACAAAAATGAGTATGGAATAAAATTAAAATTATACAGTGTTTTTAAGTAAGTACCCCAATTAATTCTAAATAGCAAATAGAATATAGTATTAAAGAATTACCGAAATAAAAAAAAACAATTAAAATTATAACTAGGTAGCAAATTCTCAATCATTTAGACAATCGCGTGCTGAAAAAAGTAGAGGTTTCATAATTATTATCTGAATGTAGAAATCACCAAAACGGATTTAACAGGCAATCAATAAATATTTATTATTACTAATACAATGTATTAACAGTACAATATATTAAAATATAAATAAAGAGATAAAAAATTATATTTTCAACGGTATAACACACTATATAGCACACTTCACTCTGCTTATAACTGCTAAGTTCATGTCATTTCCACTTGCTACACTAGCGCTATTTCGGTGAGAGTTCGAAGAATAATTTGCTGTTTACAAGTTGACACTTTTTCGACTAATCCATCATACGAGACGGTCCTCCTTACTTCTACCCTCCATAAATGTAAAATTTAGCATCTGTCAGCATTACTGTACTCTTTTCCCATAGATTAGGTACTTTAGTCTTTGGTCTTAAGTCTAAACAAGTCTAAAGTCGAATCGAATCCACGGATGCCAACTTAGGAGTTTTCTTCATAAATTTAGGAAGAAAAAGTTTACAATGGAAGTTTTTTAGGAGGAGAAATGTTTTGGGAATATTTTTAGGAATAAAATTTATTAATTCACATGTATGAAAAAAACCCATACAATTTTAAACAAAAAATATAAAATAATAGTATTGGCAGCTTTGTATATTGTATATAACAGTGACTACAGTTGGCTGCATTGGCTTAAGTAGTATTTTAAATGGTTCCGCCATAAACGCTTATTGTGAATATACGTCTACTCGTAAGACATTCCTTCAATAAGTAATATAAAATGCCAAAGGGTGAGAAAATTGCCATCAGATATGTTCAAAAATTTAAAGGCATGTTTAATTCAGATCTTTTATAATTGAATGATACTTATTCGTATTGTTATTGTCTGATTCTTAAAAATAATGAAAATAAATATAACACAATAAAATGTATTTAATTTCTATAAATATTTTTCAAGTCAATGAACAATGTTCAAGGTGAAGTATGTTAATTAAATTAATTTTTAATTTAAATAAAACAGTTTTGATCTACCTTAATTTAGGAATTTTTTTTCGAAAACAGTGGATTTTAGGTTTAGGAGGTTTTTGAATTTCTTTAGGAGTTTTTTTTCAACAGTTGGTAACACTGATCGAATCTGTCAGGAAACTGAAATCGGAAACAAACAAAAATAAAATTGTTTAAATGTTTTAATTTATAATTACCGTTTAGACTTGAATCTTCAAAATCTAGAAACAACTTGATAGTAAGATACTAACGAATTTCAAGTGTGACAATTTCATTTAATATTCGTTTTGACTGTTCCGTTATACCATTATTTGTATAATATATAAAAATGTGACTTTACTTTTCAACTCACTTTAATCATTCGTGTTCACAACTATTAATTTCATTGTTGCTTTCGGCTTTGGTATACGGTAGCTTGTTCTCCAATGTGATTTTAATTTATTATTTCTCTACCACCAGCTTTCTCTCTCAGTAACCGTAAAAATGAAACGACAGAATGTTCGCACGCTATCGCTTGTGGTATGTACGTTCACCTACCTACTCATAGGAGCAGCGGTTTTCGATGCTTTAGAATCTGATACAGAAAGTAAAAGATGGGAAGTTTTGTCAGGTATGATTTTTGATATTACTTATACCAAAAAAAATTGTATTTGTTTTGAATATGTCAGTTTTCTCATCATGTTTTCCTTCACTGTTGACCAGCACTTACCACGGCAGTTACAAATTTCATTTGTGGTGGTAAACGGGGCTTGAACTCTGTTTAACTTGTGTATATTGAATAAAAGGTAGTTTTTGAGAATAAAATATTATTTAAAACTTGTTATTTTCACTAGAGAACTTTGCCATCATCAGCAATATTAAAAAAAAACTTTTAAAATACTACTCAAAAATATAAAGCGACTGGAGAATTCTACTTATTGATTATTTCATTAGTGACTTTTTCTTTACCGAAAAAAATTTTTAGGTCAAAAAAACCTGGCGCTAGTGAAAATGTAACCAAAATTTCCTTAAAATTAAATATTAAAAAACGCGAAAATTAGGGGGCTCCGCAACTTTTCCTTTTAGGGTGGGGTAATACCCCTCCCCCTTCCCCTCAATTCCCCTCCTGCCCCTCAATTCGATGGACGTCAATGGAAAGTTGTACCGTTATATGTCCCCTATACATGAAAAGCCACATTGTTTGAGTTTTGGTATATCCTAATTAAAAAAATTAATTGTTTTTCTTTTTAACATCCAGCCATGAAGAATGGTCTTGTGCGTAAATATAATATAACACCAGAAGACTACCATATGATTGAGATAGTAATAATAGAAAATAAACCACACAAAGCAGGGCCTCAGTGGAAGTTTGCTGGTGCCTTTTATTTCGCTACTGTTGTGCTAGCAATGATTGGATATGGTCATTCTACACCTGTAACTGTTGGTGGAAAGGCATTTTGTATGGCTTATGCAATGGTGTGTATAACTAATACTATTTAAAAACTCTAGTGATAAAATTTTTTCTATTGTTTTAAAACATTTTTTTTGTGGAAGTTTCTACTTCTACTAATGTTAGATTTATAGAACAAAATTTGTCAATATGAAAACTGCATGTTTATACATTATTTGAATCCACTGTTTCTGATTCTTATTGAATTTAAACATCTTAAGTACTATTAAAAATGAAATAATAATTATAAACACTTTCTTCTATATTGGTATAACATGTTACCATCACTGACCTCAAGAGGTGAGCATAAGAAACCAATATTTATTTATAATTCATTGATATTGTATTTATTTTAACTAAGTAAGCAATATTTTAACTGATAATTTTAAACACTATTTTGTCTTATAAGCAATTGATTCTTATTTTATGTCTCTGTATTTTAGGTTGGGATACCGTTGGGACTAGTGATGTTCCAGAGCATTGGTGAGCGTCTTAACAAGTTTGCTTCAGTAGTTATACGACGTGCCAAGTGCTATCTTCGTTGCGAGACCACAGAGGCGACAGAAATGAATCTAATGTTTGCTACAGGAATGTTATCATCTATAATTATTACCACAGGTAACATTTTTAAGCTTTTTTTACTTGACAAATTTTTGTTTCAAATTATGATTTCTTTAATTATTTCTTGTTTACTTATAATTGATTGATACTATAATTATATACACAATTAATTTTTTTTTTAATCAAATATTTATAAAAATGTTTTTGTTCAAACTTTTATTTTGTTTTACTTCTTTACTTTTTATTTACAGCTAAGTTTGTTTAAATTGTATACATCTATGCTGAATTTGGATACAGTCGCCTATGTGAGTAAAATTCCATGTTTAATATATGCTAATAGAACTTAGGAAAAATACTGATGAAAAATGTAGCTACAAAAATATTTATTGTGTTATTGCATTTAAGGTTTTTCTATTTGAATACCTACAAATCCATTATCACAACAGCCTTAAAGGTCTGTTTTTCTCACTAAATATAAAACCCACATTAATATACAATTGTCATGAGACTGTAAACTTCACCACCATAATTTCAGCCTGTTATGTAATAGCCGTAGAGTCCACTGATTACTTTAAAATAGTTATTGCATATTGTATATTACAAGTTGTTAGTGGTAATAGATTATAGATAGTTAGACAGTTGAAATTATCACAGATGATGTATATTTGTTGCCGCTATAACAACAAACACTAAAAAACAGAATATTTATTTAGAAAAAAAAATAAGTTGGGTTCCATACAATAGACACAATTTATTTGTCTTTTTTGTAGATAATGCTACGGAACCCTTTGTGCCTGAGTCCCACTCGCACTTATTAAATGAATTATATGATTGAATTCAATGGTAAAAACATATTGGATGGTCCAATATAAATGCTAAGTAATCACAAGAGTAAAAGATCTAGTGTAGAAGCTAAGTGTGTAAGTTAGGAGCATATAATTTGGTCTAGTTTTTTATAAGTTGTTTAAAATATTCCAGGGGCAGCTGTTTTCTCGCGCTATGAAGGCTGGAGCTACTTTGACAGTTTCTATTACTGCTTCGTAACCCTAACTACAATTGGATTTGGGGATTATGTTGCCTTGCAAGTAAGTCTATCACTTGCTTTTTAAGTTTAGTTTCACATACAATTTTTAACAGTTGTCATTTGAGAAATATTAACCATAACAAACAAGCTGATGGTTCACCTGATGGTAAGTGAATACCGCCGCCCATGGACATCTGCTTCACCAGAGGGTTACAGGTGCGTTAACAATTGAAAATTGGTCTCCGGCTACTTCACTCACCAGACGAAACGCGAAAGTAGTTGTCGTACTTTCACTTCACGCTGGTCTTCTGTAAGGTCGTGGTACTTAGTTGTGGACGGGCCTGCCCATTCGTGCCACAGCCGAGGCTGCTGCGTGGCCCTAACCACCATATAAAATTACCATTTTATTGATTACTATTTACATGTGGAGTTGCACATTTTATATGTGAAGTTCGCTAGCTTAGTGATCTAAGCTACTATTTACATTTTTTACTTAATGCTTGGCGTCACATAGTGCAAAGCATACAATTGCGATTAATTTAAATTTATTTAGCTAGCGTGAGGATTTTAAGTAAAGGTTGCTCAAGTATACTGAAATAAAGGCATCTGCCTGGATACCAAGCTATACATTGGTTTGCTATAGGGGATAAAAAGATGTAAATGTAGTAGGTAAGTATGAGTGTAGTTATATTTGTATTTTGTATTGAAGGGGTTGAATAGTAAGTCCCAACAACCTCTGTGACCCAGAAATCTTGTAGTCTTCCCTGCAAAAACATTGCCTTATTGTGGGATAACATTATCCTGTGGTGTAAAGTCATTTACAGACATAAATTTTCACGTGGATGTACACCCAGATCTATAATAATTATCTGTGGATCACAAATTGTATAGTTGTTTCATGCGGGAATCGAAACCACGATCTCCGGCAGTCAATACCATAGCAACTGCATATGGAGTTGTCAGGGTAAGTATGAAACAAAAGTAATTAAAAACCAAGTTTAAATCTTAAGTTATACAAAGAATTTTAAACTTTTTTCGAATTAATATTATAATTTTTAGTCCTTCATTCCATTATTCTAGTTTTTCATAAAAATAAATCTGACAATTTTATATAATGATAAAAGCATTAAATCAACATGTAAATTGTTTATTTGACAAGCAAGTGGACACCAAGTACATGAGTGACTGCAAACTAAATAATTCAATAATCGTAAAGTTCTGCCTGCCGTGTTAGATGTTTCAAAGACATTCAAAGTGATGCATATACGGATAAAACTTGCATTGTGCTGTGACTAGCAATGTAGTGACATTTGAGGAAATCTTAAAAGCGCGATGTACATGTTTGACAGCGCCACCTATCGAAGCGAGTTTTATAATATAGCGTGAGACGAAAGTGTAAATTTTGATTGCAAGGATAATTTATCAAATTAAGGCAGTCTATTGATGAAGGATTTTTGAAAATAATAAAAAAATAAGTAAGAAAGTGTATTCTTAAAAAAATTTCATGGAAACAAATGTGTCAATGCATTGATTTTCAGAATGATCAAGCCTTAACCAGCAAGCCAGGCTATGTGGCTCTGAGTCTCGTATTCATTTTGTTTGGTCTGGCAGTGGTGGCAGCCAGCATCAATTTGCTAGTCCTCCGTTTTATGACAATGTGAGTATATCTTAGGGATACTAATTCCATGTCTAAAACATTATTATTTCTTGAATTTGTTTTTATTTAAGATAAAAGTATTCCCGAAAAGTATTATATAACTTATTTATGTAAAATTCATCAATTTGTGTCATGAGATCTCTAAATAGACCAATAAAAATTACAAGTATTTTATAAAATATGTCACAAATAATTGTGGTTGCTTGACATCCACATTTATTTCTGAATATATTTCTTTTGAAATAATAATAAAACCCTTGATTGTTGCTTTACCCTGTTATATTTACCTGGACAATGAGCTATCATGCCTCTTAAAAGGTCAATGGTGCCAGGGTCAATGAAATTGTTAATTGCTGAAACTGCATATGCATAGAAATAACAACAAAAAATGTTTTGAACATATGTAAAGACCGCCTATACGCAGTGGGGTCGCGTGGTCGACTACGCCCTAAAGCCTTCTGTACCTCTGTACAGGCCTTTGCCTTTGCGCAGCAGTGGGACAAATATCGTAGCTCGTAAAGAACGCGTTATGAGTTTCTACCTATAGTGAGTGAAGAACAGCGGCCCTCTTCTGGTTGGTCGTGTTATAACAGTACCTTTACCTTTACCTCAGTACCTTTTTGAATATTGATCGGAACTCCACAAGACCAGCAAGCACCAGTTATTACAATGAAACTCCTTCAATTGTTTGCCTCATTGCTTCATCTGCAGCAGGGAAAGTAGCACGGCCTCAAAGAGGTCTTTCGCGTTTCGTATGGTGAGTGAGGTGACCGGGACTCACCTTTTTAATGGTTGGCAAGGCGTTAACCTTCTTCGCTTAAACGTCTTCTCGCTTTCTAACTTAAAAAAACGTCCATGGTCAAGTCTACCCTTCTAGCGCAGTTCAAGACACTATCGCCGGTGACGCATCCGATGTTTTCCACTCAAGTTAGTATGAGATTTTAATGTTTAGCATCGATCTCGTCGAGTTGTCAGAAGTTGATAGATTTAGAACAGTAACATTGTCAAATGATAATGTCCGTCCGGCAGGTCCGTCTGAGTAAGTATCACGAACTCACAGAAGACCGGCGTGAAGTGGAAGCGTTTAGTCTTGTGAGTGAGGTAGCCGGGGCCCACTTTATTTAAAGGTGGCAACGCATCTGTAACCTTACGGGTGCTGCAAATGTCGACGGCCGGCGGTTATCACTTAACATTGGGTGGACCGCCAGCTCGCTTGCCACCTCATGTAACAAAAATGTCTAGTACACAATGTTGAAACCACCCGTCGTCTGTTTGTTTTCGCTGGGAGTTCCTCACAACCATGGCAACTTGTAACACCGTTTTATTTATTTTTTTATTTATCCGGTAATAATTAAAAATTGTACATAGATACGAGTTTTATATTCATACAAGAGTTTTTCAAGATTTTCACATCTCTATTAAAGTAAATTTTTCAAAGTTTTACAATTTCCAAATTTTCAAAATTTTCAAATTTTCAAAATTTTAAAGCAAAGTTTTCCACTATATGTTAACTTGAAATTATTGAAGTAACACAATATGTTCAAAAATGTTGGTTTCAAAGGACAAACAGAAAAGTATGGCAACACTTAATTGGATGCTAGACTAACTCGATGACTCAGTTCTCAAGGTATCGGCTTCGGCGTCGGGGGTCGTTGGTTCGATTCCCACACGGGGCAACTATTTGTGTGATCCACAGATAGCTGTTTCGTGTCTAAGTTTTTGTCCAGTAGCAAAACATCCTTACAACACAGGATAATATTATCCTAAAGTAAGGGCAATGCTTTTAACAAGAAAAATAATTAACTGGTTTCCTCATAAAATTTCCAGGCAAGCCGAGGAGAACGCTCGCGACGAGGACAAAGAAGGTTCCAGAACAATGTTGCCGATCGACGGGCACCCGATAGCGTCACGCCAACGTTCTCACGACGACCAGGCCTCTGTAAGCTTTTATAAACGAGGAAAATATATCATTTGTATCTTTATAAAACACTACCGACCCGGCCCGGCTTCGTACGGGTGCAATGCTGAATGTTTGTTTGCGACATCGCATTAGAAACCCTCTAAAATTATCAGGGTTTCTCTTCTATATGTATCAATTATACATATAAACGTTCCTCTTGAATCGCTATATCTATTACAGAAAACCGCATCAAAATCCGTATTTTTAAAGATCTAAGCATATATAAGGATAGACAGACAGCGGGACGACTTTGTTTTATACTTTGTAGTGATTATATTATCTTTGTAAAACATTATCGCAAACAAAGTCGCTCCCGATTTTTGTACGCTGAGATCTCTTTAACAACGCAACGGATTTTGATGTGGTTTTCGGCAATAGATAGAGCGATTCAAGCGAAGGTTTATATATACTATACATGCATGTTATTGTAGAGAAAAATCAGGAAATTCGATATAATCATTCCACCCGTGCGAAGCCAGGGCGGGTCGTTAGTTTAATACATAAAAAATATATTCAAATTAAATATAAGTATATAAAGAAAATAGGTATTTTTTAACTGTGAAAAAACGATTCAACTTTGAAGCTATTTGTAAAGTTTGTTATAGTATATATAAAATAATCGTTCTTCCTTCCTTTCTCATATCGGCTTCGTCGCGACCGATCGCATGTGATTCGTTCGTTTATAACGAAGCCGCCGCCATACGTCGTCCGCCGTAGCGTGTAGAGAACAATTAAATTTTTCTGATGTTCACATTTTAACTTATTATTAATGTATTATATATAATATATGATGAATATGTATGAAATTGACGTTTTAATTTTATTCACACAACCATTGAGCATTGAGGGAGGAGGGAGAGAGCGTTTCTATTTCATTTGGAAATTTTCTTCGTCTCTAAACAGAATCACGTCGGAAGCAGACATATAGTTATAGTTAGTTAGGTAGAGGTGCACTTTGTAGGTGAGTGTGGCGCTTTTCTTGTATTTCTCTGGTTTTTATAATGCGAATGGGAATAAGAAAGTGTGATAATATTATGATGTCTAATTGAATATACATTGTAACGGTAGTTTCCTTAAGTGGATTGTCGTCAGGTGAGAGTTGCGTAAACGGCACGATAGATGGCGGTGCGGGGTCTGCGGTAAAGCTCTAGATCGCGATGTTGAGATTCTTTCAGGAGCGAATAAGGTCCACGGACGCGAGTCTTTCGGCATCGCTTCTCGGCCTTTTGGCTAAGATCAAAGTGTAGTATCTGTTCTTTTCAGCTTAATATCTGAAAGTTCCCGCACTGCGGGACCAGTATATTAAACTGATTTTTGAGAAACGACGGGATGTTCGGGGCTCGCTCCACTCCCGTCACGGGTCGGCCCGGCATTGCAGTGCCGCCGGGATCGGCCCACATAATAAACTAAATAAACGAGAAAACGTTCACGTATGTAAGAAACATCATCACACGTACACAATTATTACTATGTACGTGTCCGTCCCCCTGTCCACCGTGTAAATAAAAAAAAAGATAATCAATCGGTAGAGCTAGAGAGACACACACGACGACACATCACTCACAAAGTCTCTCTCTTCCTCCGCAGTCGCACACTACTCTACCCTACCATCGACGGGGATGAGGGAGCGGTGGTCCGAATCCGATCTTGTGTGTATGATATAATATTGTTGGTGTTGCTGGAGGCGGCATCAGCTGCGCGTGGTGCAGTGCCACAGTGGTGCTCGTGAACCGCCCAACACTTTAGGACGCGACGTTGTATACGAATAGGACGGTGAATATCGCGTAGCGCGTGGTGGTGTAACAAAATATTGTCGTTACGTATAAAAGTGTATGTTATGTAGGCAGGCAGTAGGTACGGTACATACGATACGGGTGGGTACGCGCATATGCATCGGACGGCATATGCAGTGTGCTCGTGCGACTGCCTCGGCAACAAGCAGTGCGAGGGCGGAGCGCTGCTTCCGAGCGAGCGGGCGCCGCGCGCGCTTCGCCGCCGCGCCTCGCTGGCGATGGCCCCCGACCTCGTCGAGCGCGCCAGCGTCTAGTGAACGCAACGCCTCTTCTCTCTCTTATATCGTTCTTCCTTCCTTTCTCATATCGGCTTCGTCGCGACCGATCGCATGTGATTCGTTCGTTTATAACGAAGCCGCCGCCATACGTCGTCCGCCGTAGCGTGTAGAGAACAATTAAATTTTTCTGATGTTCACATTTTAACTTATTATTAATGTATTATATATAATATATGATGAATATGTATGAAATTGACGTTTTAATTTTATTCACACAACCATTGAGCATTGAGGGAGGAGGGAGAGAGCGTTTCTATTTCATTTGGAAATTTTCTTCGTCTCTAAACAGAATCACGTCGGAAGCAGACATATAGTTATAGGTTAGTTAGGTAGAGGTGCACTTTGTAGGTGAGTGTGGCGCTTTTCTTGTATTTCTCTGGTTTTTATAATGCGAATGGGAATAAGAAAGTGTGATAATATTATGATGTCTAATTGAATATACATTGTAACGGTAGTTTCCTTAAGTGGATTGTCGTCAGGTGAGAGTTGCGTAAACGGCACGATAGATGGCGGTGCGGGGTCTGCGGTAAAGCTCTAGATCGCGATGTTGAGATTCTTTCAGGAGCGAATAAGGTCCACGGACGCGAGTCTTTCGGCATCGCTTCTCGGCCTTTTGGCTAAGATCAAAGTGTAGTATCTGTTCTTTTCAGCTTAATATCTGAAAGTTCCCGCACTGCGGGACCAGTATATTAAACTGATTTTTGAGAAACGACGGGATGTTCGGGGCTCGCTCCACTCCCGTCACGGGTCGGCCCGGCATTGCAGTGCCGCCGGGATCGGCCCACATAATAAACTAAATAAACGAGAAAACGTTCACGTATGTAAGAAACATCATCACACGTACACAATTATTACTATGTACGTGTCCGTCCCCCTGTCCACCGTGTAAATAAAAAAAAGATAATCAATCGGTAGAGCTAGAGACACACACGACGACACATCACTCACAAAGTCTCTCTCTTCCTCCGCAGTCGCACACTACTCTACCCTACCATCGACGGGGATGAGGGAGCGGTGGTCCGAATCCGATCTTGTGTGTATGATATAATATTGTTGGTGTTGCTGGAGGCGGCATCAGCTGCGCGTGGTGCAGTGCCACAGTGGTGCTCGTGAACCGCCCAACACTTTAGGACGCGACGTTGTATACGAATAGGACGGTGAATATCGCGTAGCGCGTGGTGGTGTAACAAAATATTGTCGTTACGTATAAAAGTGTATGTTATGTAGGCAGGCAGTAGGTACGGTACATACGATACGGGTGGGTACGCGCATATGCATCGGACGGCATATGCAGTGTGCTCGTGCGACTGCCTCGGCAACAAGCAGTGCGAGGGCGGAGCGCTGCTTCCGAGCGAGCGGGCGCCGCGCGCGCTTCGCCGCCGCGCCTCGCTGGCGATGGCCCCCGACCTCGTCGAGCGCGCCAGCGTCTAGTGAACGCAACGCCTCTTCTCTCTCTTATATCGTTCTTCCTTCCTTTCTCATATCGGCTTCGTTAGTGGGTGCGGGTGCGGGTGCGGGTGCGGCTCTGTAAAGAGAGAGTCGTCCTATGTACTCCAAACGATGTAGGTAGAGCATACTCGTATGCATAAAATCGTTCGCCGTACGCGACCGATCGCATGTGATTCGTTCGTTTATAACGAAGCCGCCGCCATACGTCGTCCGCCGTAGCGTGTAGAGAACAATAAAATTTTTCTGATGTTCACATTTTAACTTATTATTAATGTATTATATATAATATATGATGAATATGTATGAAATTGACGTTTTAATTTTATTCACACAACCATTGAGCATTGAGGGAGGAGGGAGAGAGCGTTTCTATTTCATTTGGAAATTTTCTTCGTCTCTAAACAGAATCACGTCGGAAGCAGACATATAGTTATAGTTAGTTAGGTAGAGGTGCACTTTGTAGGTGAGTGTGGCGCTTTTCTTGTATTTCTCTGGTTTTTATAATGCGAATGGGAATAAGAAAGTGTGATAATATTATGATGTCTAATTGAATATACATTGTAACGGTAGTTTCCTTAAGTGGATTGTCGTCAGGTGAGAGTTGCGTAAACGGCACGATAGATGGCGGTGCGGGGTCTGCGGTAAAGCTCTAGATCGCGATGTTGAGATTCTTTCAGGAGCGAATAAGGTCCACGGACGCGAGTCTTTCGGCATCGCTTCTCGGCCTTTTGGCTAAGATCAAAGTGTAGTATCTGTTCTTTTCAGCTTAATATCTGAAAGTTCCCGCACTGCGGGACCAGTATATTAAACTGATTTTTGAGAAACGACGGGATGTTCGGGGCTCGCTCCACTCCCGTCACGGGTCGGCCCGGCATTGCAGTGCCGCCGGGATCGGCCCACATAATAAACTAAATAAACGAGAAAACGTTCACGTATGTAAGAAACATCATCACACGTACACAATTATTACTATGTACGTGTCCGTCCCCCTGTCCACCGTGTAAATAAAAAAAAGATAATCAATCGGTAGAGCTAGAGAGACACACACGACGACACATCACTCACAAAGTCTCTCTCTTCCTCCGCAGTCGCACACTACTCTACCCTACCATCGACGGGGATGAGGGAGCGGTGGTCCGAATCCGATCTTGTGTGTATGATATAATATTGTTGGTGTTGCTGGAGGCGGCATCAGCTGCGTGTGGTGCAGTGCCACAGTGGTGCTCGTGAACCGCCCAACACTTTAGGACGCGACGTTGTATACGAATAGGACGGTGAATATCGCGTAGCGCGTGGTGGTGTAACAAAATATTGTCGTTACGTATAAAAGTGTATGTTATGTAGGCAGGCAGTAGGTACGGTACATACGATACGGGTGGGTACGCGCATATGCATCGGACGGCATATGCAGTGTGCTCGTGCGACTGACTGCCTCGGCAACAAGCAGTGCGAGGGCGGAGCGCTGCTTCCGAGCGAGCGGGCGCCGCGCGCGCTTCGCCGCCGCGCCTCGCTGGCGATGGCCCCCGACCTCGTCGAGCGCGCCAGCGTCTAGTGAACGCAACGCCTCTTCTCTCTTATATCGTTCTTCCTTCTTTCTCATATCGGCTTCGTTTGTGGGTGCGGGTGCGGCTGCGGTTGCGGCTCTGTAAAGAGAGAGTCGTCTATGTACTCCAAACGATGTAGGTCATATCGCATAAAATCGTTCGCCGTACGCGACCGATCGCATGTGATTCGTTCGTTTATAACGAAGCCGCCGCCATACGTCGTCCGCCGTAGCGTGTAGAGAACAATTAAATTTTTCTGATGTTCACATTTTAACTTATTATTAATGTATTATTATATATAATATATGATGAATATGTATGAAATTGACGTTTTAATTTTATTCACACAACCATTGAGCATTGAGGGAGGAGGGAGAGAGCGTTTCTATTTCATTTGAAATTTTTCTTCGTCTCTAAACAGAATCACGTCGGAAGCAGACATATAGTTATAGTTAGTTAGGTAGAGGTGCACTTTGTAGGTGAGTGTGGCGCTTTTCTTGTATTTCTCTGGTTTTTATAATGCGAATGGGAATAAGAAAGTGTGATAATATTATGATGTCTAATTGAATATACATTGTAACGGTAGTTTCCTTAAGTGGATTGTCGTCAGGTGAGAGTTGCGTAAACGGCACGATAGATGGCGGTGCGGGGTCTGCGGTAAAGCTCTAGATCGCGATGTTGAGATTCTTTCAGGAGCGAATAAGGTCCACGGACGCGAGTCTTTCGGCATCGCTTCTCGGCCTTTTGGCTAAGATCAAAGTGTAGTATCTGTTCTTTTCAGCTTAATATCTGAAAGTTCCCGCACTGCGGGACCAGTATATTAAACTGATTTTTGAGAAACGACGGGATGTTCGGGGCTCGCTCCACTCCCGTCACGGGTCGGCCCGGCATTGCAGTGCCGCCGGGATCGGCCCACATAATAAACTAAATAAACGAGAAAACGTTCACGTATGTAAGAAACATCATCACACGTACACAATTATTACTATGTACGTGTCCGTCCCCCTGTCCACCGTGTAAAAAAAAAAGATAATCAATCGGTAGAGCTAGAGAGACACACACGACGACACATCACTCACAAAGTCTCTCTCTTCCTCCGCAGTCGCACACTACTCTACCCTACCATCGACGGGGATGAGGGAGCGGTGGTCCGAATCCGATCTTGTGTGTATGATATAATATTGTTGGTGTTGCTGGAGGCGGCATCAGCTGCGTGTGGTGCAGTGCCACAGTGGTGCTCGTGAACCGCCCAACACTTTAGGACGCGACGTTGTATACGAATAGGACGGTGAATATCGCGTAGCGCGTGGTGGTGTAACAAAATATTGTCGTTACGTATAAAAGTGTATGTTATGTAGGCAGGCAGTAGGTACGGTACATACGATACGGGTGGGTACGCGCATATGCATCGGACGGCATATGCAGTGTGCTCGTGCGACTGCCTCGGCAACAAGCAGTGAGAGAGTCGTCCTATGTACTCCAAACGATGTAGGTAGAGCATACTCGTATGCATAAAATCGTTCGCCGTACGCGACCGATCGCATGTGATTCGTTCGTTTATAACGAAGCCGCCGCCATACGTCGTCCGCCGTAGCGTGTAGAGAACAATTAAATTTTTCTGATGTTCACATTTTAACTTATTATTAATGTATTATATATAATATATGATGAATATGTATGAAATTGACGTTTTAATTTTATTCACACAACCATTGAGCATTGAGGGAGGAGGGAGAGAGCGTTTCTATTTCATTTGGAAATTTTCTTCGTCTCTAAACAGAATCACGTCGGAAGCAGACATATAGTTATAGTTAGTTAGGTAGAGGTGCACTTTGTAGGTGAGTGTGGCGCTTTTCTTGTATTTCTCTGGTTTTTATAATGCGAATGGGAATAAGAAAGTGTGATAATATTATGATGTCTAATTGAATATACATTGTAACGGTAGTTTCCTTAAGTGGATTGTCGTCAGGTGAGAGTTGCGTAAACGGCACGATAGATGGCGGTGCGGGGTCTGCGGTAAAGCTCTAGATCGCGATGTTGAGATTCTTTCAGGAGCGAATAAGGTCCACGGACGCGAGTCTTTCGGCATCGCTTCTCGGCCTTTTGGCTAAGATCAAAGTGTAGTATCTGTTCTTTTCAGCTTAATATCTGAAAGTTCCCGCACTGCGGGACCAGTATATTAAACTGATTTTTGAGAAACGACGGGATGTTCGGGGCTCGCTCCACTCCCGTCACGGGTCGGCCCGGCATTGCAGTGCCGCCGGGATCGGCCCACATAATAAACTAAATAAACGAGAAAACGTTCACGTATGTAAGAAACATCATCACACGTACACAATTATTACTATGTACGTGTCCGTCCCCCTGTCCACCGTGTAAATAAAAAAAAGATAATCAATCGGTAGAGCTAGAGAGAGACACACACGACTTGCAACAAATAATGGTCGCGAAAAGGTCATAATTAATGTCAAAATTTTTTGGTAATAATTGATAACTTCCCAGAAGAAATTACAAAAACGTGGTCCATATCACAGAATAGAGGAAACTGTTGCTCTCCATATTGGCCATATGATGAGCGCTGAGAAAGGGGCGGCTGGAACTTACGACATATCCTGAGGCCGTGGGCGGCCAAGACTGCGAATCTGCCACTGGGTTTAGCTTAAGATAATGAAAAAATAAATAAAACGAAATATTCAAATATTACCATCGAATGAGCTTTTTTTACGATGACCGTTAGACTTTCCGCAACAAATTAAGATGTGAAAGAGTTCCACAATCAAAAGTTAAAATAATTACGTCGAACCGTTGCTTATATTCCAGTTCATCACAATTGTTCTAAAGCAAAATTAATAAGTGCTATTACGTGGTCTTAAACCATTTATTATTTTATAGATTGGACCAATATTAATTTAGGTATCATTCAAATTTATGGATTAAAACTGGGTTAGTCAATGGAACTTCAGGTTATGTAGAAGATATAATTTATGTACAAAATTATAGTCCCCTGCTGGCCTGAATGGCACAAGTGATGAAATTTTTGTCATTCAATTTACGAATACCACCCATAACTAAATTATTGAAAAGTGGAAATATTAACTGTTCCAGAAAACAATTTCCGTTACAAATAGCTTACGCGAATAGATTTCATAAGTCACAAGGCTTAACATTAGATAAAGCTGTTGTAGATATTACAGATAAATAAACATCTTCATATTCGTTTTCAAGAGTAGATTCAGTAGATCAAGAAGGATTAGAGTTATATAACGATTCCCTTATGATAGATTAAGGAGTATTAAAAACTCTTAACTCATATTAAATACAAGAAGAATCTCGTATGAAAATTTTTTTGTTTGAATAAAACTAGTAGAAAAAATATTGAAATGGAATTTAAGATGTAGAAGACCACAAAGTGGTATAGAATGTTTAAATTATGTATATTATTATGTTTATGATGTCCCATTGCAGAATATCCTGATGATTTAAGTTTTTAACGCCATCACATTTTCTTACTAGTGGATCATTATTACTTATAATAGAAACAGAAAATAACGAACATACCAGGTGGCATCAGACCCAAGAAATTTACCACGACATGTAGAAAAGATGGCATTCGGAGTATCTATCACAATTAACCGTGACCAAAGCGGCGTAACACCCGGAATAACATGAAAATAATGATACGTGTTCTCACGCATTTACCATGTACCATTTTACCAGATTGCCAGTTAACCTAGTGTATTTTAATATAGCTAAATTAATATATTTCACAATCTTATTACTTTGTTGGACTTACACGCAACAGGTGCTACCTTGGATTTAGAGCATAGCATCTTATCGTGCAAGAGTCTGCGTTCATTGACCCCAAGTAAACGGAATGGAGTCCCACTGTACTCGGCTTAGAGCATAACACAAGTCGAGGTATTTGAATTGTATATAATAGATATTGTATGTAAATTCTTTACGTAGGATCATCTGTCACTGTTCCACTGAAAACCAGCATTCCCGAAAGTCTGTCAACTTCGTGATAAAGCTGAGTGGAGACTATTTTGGTGCATTGTATTTATACTTATTTAGTATCTATCTATTGCATTGTGTTTCATATGTACCAAGTAAATGTGTACCAAATAAATGTTTCTTTCTTTCTTTCTCAAAAATATCGCATTAAATTGATTATTATCAAGGAAGAGAGCGAGTAAAAAAAAGAATGGTTATGGAAAATTTATGAAATCTTACGCCCCTCACTGTGATGAGCACCGCGCGGCTCGTTGTTGTTGCTGGAAGCCTTGGATTCTGATTGCGGAAAGCCTAATTGATGAACAGATGAAATCACCGAAGTGTTAAACATTCTAACAAACTAAACAAACTACGGAAAAAACAATAGATGATTTTCCAATACTCGGACAAGGTATTTTTTAAAAAAAATTGTAAAAAAAGTTGCAAATAGAGGGTAGACGTGAAAATTGTTTGCTAAAAATGTACTTATAAATTTATTGTTTCGTGTTAAACATCGTATATTTAAGGTGTTTTACTTTGAAACTAAATCAAAGTAATGATAAAGTACTTTAAATATCATGAATTAACAATTTACTCACTTATATCGCAAAATTGTACGCGATTACGTTTATTTAACACAAAAAAGATTTGCTAACATTAGCGAGTTGATGATGTACGAAGCTGGCGCGAGGCCTGCTTTTAGTCGAGTATCGGGGCAACCCCCATGCCTCGGACATAATCTCGACCAGCGAAGGCTGGTCGGTGGTAAGGATGACCAACGGTCATCCCTAACTCTGACCGCGGTAGCGGCACTGGCGGGTGTACAGCGTTACACGCGGTGTGTAACGCGTGGACGACATCGTCTTCTCAACGGCGGAAGTGCGGTCGGGTCTGGATCCCCAGTAGCCTCCGACCGCAGTAGCTCTCGTGGGAGCGGGCGCCCGTCAGGAGGACGGGCGTGGAGGGGTGCGATGTTTTGAAGGTGTGGATGTGGCCCGTTGTCGGCCCTGTCGTACATGCGACGGGCCAACCGGACCACAAACTCTTCGATGGATTCCATCCTCAGGTCGCGAGCTATTACGTCGTTCCTGACGTAACGCCCGGCCCCCACGATCACTCGAAGGGCGAGGTTCTGCTGCGCCTGGAGCCTGCGCTTCTGCGTGGCGGAAACCAGACCATACCACGCCGGAGCGGCGTAGGTCAGGCGCGAACGGACGTACGTCTTGTAGACGCCGAGTTTGGTCTTGATGGGTAACCTGGATGCCAGGATAGGGTATAGCATGGCTCGAGCTGCCCTGGCTTGTCGGACGGCGTGTCCGACCTGGGGAGCCATGCACAGCGAGCGATCTATCCGGCATCCAAGTTACCTTATGACGTTCTGGTTGGTAATCGCCTGACCTCGCAGCTCAAGCGTGGGTTGGTTTTTAATGCGGCGGATATATATCGCGGACGTCTTGTCGACGTTGACAGACATCCGCCACTTATCCAGCCACTCGGGCAGCAGGTCCATAGGATGGCACTTGCCTGAAAATAGGTACGATGGCTGCTTCGTTGATACGTTGCACCGATGAAGAGGACAGAAAAGTGCTTTTAACTTATTTTCTTCTTATTTTGAAAATGTACTGTCATGGTCGCCAATTAATGTTCGTTCTGACATGGAGAAATGAATTGAAATTCGTAAAATATAGTTAAGTTAAATTTAATGTTGGAGTGCGATACAGTCGTGATCATGTTGGTTTTTAGAAGAGGAAATTTTGAAAGAAAAAAAGTTTGTCTAAGGAAAAAAAGGCCGGTAGTAAATAAAAGGCAACGACGTGGATGAAGTTCTTTGCTAGTGTTATTTTTTAGGCGCATCGTTGTGTTCAGGCGCGCGGTGTGTAACGCGTGGACGACATCGTCTTCTCAACGGCGGAAGTGCGGTCGGGTCTGGATCCCCAGTAGCCTCCGACCGCAGTAGCTCTCGTGGGAGCGGGCGCCCGTCAGGAGGACGGGCGTGGAGGGGTGCGATGTTTTGAAGGTGTGGATGTGGCCCGTTGTCGGCCCTGTCGTACATGCGACGGGCCAACCGGACCACAAACTCTTCGATGGATTCCATCCTCAGGTCGCGAGCTATTACGTCGTTCCTGACGTAACGCCCGGCCCCCACGATCACTCGAAGGGCGAGGTTCTGCTGCGCCTGGAGCCTGCGCTTCTGCGTGGCGGAAACCATACCATACCACGCCGGAGCGGCGTAGGTCAGGCGCGAACGGACGTCCGTCTTGTAGACGCCGAGTTTGGTCTTGATGGGTAACCTGGATGCCAGGATAGGGTATAGCATGGCTCGAGCTGCCCTGGCTTGTCGGACGGCGTGTCCGACCTGGGGAGCCATGCACAGCGAGCGATCTATCCGGCATCCAAGTTACCTTATGACGTTCTGGTTGGTAATCGCCTGACCTCGCAGCTCAAGCGTGGGTTGGTTTTTAATGCGGCGGATATATATCGCGGACGTCTTGTCGACGTTGACAGACATCCGCCACTTATCCAGCCACTCGGGCAGCAGGTCCATAGGATGGCACTTGCCTGAAAATAGGTACGATGGCTGCTTCGTTGATACGTTGCACCGATGAAGAGGACAGAAAAGTGCTTTTAACTTATTTTCTTCTTATTTTGAAAATGTACTGTCATGGTCGCCAATTAATGTTCGTTCTGACATGGAGAAATGAATTGAAATTCGTAAAATATAGTTAAGTTAAATTTAATGTTGGAGTGCGATACAGTCGTGATCATGTTGGTTTTTAGAAGAGGAAATTTTGAAAGAAAAAAAGTTTGTCTAAGGAAAAAAAGGCCGGTAGTAAATAAAAGGCAACGACGTGGATGAAGTTCTTTGCTAGTGTTATTTTTTAGGCGCATCGTTGTGTTCAGGCGCGCGATTCTTTTTTTGGAAACTTACTCAAAACTCTTATCTAGTATTTTGTACTTTTTCTACTTTTATAAAAATGTAATTTAACTAGCTAGAGCACTCATGAACGAGTAACCCGGTGAGTACCCTCACAAGAGGGAAGTTGTTTGATTTTCCAATAAACGACTTAATCTGTTCTTTTCAGCTTAATATCTGAAAGTTCCCGCACTGCGGGACCAGTATATTAAGCTGATTTTTGAGAAAAAACGGGATGTTCGAGGCTCGCTCCACTCCCGTCACGGGTCGGCCCGGTGGCACCGGGATCGGCCCACATAAACTGAATAAACGAGTAAACAAAACATCATGTTTGTAAGAAACATCACGTACATTATACTATGTACGTGTCCCTGTCCACCGTGTAGATAGAAAAATAATCAATCGGCAGAGACACACGACGACATCACATAGTCTTCCTCCGCAGTCGCACACTATCGCTGACGGAGCGGTGGTCCGAATCCGATCTTGTATGTATCATATTGTTGCCGGAGGCGGCATCAGCTGCGTGTGGTGAAGTCCCATAGCTCCTGAACAGCACAACACTATCAACTTATCTAACTTTGTAAGGACGTGACGTAAACATGTGTACTTACGTTCAATTTTACTTAGTAGGTGAACTCTTTTGCATCGTGCTCGTATAATTGTCAAATATCATAAGTTATTGCAATATTGCAATGTAGTCACATTTCCTATAGCAATTTGTATCATTCAGAGCTATTGAAAATACATTGCTTAGTAGGTATTAGTCGTTACCATTTATGTCCAAAATGTATTTAACTTTTTTGGTAAATAAGTAACTGACAATAAAACTAGTCATATGGATTATCAAGGTTTCATTGAAAGCGCGGGGAAAATAAATCAGTTTTTTGTTTACTTCTGGCATTGACTACTAGTAAATTTTAACTTAAATAATAAAAAAAATAATACCATAACTTAAATAAGTGAATTAGTTAGAGTAAAATGAGTATAAAGTTAAATATGTATAATTTATGGCATATATAAATATGTATTAAAAATATTGTGCTTGAAGTTGCCAACCTATGAAAAAATATATGACTAAGATATATGGCGATGTGTAATTTTTGTACATTTCGTAAATTGATAAACTTCTCTTTTCCAATAGCAGTCCTATTATAATTTAAAATCAGTAATCATGAGCTAATCTAAACACACATGAAAAAAGTCTAAGCAAAGCCAACTAATATTTCGACGTGACTGTGTGTTTTCGGTTATCAGTCAAAATTAGTAGGTATTTACATCATGATATAATAACTGAACCTAGCCATGCTTGCTGTTGCTTTTTTATTGTCGTTGGAAGTTCGGAATAAAAAGAACATAGCAACATTCTCTTGATCAATAGCTATGTTGTGAACAGATATCAAGGCAATCCATCGGCTAGATTATGAGTTGTGGACAAACATACGGAGCTAAATTTCTTTGTATAGAGATAAATGTAAAATTTAATAAAATGAAAAACAAACTATTTTTGACAATCTTTTAATAAAAAAAAATACAATATGAGGAATTAAATAAGAAAAAGTTCTAAAAAGTAGTAAGTAATCTAAAAAAATAAAGAGTAAAATGTTATTAAAAGTACTTTAGTAAGCTTATTCATTATGAAAAAAATGCAGAAATGATATTTATCTAAATAGAAAGTATGATCATTACGGTATATATAACCTGATGACATCGGCGGTTTGATTCTGAGGTTATTGATCTCATGCTGCGGTAATTGCTCCCATTGAAATTACAATAGGTCCTGCAGTTTGGTGGTGGACACACAGTCCAGGTCTTTCAAGACTTTCCTCTGGAGCATTTCCCACATGCTCAATAGGGTTTAAATCCGGTGATTGAGCAGGCCACGGCAGAACTATAATGTTTCCTGCAAGAGCCATTCCTGAGGCCTGCCGGCTGAAAAGCAACGAGCATTATCGTGCATCATAGTAAAATATGAGCCTATCCTTTGTAAAAAGAGAAGAAAATGAGGCCGCAGAATGTTTTTGACGTAATTATCAGGGTCTTTGTATTCATGAAAATGAGCTAAATTCATCTGTTTTTTCATGATTTCTGCCCAAACCTTTATTACTGTCCCATTGTAAGTAGGGATAAACATCCTGAACACACCTCAGTTGCTCAAAGCCTCCAGGACGTCGATAGTCCCTTGGTCTTTTTGAATCTGGTCTAACTCTAATCCAAATCTGGACTCGTCACAAAATAGGATTTTATCCTCTTCCGTACTGCGGCTACTGTACGCGTTCCCTGCACTATGCTTCTCGACGATTAAAATTTAAAAAGTTATATTCAATTAAAAAGTTTTGCCCTGTTGTTTTTATCAATCGATGATGTTAAGGAAAATGATATTATATACAAATACGATAAATATATATATACATCATTGTGTTAAGGGCAATTATTTTACCTGGATCTCAAAATTAGGGACTAAAAATGTGATGCATAAATTACGCTATGAAAATTTTAATAAATTTCATCAAGCCTTTCGTTACCCAATTTGTAAAAATTTACTGAACGATGGACATAAAGCCTATTGAGATAGTCCATCGATGCCACCTTTTGTAGAACTACACTGCTTTCAGATAAAGGATAACTATCTACTGGCACTGACCTAAGGAGCTGATTACGTAAATTACTTCGAAAGCTTATATAATGCTCCTGCTCGTTATTGTGGACAGTTTTAAAAATGCACTTCTTTAAGGTATTCGTGTGTAGCCTTTTAACACTGATGTTCTTTGAGATTAATGTTAGTTGTTTATTCTTTAAGTCGTCTATTCCAACTGGTGTGTCCGACTTGAGAAAGGCACCAAGGTGTAAGTGTAACTATTGTTTCAACACTATTGCATATTAAGTTTGTATTAATTTTTTTTTAATTTTGTGAATAAGAGCGTTGAAATTATTAATATTAAACTATTGAGACATTTTTATAAGCGGCTTCTAAAATGGAATGCTCTAATCTGAAATGCTCCTTTTCCATTCTCGTGAGACAAAGACAAAAAAAATATAAATGTAGGTACACTTTCCTGCAACGTCCGCTATGCATACATGTAGTATTTACTCTGCTGTCTTGTAATTAGTTTCACTTTTATATTTCCACTTCACGCCAGTTTTCTGCAAGACGATGGTTGAGCCTGCCCTTCTGTGCCACAGCAGAAACTGCTACATGTCCACACATTTATGACTATGTAAAGTTTCATCAGTTCAGTGAAATCGAGCAACTGTTTTTTTTTATTTAATGTATTAATGTTAAATGTAATCTTATTTGATGACTTGGTAGGCTAATATCTTCAAAGAAAAAAGTATTTATGTAATGCGCAGCAATAATCATTCAGGGTCGGGTATTTGTCCTTGTGAAGTTTGTATATCATATAAAAGGATCTTGCAAGATAATGTAAATATTAACGTAAAGTAAGACCAATGTTAAAAAAAAAAAAGGATTTTTCTTTTTAAGCAAGTAGGCCCTGGTTACCCCAATCAACTAGACGAAATGTGAAAGCATAATATTTTCGACGCCCATCTTCTGTGAGGTGACGATACTTAACCAGACTATCTTAACCATTCGTGTAACAACAGAAGCTGCAGAACACTACCACAGTTTCCAAAACCATCAAACTGATAATTGGTTAAATAAAACTATTTTACATTTTTTATCTTGATTTCAAATTCCCGAAATTTCGACTGCGTTCATTATCGCAGGACAGACAGAGTTAATTTTACGATAAAAAATACAATCGAATTGAAAACCTCCTCGATTCGGTTGTACCTATGTATTAAATATATTATAATTTTTTTGTTTGTCTCTCGACTTGACTTTATATAAATTTATAAAAATTTTCAAAATCAAATAGAAAATGTATAGCAGTATAGTGAGTGCGGTATGAATTTGAGGATGGTTTTTAGTTATTAAAAATGTAATTGTGTTACTATAATGCAAGAAACAAATCCAAAAGTATCTCGAGGTCTCTTGCAGTGCTGGATTTAATCTTGTAAAATTACAGGATTTCAAGCTGATGAACTCCGTGAAGTAGTTTTATTTAACGAATATATGTACTTACAGTATTCGCCTACTATACTAGGAATATACCTACTAGGAAACATTACATCAAACGATTGATATTAAAGTCGATTACAAACAAATAAAAACGTTAACTAATCAACAGCATGCGATGTTTTCCAGGGAATATTCCATTTTTTGGAATAGGTTTAACTTGTAACGGATGCCCGCCGCGAGGCTGCGAAGACGACGAAGCAATCATTCACGGCTACTGCTGCGGCTGCGCTTATCCCTTAGGTAACTTCTATCTTATTTTTGACTGCTTACCCTTCCCACATAACCCTAGCTAATGACATAGGAAGGGTGCGTAGGATCCTTAAAACTGTTCTAGTTTACCCTGCAAGAAGAACCCGTCTGTTGTCAAGAGGGGCTCTTGAATATGTTAAAGATCGCACTTAAAAAAATACTGTGAACCAGTGCAAACAAGTTTGACAAATGTTGTTTTGGTTGTCTTGTGTAGTGTCTTGTCTTGTGTAGTGTAGTGGTGGTTTAACTGTTACACCAATATCAGTTGAATTTCTTCGAGGAAGTACAGAAGACCAGCGTGAAATGAAAGTGTTATTCTTCTGCGTCTCGTCTGGTGAGTGAGGTTGCCGGGGCCCACTTTATTAAAAAGAAAGAAACGCGTCTTCAACATCACGGGTGTTGCAAATGTCCATGAGCGTCCATGTGGTTATCACTTAACATCAGGTGAACCGCCAACTCGCTTGCCACCTTGTGCTTAAAACTGTTACAACTATTTAATTTGCCTTAAAGACACAAAGTCACATTTTAATAGAATGTAAAGAATCATAATTATAATTGATAACATTGATGCTCTCGGTATTACGATCATTATCGTTCAATCTTTGTCCTAAGAAACTACTTAAATGTAAACTTTTCCCTTCTTGGATAAATATTAGATTTTATTTAAATGTGATGATTAATAAAGCTTGGTAATATTTAATAACTGTTATATGCAAATCCATACACTGAAATATTTACAATACCCAAATCATGTGATTCGCTTGCTAGTATGCCCTCTATAAAGAAAGTAAACCGTAATTTATCCCCAAGTTTTAACATAGGGAAGACCTTCCTGAATACAAAATTTGTAAATAAGAAAAATGATTGCCTTTCTTATTCCAACAGATAAGCTACCGGTGCTGTGTCCGCAGTTTCTGCAATGTCCACTCAACATGCACGGACTTTGCCATGACTACGAGTATATGCTAAGATGTTGCTGCTAAATTAATGTTATATAAAATTGTTTGAGAAGCTAATTAAATATTATGTGATGATTAAAATAATATTACTTCTACTGGATACTTGGAAGAAATATTCAACCCAAAAGCAATATGGTAGTGCTAGCGAACAGCTTGATCTGTTGTAAAAAACCTCATCCAGGATGTATCAGAGCCATGAAATACAATGAATTACAATTGAAATATAAGTAACTGCAATTTTGCATTTATTTTTTATTTTATAGAGCAACAAAACGCACAGCCTTTAGTTAGTTTATATGTACATGACATATGCTTAACAGCCAAGAAAGGATTTACATTTTATAGTTAGAATATATAAAATAATTGAGCATTTTAGGAGTAGGTAAACAATGTTTAAAAAAAATTAAGCCAGTAATATTATAAGACAAAAAACATTTAACAAACTAATTATACTGGTAAGTGAGATACTGGGGATCATAGTTGTAAAGGTTGGGCGACATTGACCACTTAGCATCGGGTAATAAAGAAAATGTGGCATATTCCAAGTTTTGTATTTATTGTAAGAAGATTATTATTATTAAATATCGATTCAAACAAGGTATGAAAATATATTTAATTATTCAAATGCAGTCAGTCCAAAATAAAACATCCTCGTAATAGCATACTGTTTTAATTTCTAAGAAACCCTCAATACAGAATAACAGTGGGTTAGCGGTTTGATTTAAGTAGGTGAACTTAACCTGACGTAATAGTACAAAAATAACGACTCGAGTTAATTACATTACAAGATTGCGAGAAAATAAAATAATCTATATTCAATTAATTAATCCAAATATCTACCTCCTTTTTGTTTTATCTATGGCGGACATTAAATGAATGTATTTATCGCGATTTATATGTATTCGTCGAAATATATGAAACTTTGCACCTTTGTTAATATTGAGAAAATCAGTCACAAAGCCGTGACTTTAGTAGATATGAACGAATGTCATTTAATACTATTGCTCCCCGCTCGGGTTGGATCGACGGCCACTAAAAATCTAGACATTCGACTAAAATCTCTAAGGCCAATAATATGCTATATCTACAATTTTGTGTTGCAGTGTCACTAATCGATTCGTACGAGACTATCGCAAAGTTTTGAACACAGCACAACCCCAGGACACTCGGAAGTTATACTAAAATTTATATATAAATTACACCCAGTGCAAAGAGTTTTCTTTTCCTATGACAAGGTACCAAGTGGTGTGAAACTTAATTACGACGAAGCTTGAAAATTCGTAAAGGGGAAAAGGAAATGTAAGCCTAACGAGTACTTAATGGACAGCATCGGGGACGTAGAATTTGTTTCGATACCATTCTCAAACTGGGAGCATTTTTCTTTTTTTTCAATTAGATCGCTCCGCATCATTACGACACTAGATTTCGTCGATCGTGTCTCTAGGATCTTACACACTTTGTAAAAAGCTTACTTACATACCTGTTGACAAAGTTTACGGAGACAAGTTTCCAAATTGTTTAAGCGGATAATACCGGTTACATGTCGGACGCGAAATATTCGCCAATGACGACGGTCAATCCCCATCACATCAGGTTTGAAAATTAAACGATCCCAGTGCACTTTGATAAGACGCAGTGGTACAAGCGCGCGTCGATCAGTGTTGCCACAATCGAAATGGCGTCATAACGGCTCTCGCATATATGAACGCCCAAAATCAAAATGGCGTCCGACCGGCGCCATTTTGATAGTGATTTAATATTTGAACGCGCCAACGCCCCCGACTTCTTTCGCGCGCGTTTATAAGCTGCGTCCAACGTGCGACGATCCCCGTTTTGGAATACAGCACAAAATTAACCTACGATATTCATTATATATATATAAACATGTATAAACATACACCCCATCCATTCCGCCGCGTCTCCATTTAACTAACAATAATATATCGGACAATAGCAACTTAAGAGGAGTTAGCTTACGACGTAACGTAACTTTATATTATTCGCCCCGATTACGCCGAACGTTGTTTGTTTTTTGAATTAATCATTTATGTATTTACTTTGTTTATAATAAGGATGCGATCGTGAAACTTTTTGTGGTAATTGCATTTATTGTGTTTCTTGTGTGGCGGCCGGCGCCCGCGTCATCCACTTGCTCTGCCTCTAGCCGCCAGCCTGCCGAAGAAGTAAATACGAACGCAATTAAGAATTAGAAAGAAGTGTAAACACACGTGATAACTTCGAACACGGCGCAAATAACTAACACAAAAGTGGAAGTGTATAAACAACAATAAATCATTCAACATAAACATCATCAAAAACAATGCATGAATTTAAGACCTTGGCCGTAGCTGTGTGTTTACGCAGCAATTAGCAAATTATTTCTGAAGGGTACTGTAGAAACAGTAATGATTATCTGACTTCACGTTTATACGGTGTACTTATATAATTTTTTTTTTATTACACTGTTCCCCAAACATCATATCACGGTCACGAAGTGACCACAAGGTTATAATAACTTTTTATTGATCACACAAATTCATCGAACCCATAATACAGCGCGAAGTGACCAATTAAATTGTTGCGCCATTCATGCAGAATATTTACTGTTAATATTCGTTGGTTACAAAGGTTGTACCATGGGGGCAGCAACTGGCCAGCTAACTGTTAGGTCCCTAGGAAATCCGCTAGGTTTCAATCGTGATCATATCAAACTTTAGGGCGTCAGTGCGCGTCTGTACCAGGGAAGCATTCAAAAGCATACCCATGAAATTAGTGCTCAAAGGTGCGATAGTACCGTAGCGTTCAAATGTTTTTTTGGTAAACTGAGTGCATGAGGGTGGACTGTACCATGGAAGCATTCAAAAGCATTTCTAGGAAACAAGTGCTCGAGGGCGTGACAGTGCCGTGGCGGCGTTTAAATATATTCCTTAGCAAACTGAGTGCGTGAGTGCGGGTTATAAACATGAAAGCATTCAAAAGCATTCCCATAAAACTAGTGTTTGAAGGCGCCACCGTACATGTGAGGGCGTTTAAATGTGTTCTTATCAAATTTCAGTGCGTAAGTGCGCGACTGTACCATGGAAGTATTTACTAATATATTACTAAGAAGCTACCGCTCAGGGAAGCCACAGCAACGTTAGGGCGTAAGTGTTTTCCTAGCAAACTTCCGTGAGTACGCGACTGTACCGAGGACTCCTAAGAAATAAGCGCTTGAGTGCGCGACAGTACCGTGGGGGCGTTCAGCAGCAGGAGGACTTCCCGGTGTCGACGGGGCGGCCCTGGTCGATCTTGACGGCCGCGCCGGGCGGCGCACCGGCCGAGGGCGGGCCCACGCGCGCCTTGATCTCAGCCGCCATCGTCATGAACGCCTGCTCAACGTTTGTCGAGTTCTTCGCCGACGTCTCGAGAAACGGTATGCCCAGCTGCTCGGCGTATTGCTACAATGAAATCAATATAGTATAAGTAACCAAGTATCGCGCGAACTAGCTCGAAGATTTTATTTTTGAAGTTATACTTCTTTAGACACAACATGAAAAAATTATGTGAGTGAAATTTTAAGATTTAACACAAAAGTCACACCTTTCGCTACCCGCTAATTTGTATAGATGGCAGCATATTCTCAATCACATTCGCCCGTTACAGTTCTCATTAAACTTTTGAACCATAATATGCTAAGTATATTATATCTATATAAACTCGTATTCACTGTTTTGCCAAGGTCAGTTTTTTAACAATGTTTTGATTTTATTATTCAACTTGTTTTTCTTTTACATTATGTACATAAGTACACACACACTTTTATTTAATTATTGTTTATCAAATGTCATGTTTATTAGAATTTAATAATATAGACCATAATAGAGTGAAAAAATATATTAAGATAATAAAAAGTCTTAGGGCGACTTACATTGGCTGTGGTGTAGTCGACAACCTTCTTAGTGGTAAGGTCACACTTGTTGCCAACCAGAAGCTTGTTCACATTGTCACATGCATAACGATCAATTTCCTCCAGCCACTGTTTCACATTGCTGAATGAATCCTGAGAATGGATGACACAATGACTAAGTTGTAGGCTTTACAAGTTGTAAGGCTAACAAATTAAAGTATCATATGCATCATAACTCTACATTTAATTTACACCTAAATAGTGCTTAGTTTAAATAAAAATGAAGTAAAGGTAACCTAGATTAACATATTGAAAATCATTGTTTTGGTAAATTTGTTTTAACAACATTATTTATTGACACAATTTTTAATTAAGCAGAAGAGAGGAAAAAAATTTATTGAATATTATTTTAACCAACTTATTGTTTTAACTATCATTACACTGTGCCATTCTTTCTTATTTTGTCTAAGAGTAGGCATTTCCAGACTTAACCACAGATCTAATTAATACAAGGGTTCTATTCATAATGTTTATGCAATATGTAGGGAAGGGTCATCTGGCAATTTGTTATTGGCAAAATTTATGTTTAACCAAAAACTCTACCTTTAAAATACTCTTTAATGTTCCATTATTTCCAAACAAAAGTTAACATAATAAGTTCACAGCTTTGGCACCGTACCAAGTGTTTGTTGTTATAGCAACAAAGACAAGACAAGAGATATACATCATATATAAAAATTTCAACTTTCTATTACGGATCATGATACAGCCTGGTGATAGACAGATGGACAGACAGATAGAGACACACAGCAGAGTCTTAGTAATAGAGTCCTTTTTTACTCTTTGGGCACTAAAAATAACAATTAAATAAAATGGATAAGTACTTTGAAATCTGTTACCCATACCTGTTTTAGTGAATGCAAAATAATTAACAGCAAAAAGTTCCCCGTGTTGCAAATTTACAGAGTAATAAAACTAGTTAAAATAAAAAAAAAACAAATGTAAACAATAATTTTAAATGGTCTCTCATTGTTCTTCATAATTATATAATTTAATGTAAATTAGTTCTAGGAATCATCTAACAGAACAAGCACAATGTATGCCTTTGTTATTTTATATGTCATATTAATATAATAAATATGAGATAATTATGATGACAAGATTACAAATTATAGTATAGAGTAATTTTCATGGCAAAAATTTCATCAAGTATTAACATGTTAGATCAATTTTGTTCAAAAAAGAATAAAACAACACAATTTTGATATTAGATTAATTATAAAAGTAAAAATCAAATATAAATTCAAATGGAACATTGAACTCTGTTGATGATAGAATATTAGATCATTTTCATGCATGTATTTGTAATTTTTTGTGTGATAGGGGTTGGGTAGTAAGTTCTAACAAACACTGTGACTTAGATCTATTGTAGTATTCTCTTTGAAAACATTACTGTAGGATAACATTATCCTGTGTTGTAAGGACATTTTAAATACATAAATTCCACATGGACAAACACCCAGATCTGAAATAATATGTTATTCACACAAATAGTTGTAATTTGTGGGAATCGAACACACGATCCCCAGCACTGTAGCCTTGGCAACTGCACCAAGGAGTCATATATTTATTTAAGAGATTTGTATACACCAAAATTGATTAAATAACTTTAGTGATACCTCATTCCTTCTTAAAAAAATAAAATACCTGATCTGTGCAGTCATACACTATAATGATTCCATGTGCTCCTCTGTAGTAAGATGAAGTAATGGTCCTAAACCTCTCTTGTCCAGCTGTATCCCATATTTGTAACTTTATTGTCTTCCCATCCAGCTCTACTGTTCTAATTTTAAAGTCTACACCAATTGTACTGATATAGCTTTCTGTGTATGTGTCATCTGCAAATCTGAGTAAAAGGCAGGACTTGCCCACACCCGAGTCACCGATGAGGAGGAGCTTGAAGAGATAGTCGCTGAAAACGATCACATAATTCTTATTGGGTCAATCGTTTTACGACATTATTTAAACATCAAAATAAAAACTTATCAAAAAATCACTTAAAGTCCTAAGTTAATTGTATTTATCAAAGGCGTATATAAACAAGGGCACAACAAATAGAAAAAATCGACACCTAGGAGGCGTATCTTTGTTACATTACACAAAGAAGATTTTTAATCAGATGACGATATTTATATAGGTTATATTTATACTTATACAGAAACATTCACAACAAAGAAAACAATAGCGCTCGAAAACGTTTTTTGATTACATGTACGCCATTCACGAAGATTTTTACAGTCCAGTTTTGATATAGCCCGTACCAAGAACGTAATGAGTCACCAGCTCCGTTTTAATATTTTATTCTCTTTAGTAGATACGCAATAGAGGAAAAAAAAACACATTGAACATTAACTTTAAAGAAGTATACAAAATAAAACAAGTACAAAATAAATTAAAAATTTTAGCCCATCCTTGATTTACAAGATCAAGAACCAAAAATATGTACTTACTATTCCGGATTCATTATCGATATGTAAACACTTTCTAGTCAAAATTATAGCGTTATAGATGGTTTACGAAAAAGTTGATTTCTTTGTTTCGAAAGTATTTGAATGAGAAACAGCAAAAAAATTACAATTTTAAATACGTAGAATAATGGCTGCCGACACCGAAACACCCACACTGACGTAAGTCAGAAATTCACTTCATGGCAGGAGTGCCACTTGGCAAATATTATACTGCGTTCTAAAACTATTCGCATCGCTTGTACATTTTATTAAATGAAAAGATTGCGTAAATAACAATTTTTAAACCCTGATTCAACATTTTTGTTTTCATTTCATTTGCCTTATAGGGGATTTATATGTAAAACAAAAAAAATATGTATGATATGTATGTATTTATTCATAAATATATTTATTTATTTATAGTAGCGTTGTGTACATGTGTCTATAATAACTATGTTTACAATAGCGTATACCTCAAACCGTTCTCACTGGTCATTGTATCTGGAAGAAATCGCTTCTAAGCGATAAGGCCGCCAACTTTACCTTTATGTAATTGTTTGTTACTTTTGTAATTTTACCTGGTGTACAATAAAGCGTAATTTCATTCCTTCATCCATGTACTAATGTAAGAAAAATATAATTACACCATTAATTACAATTATAATAAAACGTGTGTTTTAATCAATTTATACAACTGATATCCGTATCGCTAAGCCGTGAATCTTGTCTTCATAATTTTAAATATTATTCTGTCTGTAACGAATCGCGTGATTTTTTTTTCAGTTTAGGGTACATAGTTTTACTCACGTTACTTTATTAGCTTATTTTATTAAAAATTTTCTGTTATGATATTACACTCAAAAAAAGTAACAGCCTATACATGTCCCACTGCTGGGCAAAGGCCTATACAGGTCTAAAGGTCTATACAGAGGTTCTACTGTCAGGATATAGTCCACCACGCGGCCCCACTGCGGATTGGCGGACTTCACATATCTTCTAAATATATAAATTTTTTTGTTATTATTTCGAAAATATGCAGGTTTCCTTACGATGTTTGCCTTCACCGCGGAGCACGTGATAAGTCAGCACTTATTAAAAACTTCATTCGTGCCGGCACCGGGGATCGAACTCAGATTGCTCGAGTATATTGAATTACACTGACACTCAGCTATCACGGCTCTACTGAGCTATTACACTCAACATCATAAATAAAATGCTAGTTTTTTCAAAATTGTTAAAATTTATTACTCTCAATTATGGGTTGATGATAAGTCCGTTCAAGTTAATAAAAATTATATATGTTTCATTATTTTAAGCACCGCGCCCGAAATTTACAATACGACATTGGTATTTGAACAAGCCATCTTGTGTAAGTTCTCTTTACATCTATGGCATATTTTATATATCATTACTGGTCGATTCGTAAGATCATAAAATTTGATGAAGAATTCATTGGAAGTTATGGAGTACGAACAAAAAAAATCATTTGAGAAATAATTTATAGAGATTATTGTATAACCTTTAAACTTCATTATATGGGTGAAAAGAAAGATTTGCAGTGAACCATAAATAAATACAAAACAGAATTTTTTTTTTATTCTTAACAGTGAATTTCCCTTTTTTCAACGGCACAAAATACAACAAATCCACACCCTGTGTGGGCCAAATGTTGTTTGGGCCAGGGAACAAGATCTTGGAAATGTCGAAATTAAAACTACAAACATCTCGTAACTTTTTAATTATATACAAGGTAGACATCCGCTATAAAAATTAAACATTTGCGTAATGTAAACTAACAGATATAAAGAGCATCTACAATACTATACAATGACTTATAAAATCATCTCCTGCAAAATATTTAATGGGATTTTCCAAATATACAAACTTCTGTCTTTGTAGCCGGCAATTATCTGTAACAAAGGCTGTTCTTAATTATTTTGTATGATATTGAGAAACACAGTGGATAAAAATTGGAACTATGATCTGATCCCTTACATTCGTTGGGAACTAGACGCAGAAAAAACCAGCCATAGGTCGCTGAGCGACATATTTTATAAAAATATCCACTACTACAATCATGTCCACATGGTGCGGGGACATGATTCTACGTTATTTATGTATGTGCTTTTGAAAGACACACCTTTCCCAAAGTTGGTAGTTGTAGACTAAAAAAGAGGACGTAATACGAAAAACCATTCATCGGTCCGTGATAGAATGCCAATTGTCATAATCAGATTTTTACGATTTTCGAATTTTTTGCGTACAAGCACAAATCACACCTTATCATATAAAGAGCAACCATGCTTACACCTGGGGCGAGATAACCTTGGTAAAAGTGGACAGTATTAGCCATTTTTGTGTGCCCCTTAGATTTAAAAGATGTGAAGTGTTGTTGTTTTTGTTAGTGTTTAGTTGCGCACAGGTTTCTGTATGTTAAACGTCCTAAACAGGCTTTAACTTTTAAAATATGCTAATCAAATGATTAATGACGCCGAATGTACGACGGACGCACCTTGCTGCCGACCACGGCGAGCGAGAGCAGCATGAGCCCCGGGCCGCGGAGCTGCGCCATCGGCCGCGGCTCGCCCTCCCGGTACACGTATACGCAGCCGTCGTAGCATCCGGCGAACAGCAGGCCGCCGGACGCGCGCAGGCACACCGCCCCCTTGCCCCCCTCGTGGACGCCCACGTGCGTCCCGCTCTGAAAGAGTCGGTGAGAGCAGGACGGCGTTAGCTCGCTGCTTCAGAAAACCAACAGTATAAATGTGGAAGTGCCACAGTCTCACAGCAGACCGGGGAGAAGTATAAGTATTCCTACATATGAAAACTACTTAAACTTACTACTTATTTCCTTATTAGGTATTTAAAATGAATAAAAAAACTTGAACATACATATAATGAAAGCAAATGGCAAAGAATATTTCTTTTTAGTTTAGTGATTAGGGTTCCATACCCAAAGGGTAAAACTGGACCCTATTACTAAGACTTCGCTGTTTGTCTGTCTGTCCATCTATCACCAGGCAGAATCTCAGGAACCATGACAGTTAGAGTTGAAATTTTCACAGAAGATGTATTTTTGTTGCCGCTTTAACAACAAACACTAAAAAACAGAATAAATAAATATGTAAGTGAGGCTCTCATACAACAGACAAGATTTTTTTTGCAGTTTTCATAGATAATAGTAAGGAACTATTCTTGCATGCGTGATAAAACGTATTTGAGAACATACTTAGAATATGCAAGACATTTAACTTTCTTTAATAATACAAAATAATAGAAAGTAGTTTTATTACACTTTACATGTTGGTACTGTGAGCTTGTGGTACTTCCCGGGACGAGTCTCCCCAATCGCGAATTCGGAATTGCCAGAGGTATGCATTTGGTAGGCAAATACACCTTGCTAGGCAAAAGGTATATTAAAAATATATCCACATATACAGCGTGTTGTTACCATCGTGACAATAAATAAACACACATATAGAGGATAACTTTTTAAAGTTGTATTAAACATTTAAATTCTTTAAACATCAGTATTTACACAGTTATTAAATTTTCCAAAACAAAGAATTTTAGAACACCCTTACCTATAAAAGCGTAACGTAAATTTCATTTGTAAAGGTCACAAAGCATATGAATGGGTTGAATGAATTTAAGAGACAAAACACACTGTTAGAAGGAGAGGCTTGTAATACGACGCTGTGGCGCGAGTTGTATACGATGTTACAAATTTTGTTTCTTTTTTACTTAATTAGTTTGTTTGAAAAATATTTTTTTTAATTATGGATTTTGTTTAACGTTAATATTTTTTTATGATTATTGGCAAGTAGTGTTAGACGTGTGTTCATTTATTTTCGCGATGGTAACGACACGCTGTATATTACATATATGTGGATATATTTTATACCATAATAACTAATATATGTATATGTTTACGTATGTTAATTATTTGTAGGTTTCGATATATTAAATAAATATTGCGAAATGACAAAGCTACCTACACTAAAAGCTAACACTACATATTACCGCATGAATATATTTAGTTTTGAATAATTTTCCATGAATGATTTAAAATACTAGATTTTTTTTAAAATAAACCCAATATTACTCGTAAAAATATCTTCATTCAAACTTTACCTAGTAAATTCAAATGTATTAACGACTAGCTATGCCCGCGATTTCGTCCGCGTGGAATTTAAAATAAAAAAAATCTAAAATAAAGTAGCCTAAGTTACTCCTTATTACATCAGCTATCTGCCAGTGAATGTCCCGTCCAAATCGTCCAGCCGTTTCAGAGATTAGCCAGAATAAACAGACAGACAAGACAGACAAAAATAGTAAAAAATGCTAATTTGGTATCAGTACCGTGTAAACATCCATTTGCATTTAGTAAAAAGTGGTTATTTTAATATTTGAAACAGACACTCCAATTTTATTTATCGGTATAGATTAAGATATTTGTGCATACTTCCTAATACATATTTGACTAAACATTTTTGATTGTTATTGTCTAAAAAATTCAAAGCATTAGGTTAGTTTGACTGTTGTAATATGTACAAGAAATAATTTGGTTACATCAAAATTATAATTAAAATGATAATTTTGCGACGGACCATAAACTTTCTAAATTTATTAAATATCAAAATACTATGAACAAAAGTAAAACTTACAGTATAATTAAATACTTGTATTTGGTGACTGCTAGTTCCACAGTACACCTTTCCGTCCTCATATAGCAGGGTGTAAACAGTCATTTTTGGTCCTTCTAAAGTCCGCAGAAGGAGGCCAGTTTGGGCATCCTTTATGGTCACATTCTCGGACCTTGCAGCTACGAGGAGCACCTTTCGGGGTCCTTCCTTCATAGCGCGGAGTGCCAGAATGGATTGGTCGGAGAACTTCACTGTGCTCACTGGTATTAACATATTGTTCTGAAAATAAAGAAAAATACATCTGTTTAAAGAGAGTAGTTGAAACTTACTGCTGCGATAATAAGGTGTCACTGAATTAAAAATTAGCAAATTAAAAACACAAAATTTAAAAAAAATCAGATATGTCTCAGAAAATATGAATAATTTTTGTTAAAATTAAGGTGGGTTCTTATAAAAAATATTATTTATAATAATTGTTTTGTATCATCACTCTTGACAGTAATTTATAGGTACGGTATACAATACTTTTATAATAGTAAATAAAAAGCAGGCTGTTGGCTATCGTATGACACTTATGGTCCACTCAGAGACGGAACCTTATTCTTAACCTTAAATTCGTTTATTTGTCAATTGGAGTGAAATTAATATTTATTCTAGGCCTCTCTTGGTACATAAAAAGCTTATTGAGGCCTCAGAATGGTCTTTATTTAGTATAAAAAAAATGTATAGAATATTAAGAAATCCATTATCTTACCTTACATTCAAATTGCAAAACAAATCCAGTCCTTGTCCCTACAAATACAGTATCCCAAGCACGATCCATTGTCTGTATTGGACTTAAGACATTGCACTCTGGTCCTTTTTCTATGCCCGTCTGAAATATTTAAATTTTCATAAGGATCTAGTTATAAGTTTATTTATTGGTTATCATTGAGAAAAGTGAATTCAAATAATGTTTATTTCATGTATAGAAATTGACTTTGGCTAAAGAATCAAACTATGTCCTGTCCTTTCGTCTGAATATGATGGAGGCGTATATAAGCCCAAGTGTACACAGATTGATCATCACTAGACAGAATAGCAAGTGATAATTTAAAACAACAGTTTTCTATAAATTTACCTCCAAATCATAATATCGTATTCTGGAATCAAGGGAGCCAGTGTATACAATTGTTTCATATTTCTCCTTCACAATTGTTAGACATGTCACAGCCAAGTTTGACCCTCTGAGAGTGTTGATGAGCTGCCCATCACTGTTGAAGTGATAAACATTGCCATCCAAACAGGCTGCTATAAAATTGTTTTCTATACACTGAAATCATTTCAAATAGGTTGTTAAAAACTTTTATAACTAAATATTTACGAAACATATGTAAGATATTTAGGGTAACTCACTTCAATAGCTAGAACAGCATCTGCATTTCCTGTGACAGTAATAGTATCCCGGCATAGATTTTCATCAGCAGAATAGTCATACATTATGCACTCGCTGTCTCCTGATAATGTGGCAGGTGCTAAGATGTCTTCAGATGATTGACTATTATCCAAAATAATTTCATCATTTATTGGAACTTCTACAGTTTCAAATTCTTTATCTTGTATAGATTTAATTTCACAACTGTCACCTATTACAATATCCTCAGATACATCTAACATATCAAACTGAACATCATTTATTTCAGTATTTTCTTTTTCATCTACAATTTCTACCTCATCTACAAAGTTCCTATATTCTGTGGGTTCATCAACAACAGGATTCATTAGAGATTCTTGATATTCATAATTTTCAAATGTGTTTTGTATTAATAACTTATTCAAATCTTCCCTTACTAAAACTACTGAACATTCTTTAATTTCAAAAATGCTTGTATCTACTGTATCACAATTTATCGTCCTTACTAGGTTAGATTTTTTAACCTTCCTTTTTGTATATTGTACTTTTTGTGCTTTATTCCTAGTTTTAATAGGTTTCTCTAAATCGTCTAAAGCTATAATATCCTCTAGTGGCCGATCATCTGTTATAATTTGCTCAATGAGAGAAATATTAGGTGTTTTCACTTTTTTGTTAGTTTTCTTAGTAGCTCTTGGACTGACAGAACTTTTTCTTTCTTGTTCTAGAACCACTTGTCGGCGGCTCCGTGTTGCAACTCTAAAATTATCGTTACTTTGGGCTTCAACACTCTCTAATGCTATTTGTTCAAGTTCTTCTACAGGTATGTTGGTGAAATCATCTACTATAGCATCACCAGGTAAACAATCCTCGTCAGTACCCTCAACTTTGCCACCTTCTTCAAATGGAGTTACATTTAATACAGTCATCCCTAATGTTTCGAGAGAGTTTTGACTTGAATCTTTATTTTCCAAGGAGCTATAAAGTTTAAATTTTTCTTGTAATAACACCTGAATTTCTAAATCAATTTCTTTCATTCTTTCAAAAGCATCGGTTGAATTTGTAACTGCCCTCTCACAATACATGGGTTCTGTCTGAACTGCTTGAACACACAGCTTTTTTTGTTCTGTTTGGCAAAATTTTGTGCAAAAACTTTTGGTGTCAAGTGTTTGAGTTTCTTTTGTTGAAACTATTTTGAAGATTTGAGTCGCAATATGTCGTCTTAACTTTTTACGCTGTGAACCGCGTTTCTTTTTAATTTTCTCCAGATTAGTTTTAAAATTACTTGTACTAGGTATTATAGCAGTATTTCTGTGAGCTTGATGAATATTAAATTTCTTTGGTTTTTCAATAAACATATCTATTGTCTTCAATGTATTTTTACATTCCATTTTACTTGGAATCTGACTTACATTACTAGTGGTATCGTTTTTATTGTTTGCTTGGGAAAGATTGGATGAATCGGGATTTTGTTTTTTCTTCGGTACATCATTTATTTCTTTTCGTATCTTTTGATTATTTTTTCTTTTAACATACTTATCTGAGTATTCCTTATCAACTGTTTCCAATTTTTTTCCATCTTTAGACATTTCTTTAATTTTAGTGCTAGTGTAATTTTTAGAGTAAATTACACTAGACATGGTCTTGTTAGTCATATCACACTTGCCAGATATTTTTGAAATGCAGTCAGCAATATTAGTGTTTCCATTTTTTTTTAAATTTTTTTGATTGATGTCAGGTGTAGATTTTTCAATTTTTTTACGTTTTTCCTTTCTATGGGATGTTTGTTTATCAATAGGCCTCTTACGTGAATTTGATAAAGCTAATGATTTTGTTATTATACAAGAATTTAAGGGTTTCTCTGGCTCTAAACATGTATTGTCAACAGTTACTGGAATTTCTTCAATATTCACAGCATTCATGTGTTCCGATATAACTAATTGTTGTTTTTCACTGGCATTAGCATGTTCACTGTCTTTAGGGTCAGGGGGATTTTGGTATAAATTTAAAGACAGTTTCAATGGTGATTTAGCAATATCCATAATTTGAGTATCAATTTCCTGCTTTATATTGTGTTCTTTTTCTGGAGTTTGAAGCAGTGTATTAAAATTTCTTCTAGCAATGGGGGATATATTTAGGTTGTCTGTACCTGATTGTTGTGAATTACATGTATCTTCTGTAGATATGAAATTATGGTCTACAACAACATGATACTGGTTATCTAACTCAGCAAATGGATCTTCATCTTCTGATAACTGTTCCCTGGTACAAGGACCAAACAATGATGATGGGACATCAATATTCTTAAAATCATCATCACTTAATTTATTGTCAAGACTATGTCTCACATGGCGAAGGTTTTGTGATGATGTTACTTGGTCTTCACTGTAAGTGCAACTTTTTGTTCGCTGTCTTCTTTCAAAAAGAGGTTTAGGTTGCATGTTATTTATTAATTCTTTTTTATCACAATGTGCATGGAATTGATTTCTACCATCCTCCAAGCTAGATCTTCGAAAATCCTCTTCAGGAGCTTGCTGTTGTGAAATCAAGTTTTCAGAATAATCTTCAGTATAGTTTTCGTAATTATGAAAGGTTGTGTCACATTGGCCATAATTTAAAGATTCTTCATTCACAAGAATACTGCTTTCATCTTCTGCAAAATGTTGCTCACAGTCATCTAATTGCAACACCTTAGTAAGCTCAGCCATAACAATTGGTTTAATATCTTCAAGAAATACAGTGTCTTGTGGATCTAGTAGACACTGCATTTGTTTCAGAAATGTGTCTTCATAAATAGTATTATTGTCATTTTGCATGAAGTCAGTACTGGAACTACACAATGTCTTTTCAGCAACAGATCTTAAATGACGGTTAAGGCTATTCTGAGACTCTGTAATAAGACTGTTGATGGCATATTCAAACTTAGATGATGAATTTGGATTATCCATAAGCTTATGAATTTTTTCTTTGTCCATTTTAAATAGTTGATGAACTATTTTATTTTTTATTTTATCACAATTTGATTTTTCTTTAAGCCCCTGTTTCTGTATCCTTCTTCGTGCAGGTTGTTCTTGCTGTGCATTAAATCTATCTACTAAATTTTCTCTGTGCATATCAGGAGTAGAACTATCTGTGCTTAAACTATCAGAAGTTTGAAGGCTCTCATTTCTATTCAGCAATCTTTTTCTTACAATGTTTACAGTATCATCAACAGAACGGCTAAAGGTATTAGAGTTTTCAATTGTTGGAGTGGGGTTCCCACCATAATGATCTGAAGATGGTGGTCTATGACCAGGATAGTCAAGTAAAGGAATTTTATTTGGCTCCTCAAAATGCCTATATGGTCTGTTTTGATTTCTGTCATTATAGTGATAGGCTTTATGGGGGTCACCAGCTACCCAAGAACTTGCTGGGTGCTTTCTGAATGATAGATGACTTTGGGCAACATTAGATTGTCTGTGATCAACATCGCCATGACTATTTACATAAGATCCATCACTTTTATTGGGGCTATCATAATATTCAGGTTCTTTATAATTTTGAGTGTGGCTTATAATTTCATTATGCCTGAAGTGTTGCAATTGGGGATATATTGATCTGTCATTATGCTTTTCATATGGTCTATTTTGATTTTTTCTATTATCGAATCTGAATTTGTTTCTATTTTGTTCTTCATTCTGTTCAATTGGGTGACCTAATCTTGATACAAAAGGTGGTGGTCTATGTGACCTTGGTGCAGGAGGCGGGAATCTGCAATGTCAAACATACAATATTCACACCTGTTGTTGAACATAAAAGTATTTACTTATTATATATTTGTACATTTCGCTAAATACAAGGCAAGCTTTAATGTTATATCAATAAATATTTTGATACGTTTCGCGGTAACCAATTCAAGTAATGAAAATGAAATACATTTTTTAAAGTTATACTTTTGTTACCTGGGATTATTTATTAGAGGGTAGCTTCTTGGTCTAAAATGTGGATTTCCACCTCCTCGGGGTCTAAAATGTCTTGTATTTTCACTTCGCCATCCACCGATGCCTGAATGACCTCGTCTCATAATGTCACTATTAATGCATATTACACAACAATATCATAAATAAAATCGTTTGGCTTATAATATCGATTAAAATTTACTTTTTATTTTATTCTAGCAGGTAAATTTAATCAGATAAACAAGTTTAATCAATGTCCCGCTGAATAAAAACACGACACAGACAAAATAATATATTTAAATGTCATAAGTTCCTAAGTTGCCAGTTTTTCCATTCCAATTCACGTATAACGGCTTTAGGCAAATGAGTGGGAAAAATATTTTATTTACTAATATGAAAAAAGTAATAAAAAAAACAATAATTTAATTTTACGGTCAAGTAAAAATTAAATTTTATATCTTAATTTTTCATATTTCTCTAAGATGAATGTGAATTACTCATTTGGGCTGATGGTACAGGATCACGAAAAAGAAGAAAAGTTCTTCCACTTGGAAGTGCTATGTGGGCGTAAGCCGACGACCGCATTTAAGCCAAAGTTTCACTAACTAAAGGCATAAAGGCAGTAGGCCATTTTTAAGATCTCGTTCAAATGAAGTTTGAAAATTAAACAACGTATTTTTCAGAGCAATTTTTAATGGCTACTTACAATATTTCACTTTTTATAAGTTAATATTAGATATTTTGAACTTAAAATTAATATCAATAATAATTATAATTTATAATAGTTTTTCTGCAGCAGCTCTTTCTTCACGGAAGGCGACAACGCCAACCCTATTTGCTTTTCAGCACGGATTTGACTTAACCTATTACTGAAATAAAAAAAAAAATCATAACTATGTTACGTCTATAAGTTTTTACTGTGATACGACTACGCAACGGTCTTCACAGTTGTACGAATGGTCAGGTCCGTTGGGGAATAACCGCGACCTCACAGAAGACCGGCGTGAAGTGGTTGTGGAAGTGTAATACTTTTGCGTTTCGCTTAGGGCAAGCTTAGGGACTGAGCCGGGGCCCACTTTATTTTAAAGGCATGGTGGCCATCTGCCATCTCGTGGGGGTTACAAATGTCTATGGCGGCGGTGTTCACTCAACATCAGGTGAACCTTTGCTACCGTCCAACATAAAAATAAATAAAGTATTTAAGTAGTATTTAATAGCGAATCTGTTATGCGATTGTTAGGTAATTCGCGTAAATATGTAACTTTTGATTTCGTTCTCGTGACTAGATTAATATACTAAATCTTGTTTGACTTTTTGATGCATTTCCCAGGGGTTTTACATTATTGATAATAAACGACATTAAAAAGGTTCCTTTCCTTTTTCCTTTTCTTTTTTGGCGGTTTTCAATGAATACGCCAATGAACACTAAAAAACATTGAAAAAACAATGAACATTAAAAAGGTTATCTTTAATAAATTGCTGACACCTGACGCGGTGTATACGCTTATTACATGCTGTTGTCATTTTTCTAACATCTGCGTTTTTTGTTTTAATGATGAATGAATTTTTTTATACCATCGTCATTATCTCAGGAACTAATAAAGTTCAGTGTTCCTCTTATTATTTCTACCAGTGAGGTTTCCCTCACTGGTGAAAATAATTGTTTTTACTTTTCTATAGTTATGTTTATAATATTTTCTACTTCTATAAAAATCAGAATTGAACGCCTGATGTGCGTTAGCTGTGAACTTGTTTGTGTAATGAAACATATTTTTAGATATTTAATTCTAATTCATTGACGATATAGACCTATGCAATCTTAATCACGCCTACTTCCACTTTTTCGTGGCGTATGCGTGCTTGTCCTTCTTTTACGTCGGGATTTTTCTCAATTAGCTGCAGATGAAGGGCCTGGCTTTGGATCGATAATACGACCAATCTGTGGTGGGCTTATGAGTATAATGAGAACGTTAAACGACCGTTCGTAGTAATTGGGACTACGTTTCTTTTCAACCGACTTCAAATGGTCTCAATTCGACTGTATTTCTTTTTTTTATGTTTTGTTATCTCAGAACTTTTGACTGAGTGAACCGTTATTGATAATTCCTTTTTTTATTTGAAAGCTGGTCACATGTGGTCCCATATTAAATTCATTGGTATTGGATCTTGGGTTCCGGAGATACTTAGGGAACTCCTGAAAATCAATTATAAAATGAATACAGGGCATAATCTTTAGGCTCATTAAGTAAAGACTATACTTTATTGACTGTAAAAACATCGTGATAACCACTTTACAAATAAGAAAAGCTCATGTTTTCACATATAATATTAAAAGAGCACTGAATCACTTATGTCTCGTGTTGCATTAAGTATTTAAAAAGATTTTAAATTCCAGCCAGTATCGAGGTTGGGTCTTCAACGCCTGACTTGATTTTGCGCAGAAACATGACTGCTTCACGGCCGTCTATTAATCTATGGTCGTAGGTCAAGGCCAAATACATCATTGGCCGTATTTTAACCTGAAAACAATTAGAGGCAAATATTAAAACTACCTTGATAAACATGACGCAAAAACACAAAAAAGTATCTTAAAGAAAAAGTGCTTAATTTATTTTTCTACTAAAATTAAAGATTACATTTTACGCCAAAATCTAAATGAAATCTAATTTCCAAGTCAATATATATATTATATAAAGTGAGATATTAACTATTAATTAACTGCAACCATTAACTAAGTGTCCTGGCGCCCATCTTTCAGATAAATAAAATTTCTAATGCAAACGAATAAATTAATCAACAAAACATATAAAATGAGACTATCATAAATACACTTACTTCACCATTGATTGCCACGGGCCTAGGAAATATAGCGTGCATGCCCAATATGGAGGATTGTGGCAGATTTATGATGGGCATGGACAGCAAAGAGCCAAACACACCGCCATTACTGATGGTGAACGTGCCGCCTTGCATGTCACTTGGTGTCAGTTTACCTGAAGATAATATTAAGGTTAAAAGCAAATACGAGTAATGTAGACGGAGACCCAGGGAAAAAAAAAATTACTATCATTACGATGGCAATTTAATTTATAAAGGTTGAAAATTGTTATAGGTACTGATTATGTACATATTACATATACATATATAAAAGATGATGTTTATTTTAATTTTCATTAGCCCAATTGATATGAAGCTTAGCTTAAATATTTTAAATAAGAGCAAGGCGATGTCTCAAAAGAATCCGTCGCTTTTCATCTGAGGTCCACAAGCGATTATATTAAAACAAACTTTGTGAATATTTTTCACTATTTTAAAGGTAGTAAGAACTGGTTTTTTAATAATTTTTGGCCGGCAAAATGGTTTAAAAGTCGGTTTGCTTCACCTTCGCGTGCCTTAGCGGCCAGAAGATTCATGGCGAGCTCGATGCGCGGGTAATCCATAGACTCCACGTTCCTCAATACCGGAACCACGAGACCCTTTGGTGTGGCAACCGCGACCGAAATGTCAACGTAATCCCTGATAGAATAGCAAAGGTGAACCACATGTTAAAAACGGGATGCAAAGTTATGTTATAATTTTTGTAAAATAGAGTATCTGAGTTCTCAATAAAGACATCCGCAGTGACGACCTGTTCAAAATTGCGGGAGGTCGATGGATCCAGGTGGCTCAGGATGGTACTTCGTGGTAGTCTGGGGGGAGGGGGGTATGGGGTTCAGCGGTAGACTCACAGAGGCTGAAATAATGATGATGATGATTGTTAAAACTCATTATGTTACCAGTGAGAGTAAGATTTTTTTATTATATTCATTTAGTTATGATTTTTATACATTGATATCCAGATTTTTGCAAGGTCATCGGAAGCTTAGCTTAGTCAGAAACGCAGGTTCTCCGAAAAAATTTTACTAACATATAAAAAAACAATCTTTCTACAAAATCATCTTATTTGAAATTTTACACTCAATTTTACTTCAAATAAATAAAATAGCAGCTGCTAAAATTGTTATTTTAAGGATAAGGCCTATTTTTTTTTAAAAAGGTGCCATTTTAAAAAATATAAATAAAAATAAATCTTTCAATAACCTGTAAACGATTTTGTCGTCAGTGATCACTGCATTAACTACCGGCTGGTCTTCTAGGGCATTGGCGGCCGCCTTCAGGAATGGTGACATAAAGGACAGTTTCACTCCGTACTTCTTCATGAAGGGCTCTAGGTTGGCTTTGCGAAAGGCCATCAGACGACTGATGAGGAATTTTAAATGAAAATTAATCTTCTGTGAGTAAATGAAATAATACTACAAATATCCCTTGGAAAACAAACGAAAAGATCGAAATTTTTTATGCGGCTTTATAGCCAGGACAAAGAAACATTATTATATATAATATTCAAAACACAAATAAATTAGTTGTGTGTGTTCTTGTAGCGAACACATTGGGCACGCTTGGCGTGTATCACCTAGCGTTCTTTTTATCGTTTTATGGGTTTTATCTCCATTACTTTTGTGAACTGTACGTGACAGGACTATCTTCTAGTTGTATAGAGCGTGCAAAAATTGAACGCCTCTGAAGTTTGTCACAATTTATGCGTTATTAAAGGGGTATTCGAGGAGGGGAGTTCACGACCAGTCCAAATCGCATCTTGCTCTCGCTTTACTATGTTAGGTTGCTAAAAACTATGTTATCTGGTTTTGTGCGCAAGCATGCCAGTGACTCTATTAAGCTACAATTAAAACTTGCGGACCAAACTACATTCAGACGCTTGCAAGTTTTGTGCGGCCTACGCTCAAGTGAAAATAGGATGGTTTTATTTTATTTATATTGCCCTTGCTGCCTAACCTGCCTAATATTATGCCTTGTCAGGACGCTTTATATATAAAATATGTTTCACGTGGACAAACGCCCTGATCAGAAACAATTATCCGTGACACACAGACAGTTGTCCCGTGTAGGAATCGAACCCACAATCTCCCACGTCAAAGTCAATACCTTGGCAAATGCTCCAGGGAGACTATTTAGTTGGTCGCTGCAAATTTGATGGCTGTTGTTCTGTGACGTCACGCACCTCATGTCGCACTCATTGAAGGTCGTGAGCATGGCGGTGGTGTTCTGCGCCTCTTTGAGCCTCTCCGCAATGCGTTTGCGCATCTTGTTCATCGGCACGGGGAACTCGGAGCGCGTGCCGGATATCGTCTTCGTCGGATCGGCCGCCTTCTGCGCAGCTAACTGCAACGGTGTATTTGAACGTATTGTTTCTGAAAGGTGTTTTTTGTTGACACGCCACAAGCACAACTTCCACAATTCTTATTAAATTTGGATGATTCAAGCACCATTTTATTGCCTAAGTTTGTCGGTATTGGCCAAATACTGGCCATAAAAATAAACGTAATAAATATTTTTAATATAATATATTCCGTGATAAAGTGGAAGTATGACAAATACTTTCGCGTTTCGTCTGGTGAGCGAGGTAGCCGGAGCCCAATTTTCAAAAGGTTGTAAACGCATCTGTAACCCTCGGGTGTAGCAATGTCCATGGGCGGCGGTATTCACTTAACATCAGGTGAACCGTCTGCTCGTTTGGCAACTTTTCACATTAAAAAAAAAGATGGATGCAATGACCTCACAGCAGCGTCGAACGCCAAACCTACCGTCGGTCCCGCTGGTCCTTTGACCACTTTGGTAACGGTGGTGGTTGCTGACGCGGCGCGTGGTCCGGACGCGGCTCCTGCAGGTGCAGCGGCTGTCGCAGCTGCAGGTGCAGGCGCAGCTGCTGCCGCAGGTGCAGGTGCAGGTGCAGCGGGAGCTGTTGCAGCTGCAGGAGCGGCCGCAGGTTTTGGCGCAGCCGCCGGCGCCACGCCAGTAACGTCCACCTGATTGGTTAATAATAGAAAGAGTGTTGATTTGATTTTGGGATATTTTTTTTAAATTCATTAATTACAATTTGGTTTGGTGATCAGTCTGTAGAATGGGTAGGTCCGTCCGGGTAAGCACCACGACCTCACAGAAGATCGGCGTAAAGTAGAAGTGTTACACTTCTGTGTTTCGTCTGGTGAGTGAGGTAGCCGGTGCCCACCTTATTTAAACGTGGCAACGCATTTGCGATCCTATGGGTGTTGCAAAAGTCCATGGGCGGCGGTTCTCACTTATCATCAGGTGAACCGCCAGCTCGTTTGCCACTTTATTAAAAAAAAAGTTGTTGTGTCATTTTGCATAGAGCTACAAAATCTACCCGATTTATGGCGAAAATCAGGTTTATGTTAAAAATTTGTAATTACTTCGACATTTTACGTGCATGTTTTCTATGATACTGTTTGGTTAAATGTATTCAGATGTTATAATATCTTATGTTTACGCGAATACTACTTGTCACCTTGAGCGCTGTAAATCGTTCAATCGTTAAATCCGTAAAAATAGTTTCATTTAGTATTCAGTTGTGTTATGATTGTAATGGAAGAAATTTAAAAATTTTATGTTCCAAGGATTTGTGTAATCGTATTCTATTAATTAATAAATAATAACGTAATAATAACGAGTTAGATTTTAATATTATTAACCAAAAAGTTTCATCATTATTAAATCGGTTTTAGTGCATTGCTGGAAAATTTTGTCAAGCAGTGGACTAGTGTTATATAATGCCCACCTATACCTAACTTTAGAGTCTTTATACATATTTTTCTATACATAACCATAATTCTGTTATAAATTAAACCAATATTTATTGTTTTTATTTATAAGATTCTAATGCTGCATTTACCATTCCCACGTCTACAAATTACTGTTGTTATTCCAAATGTATATTTATCTCATCAATGTACCAAATCATTATTTATCTTTTGTTATCCTAATTAACCTAATGATCTGTTTACCATTTCGATACTACCTTTATCTCACCATGTCAATCCCATGTAATTTTTTGTATATAAAGCACTTTGTACTAGATCATAAGTTCAGTCAACATTTCAATCTCGTAGCGTTACCAAATCGACCTCAAGTGGTTAATATATCTATGAGTCAGTTGCAATTTCTATATCAATTTATATTTCGTGTAATCACCAATTCTATTGCAAGTGCTATTTTATAATATAAAAATTTATAATTAGGTTTAAGTGAAATAATATTAAATAAATTAATTTTTTAAAAATAGTTCTGTCACTGACAACATAAAAAAATTCGACACAGTAGGTAGGAACGTGTGCGCAGTACATATAAGACAAGTTTAATCTTCGAAGGACACCATCACCGAGTGAAAGAACGCGGTAGCTGAAGGCTTTTGATCAACTTTGCCGAACCTGCACCGCTAAAAACACGATCTGTATTATATTGTTGTGGTAAGTGGTTAGACTTTGCTCTGTGTTACCATACTCCCGAACCAAGCTCTATCCTATTTCCCATTCTATTTCTAGTATAATATTTAGATTTTTTGTATATACTCCAAATGTCAAAATCCTCTGATGTCTCTTCGGACTTCAAAGCAGTAGAAATTCCCATTGCTACCCTCTTACAACTCATTCCGGACTTCGATACTAAAGGAAATAATGGAATATATCGATACATACGGTCGTGTGATGCCGCATTCAACTTAGCAAGTATCGCCCAAAGGCACATAATTTTAATATACGCTTTGAATAAAATAACGGGTCCCTACTCTGCAGACGTTCATGTTAAACATTTTACGAATTGGGCAGATTTAAAAACATTTTTGATCCAAAAAATTTCGCAAACCAAGACTCTAGCACACCTTAATCGGGAACTACAATCAATGTTCCAAAAGCCGAACGAATCAATAACCGAATATTACCACCGAATAGAACTTGGTCGTAGAAAAATTATAGAAAAGCTAAGCACAGAAATTCTTGACAACACATTAGAGACGGCCTTGAAGGTTTTTATTAACGGGCTTAGCTCAAGCAGGTACTATGCTGTGAACTAAGAGCTTCAGCAATCTTGTAGAGACAGGACGTTATGTTGTGCAGGAAGAAAAAATTAGAAACTCGCGTCCCTCGTATATGCCAAGCAAACCTCCGTTCCGCACAAATTTTCAATATCAAAGTCCTATCACATATTCACAACATAGACCAACAAGTAATAATCCTAAATCCGCGCAACAGAATGTCGCAAAAGAGGGTATATATATAACATAATATTACATTCGTCTCAACTATCCATATATATATATAACTTGTAAAATCCGAATACTTAAAACTATACAATATCTATCCAGCATCCCAATTCCTCTCTTTATACAACGATTCTACCAGAGTACAAGTTCCTAGCTACAAACCCCAATTGTGAGTTATACATTTCATAAGTTCATTGGACTTCTTCGCCGAGAAAAGAAGCGTTTGCAAGGTTTACGACGCCGTTATATGTGTGATATAGGAACCTCAAATACTATTTAGTATCTCCAAAAAAATTCCTAGCACTTGCACAACTTTCCACATTTGTCGTACTACTTAATACGTTCCAGTAGCTAAATGAAAACAGATAGCTAATCGATGGAACATCCACAACGAAGAAATTCATAAATTCAAAATTCAAGAAGATACCGTTAATCAAACGAAACTACGAAACAATCAAGAAGAAAATCATTGCGTTAAAATCTTCAACAACTGCCTTGGTTGGATGAATCACGTCCCGACGACGAACTACACATGTTCACGCCATCCCGATGTCCCCAATGAGTTCTTCAGTTCCAACTACAACATTTTGCATCTCCAAGGACGAAGACGACACTGCAAATATCGAATGCTTACGCCCAATCTTTATTGTGTTGAATAATGCCCACCTATACCTAACTTAGAGTCCTTATTCATAGATTTCCATACATAGCCATAACTCTACATTATATTAAGTTTCTATGTAAACCGATGTCTATTGTTTTGTTTATAAGATTTTAATGCTGTATTTACCACTCCCACAACTACAAATACAAACTGTTATTTATTTAGTTTTACTGTAAGTTATTCAAATGTATGTTTACTATTATATCAATGTACCAAATCATTACATATCTTTTGTTATCCTAATTAACATTAATTTGTTTACCATTTCTACACTATTTCGTTTGTTGCCATTTCCCGTGTACTTTGTTATTTATCTAGTAATTAAGCAATTAGTCAATAAGTCATTTAGTTTAGAACATTGTTTACAAATCCCATCTAATTTTACGTATATAAAGCACTTTGTACTAGGATCATAAGTTCAGTCACCATTTCCATCTCGTAGTTACCAATTAGACCTCAAGTAGTTATATAACTGTGTAATACAATTTCTATATCAATTTATATTTCGTGTAATCATCAATTCTATTTCAAGTGTTATTTTGTAATGTTAAAATTTAAAAATAATTTTAAGTGAAATAATAATAAGTTTTTTTTGTTTAGATTGTTCTATCACTGACCACATAACAAATTTGGCGTAGTGGGTATGATTCCATAACACTAGTGTGGGGAACACAGACTGCCACGAAGGCACCTGAGCTAATTGCTTCTATCAACTTTTATAACATTTGAATATATCGTTACTCCATTAACCCTAACGGTTATCCTACACTGTAATGGTCAATACAAGGCTGCCACACGAGAACCTTTTTTTCCCTTCAAAACCAGAAAGTCTAAATCAACGAATTCATTAATTTTCATTATTTGCAAAATTTGTCAGTAGTGGCCTAGTGGCTGAGACATTTACGACCTGCCCCGTTTAAAGTAGGGCTGGCCATTTTTTATGTTAGAAAGTGGCAAACGAGCTGGTGGTGCACCTGATGTTAAGTTATAACCGCCGCCCATTTACATTTGCAACACCCGTAGGGTTGCAAATGCGTTGCCATCTTTAAATAAAGTGGGCCCCGGCTACCTCACTCACCAGACGAAACGCAGAAGTGTAACACTTCTACTTTACGCCGGTCTTCTGTGAGGTCGTGATACTTACCCGGACGGACCTGCCCATTCGTGCGACAGTATTGCGTGGCCCTACCACCAGAAAAAAACCATTCGTCTGAAATTCATTTCTTCTGAAAACCATCTTGCGTGAAGATGCATGCAACTTGTTAAAATATCACGGCTGCTTTTGCCATTAAACACGGGCCACGCAACAATCTCTCACTTTTGCACGAATGGACAGGTTCGTCCGGGTAAGACCACGACCTCACAGAAGACCGGCGTGAAGTCGAAGTTTTCTGGTGAGTGAAGTAGCCGGGGCCCAATTTATTATAAGATCCGGGTACGTACCACGACCTCACAGCTCACAGAAGACCGGCGTGAAGTGGAAGTGTTTCTTCTGGTGAGTGAAGTAGCCGGGGCCCACTTTATTATAGGATAGCAATGCATCAGCAACACTGTTGCAAATGTCAATGGCGGTAAATCGCCAGTTCGCTTGGCATCTTCTCATATAAAAATATTACACTCACCTCAAACAGTGGCTGCTGTGATTTGACAGCCTCCCCGTCTTTTACTAGCATCTTCGTGATGGTGCCGTGGCCCGGCGACATCACCGGCAGCGCAGTCTTGTCCGTCTCGATCTGGAGCACCTCCTCGTCCATCGCAACCGCGTCGCCTTCCTTCTTGATAAACCTGAAGCGAGATTGCAATGTCATCGTTGTACAGGCTTTATATAGGCTATTACTTTACTTGATTTGATTTGAAACGACACTCACTTGACATCGCCAGTCGACACGGAGTCCGGGAATGTCGGTGCTTTGACAACTTCTTTCGCATTTAGCGACTTCGCGGAATGTATTGCACGCCTGAGTATTGTCCTTGTCTCGGGTATCCTTTGAAAAGTTACCTGAAACCTGTCAAATATATCGAAGACTAAGAATTGGACGCGATCATCGATTAAATTAACTCCAACAAATAAATGTGAGATATTGCAACTTAATATCAGTAATATTCTCAAAAATTCTATGGCATCATAACAACCGCAAATAGAGAGTGCCATACATAAGACACAGATTGTCCTTTTCCTAAGAAATGTTTTAATTGAACGTAAATTCAATTAGACAGGCTGTCCAGAACTTACACAATCACTAAAAGGAATAATTATAATCTCTAAAGGGTACAAATAAAATCAGCTCACTTTCTGCAATTCGGACGCAAGGTGTTATAGACAGGAGGCAGCGCTTTCCATAGGAGTATCTCTTGGATGATCTAAGCATAAACGTGCCGTTATTAATTTTAAGATTGTACACATAGTGTTGAGTGAAAACGCCAAAAAACATTTTGTTCGCCTGTTCTAATACTTGTTTAAGGTAATTGCAATAAAGTATAAATAAAAATGTAAAGCGGAAAAAACAATGTTAGTTTGTCATGTGACACGGTTTGTTTACTTACATTTTGTACAATTATGCGTCTATACATATTACGATTCCTAATTATGAAATACTTTAGTTATACAAAATATTAGGTGAAATAAATCATGACAGTGACGACGCCAAAGATTATTCTTCCTTTCTTTCTGCCAAGATGAAAGTAGGTTTTATTTAACATGTCAATTTTTTATAAAAGTGTTAATCTATCAATATAGAATCACTAAAATACTCATCAGAATCAAATCGTTCTCATATTTTACGAACAACTTTTATGTAGTTTATTATAATTCGATATTCCTTAGTTTGAATGTTTGTTAATTCAAACAGTGCAGACTCCAGAACCTTCAAAATAACGTTTTAAGAGGCTAGGATTTTGAAGAAAAATAAGGGATCATGAAATATTTTGTAACTAGCCCTAAAACTTACTGAGGGCCTCTAGGGCCATAGCATAGCTTTTGAACGAATGGATAAGAACGTCCGAAAAGTAGGATAGCACGGCCTCACATAAGACCAGCATGAAGTGCAAGTAGTATGCCTTCACGTTTCGTCCGGTGAGTGAGGTAATTGGGGCCCACTTTTATAATGTTTGGCAACGTATACCCAACATTGTAGATGTCCATAGGTGGTAGAATTCACGTAAGATTAGCTAGGGTCTACTTTATTTATTTTTATTTTATTTTATTAAGAAAACTTACAGCAAATTAGGTACTTATTTTAAAACAATATTGTAATATATATAAAGAGCCAATTACAAGTTTCCACCTTTAGTACATAATTATATTTTAAAAAAAGTCGAGCAAGAAAGAAAAAATAATAATAAAAAAGAAAAAACTTAGTACATAATTCAAATTCAATTCTTAGTAATTAGTTTTATTAATAACTTAGTAATTAACTATTTTTAAGAAAAATATTGCTCTGTTAAAGTTTCTTTAGCCACAGTTGGAGAAGTAAAGAATGGGTCGATATTTCGTGCATTGATAAATTTAGCAGTCCTAATCATAAAATAATTGCACCTGTAATTCGTATGAGCTCTGGGTATGTAAAGAAGTTTGCGGTTCCTCGTGTTTGCTATAGGTACATTTATAGTGATGTCTGATAATAGCTCGTGAGAGATAATTGAACCGTTTCAGAGTTTCAGGTAAAATCATACGTCACTAATATCACGCCGAACGGACAAAGGAAGAAAATGGTACCTATGGCACCTATCATTGTAGTCACGTGAATTATTAGGTATGCACTCTGTAATCGAGGTATCTTAAAAATCTTTTCTGGATACCCTCAATACGAGACTTGTAAATCTCATATTGTGGATTCCAGATCTGCGAGGCATATTCGAGTATAAGTCGTAGAAATGAGCAGTAAAGAATTTTTATTGTTTTGAGATTACTAAAAACAGAAGAACAGCGAATAATGAAACCCATAGCTTTTTATGCTCTGGATGTAATATAAGATAATTATATGCTTGTCAAAGATGAGTTTTGAATCATGAATTACCAGATCGCGTGCCTCATATTCTCTAGCAATAGTCGTTCCCATTGAGTTATATCCTCCGTTAATAATATTGCGTTTCTTTGTAAACGACATAAAGAAGCATTTAGTGATATTTAGATCTAGTTTGTTTTTGTTACAATATATTACAAGCCTTTGTAGATCTGATTGAAGCAGTAGTTATCACATAAAAAGAAAATTAACTCTATGCTGATGTTTTGCGACGCTGGGTGATAGTTTTCCGTTCGATTCTGGCTTATTCGTGTAGCTGTAACTATTGTGTGATCTGTTTATGTCATTATGGTATATGGGTTATAAAACAGGGTACATGGTATTCGTATGTACGTATGTTTTGCTAATTATTATTTATAAATTTGTTTAACATGAATTGAATGAAGAAATTTTAGATGAATGATATAAAATTACGAAATTGTCATGTGAATTGGAAACATTCAATGAATAAATCTAAATATTCAATGATTATGAAAATTTGCGGAGATAATTGTTAAATGTAATTTTAAAGTATTTTGGTCCTTAATTTTAAATTTTAAAGGTATAGGTGTTTCTGTGCTATTCTATTAAGCTGTAAATGAACTTGTCTAATCTGTTTCAGTAATCTATTCATCGGTAGAGGGCACTGTACATTTAATCATCTTGGCAATAGATGGCGCTGCTTTTTATTGGTTTATCTACTCGCCTACAGATAGCGTAACTAATCACTTTGAAAGCCGTTGATTGAACTTATTAAGTTAACATGTGAGATATTAAATTGCGCGATACGTTATACAGCTGAAGAAGAGTCCGTCAATGTCTCGTGCTTTTGCCAGGACTTTAGGTATTCATATTTTCATATTTTTGCGTTTGTACGGTGAGTCATAACTCATAAGTAGCCGGGCCATTACGACTAAATTCGGTAACGTTACAAAACTGATGTTAAGGTTTTTATTAGTAAATAAAATATTTATATATATCTTATGTGGACATTATTCCTTGGTTTTTAGAGTTCAAGAAAACCTAGATAATTATCTGGTCTTTGTAAATATTGAAAGTTCTCAAATCTGATACATTGTTTACATTGAGAGAAATTAAATTTTAATCTACCAAATAATATTCTAATTACTCATTGCATTCATCAAAGCTTTATTTGCAAATGAACGTCAAAAATAATTGACCAGATAAATGATAGGGCGCGTATCAAAAGTAGGAATTGTCAAACGTGAAATATTAAAAAAGCAATAAACTATAACAAGCAATGCTTTTGGGCGGTCGCCAAACACACTCCGCTGGGGATTAAATATGGAGGAGTACCGCAAATTAGGTTGGTCAAGTATTTTTAGTTATAACGATGTGTAGCAAATGTGTTTCCCCAATATTAATTCTGAATTATTAATAACACTTTCAAATTACGACAAACTGTGGTTATAACTAAAAACATCACAAAAATAAATGAAAATACTTTGAGTACAAGATGCATGCAACTTTCTTCTTTTCCGCAAATGTGCGGAAAGTCGATGGATGCAGGTGGCTCAGGATCGGGATCTTGGGATTAAATACTATCAGCTAATATATAATAGCCTTGTTTTATATAAGCGACATGTTCGTCGAGCAGCTGAAAGTAACCATATAACTATCGACAATATGTCACCGGGGAATACTCAGTTACTTCGGTCACGTTTCCAGAAGTTGGCCAGAAAATCTGGAAGAAATTATTATGATAGGCAGAGTAGAGGAGAAAATATCTCGAGGCCATACTTAACCTGCCTATCACCACCAATTTCGGCTGAAGACAGGGACTCCTGGCGGAGACTACTAGATACCACCCTTGCCTATTTACAGCAACAGGAACCGACTGTAGATAGACACGGCCGTCAGAAATGAAGAGTGCTTTGGAGTAGAAGAAGAATACTTATCAAATTGCTTACTGAAGTCACCGGTTAAAATTGTACAATTGAAATACTTATTTTCAACAAGTTTAATAACGTTACAATTGAATATTTCTAATACTTTATTTCTTTGTGAAATAATCGCAGACCACGGTAAGCCTCAAACAGGTTTAGGGGCTAGGAAGCACTGGGATTCTTACCTAAATTGTGTTAAAAGAGGTTATGTATATTTGTAAAATACTTATCACACAAACATAAGAAAATGCAATGTAATCTTAAATGGAAAAGTAAATTCGTTTTTTTTAAGTCAAAAAGGTATGATGGTTCATTCAATAGAAGTGGTATTTATAATATTAACAAATATGGATATTTCGGACGAGTACTTCGTAGCTATTTCTCATCAATATTGATTTAAATTTGTGGGAATCTACAAGTGATAAATAGGTTTTGAGCGAATCGGACTTATATGTACTAAATGATGCATTTTATACAACAAAAAAATCCTTATTCGGTATCATTTGCAAAACATTTATAATAATTTATATAGATTAATACATGCACATAAAGCCAAAATTGCATATACGCTTGCCAATTATAGGTATACACAACTTTCAATTATTTTTTGATTGATGTTCTGTACAAATATAAACCTAATAGCTATCTAAACTAACCATAACAATATAAGGAAAAATTTATACACAACTCAAAATTTAAAATCAAAAAATCTTAAATTAATGTTAATATAATAAATAAATAAAGGATTATGTTAGGTACTGAAGTAGTCCCAAAACTTTACATTAGAAACCGTAAAGTGTTGGCATGCTTATATTAGTTTCCGGAACATTATATTTTCGCTCTCGTTCATTTCAATCGATGTCTAACAAATATGTACGATGTAAGGCTATGAAGGCAGATGCAGGGGTGTAAATCGAAGTTTTCAATAGATGTGTGCGTATCTAAGGGCTCTTTGAACGGGACATTAGTGGCGGTCACTCAAGACGCAACTGTGGCCTCCTTGGTAAGGGCCTCTTCGTAAGGGCTTTCGACTAAGCTACCTCGAGATTTGAATAAAGTTAATATCTTGGTAAAATTTATTTTGGTGACCCTTAATCCCGTATTACAAGATAGATGGGAAAAAGTCTTCAGGTGGATTCGAGAATGGTTTAGATTCACAAACATATTCAAAAAGTTGTTTTAAATTTTCGGATTTAAGGAGTGTGTACAGGACGTCGTCTGAGAGGTCCGCTAGTTTATGTATAATTATTCTTTTAGTATTAGAAATTCAATAATAGCGAAATTTGAATTGTTTGATCATTAAAATGTAGACTGTTTTACAAAATTGAACAACAAACACATAGTTAACTATTTAATATATATTTTTTCTGTTTCAATTTTTTTTTTAGATTGCAACAAACATAATTTATAAATGCAAATGCGGTAACACACAATTGCCATGGGAAGAACTTAGTAGTAAGT